GTTTTTTTAGCAATAACAACGTAGGGAAAAACAAACTTGAGTAGTTCAAAACCGACAAAGCAATAAAAACGATTATACTATTTGCTGACATATGTAAAATATTGCAATTCTCAAAAGATTTGAGTTATATTTTGTTGTCGTAGTAAAAATTATATATAAAATTGTGTATATAATTATACATTGCTGTATTTTTCCATATAAATATATTGATTTTTGTGCTTATTTAAATTTTTATTAACTTAAATCGTTTTAATATGATTTAAGTACTTAGTAGAGCGAGGCTTTATTTATGATTGATGTTAACTTCACGTAACTTTATATCATAACTACCAGGTTCATAATGTCTTAATCAAGTTCATAATGGCAAAATCAAGTGATATTAATAACAATATAACCAGTACTTCTCTAATTCTATACATAACCTATTTAACTTAAAAACTAATAGATTTATTGAAACCATACAGAAAGATCTTTTCATCTGTTATAGATTATACAGAATAGCAATGTAAATTTACATATTACTTTAACAAATCCCGTAAAAACATACCATTCAACTAGGAGATAACACTATTCGACTACTGATTTTATTTCAAGCTAGAAGAGGCTATAAACGTCAACTGTCTGTGACATTGCGCTTTTTATCAGACTATTGTGTCTTTTCTTATTCATAATCATTGAAGGATTTTACTTCAGCTATATACAGAATGTCTTAATCTTATCCAAAACGATGTTTGACCACCCTGATTCGTTAATTATCTTATGGAAAATTCTTGATCTATATTGCATAAGAGCAGGACGTTCTCCAAATATATGTTGAGAAGTTAGTGGGTCTTTCTTGCATAGTCTCCACTCATCGGTTTCTAAATGAATGTTATATACTGATTAAATCTGTTCCATAATAAACTTTCATATAGCAAAGAGTCCTCTGTGAGAATGCAATCTACAAAACACAGCTTTTTTAATTTTTCTAAATATTTGAACTTCTGTATAACCAAGCACGCAATTAAATTTATTTATATTAAATAACTCCTCTATAAAAAGTTTTAAACGCAAAGTATTTATTCCAAAATAAAGTCTTTGTGTCAACATTGCAAATCTGTATAGAATACTTTTTAAAAACTAAGTTCAAGCTAAGACACTGAAATCATGTCTGACATTTTCTTGTAATGTTAAGATATATCTCCTCTTTATATGATAACACAATAATCCAATACGTCTAAATCCTTTCCATAATCCCTTCCTCTTTAGAAGTATAATGTTATTTTATTAACTAAAGAAATTATTAACATCTTCTAGTACTCTAAATAATTCCAATATTTTTTTTTCTAGAAATTTAATATGTTTAAGTAAAAATAAGCGTAAAAAGCGGCTTTCTATATTCTATTTTTCCGAATTCCCTGTTCTTATTGGATTTTATATTCACAACTCACATCAGACATTATGCCGCGTTATTTTCTTATTAATGCAAGAAAAGGTTTTCCACGTTTTTTATTATTTTTCATAAAAGAAGATGGCAGAATGTGTGCGTTAAGACTTCACAAAAAGATAAATAAATAAATAAAGCAAGTGAAAAACGTGAGTTATGTTATTAAAAAAAAAACAAAAAAAAAAAGCATAAAATAAACGTGGAAGAAAAATGTTAAAAACACAAAAAGTGAAAAACAAATAAAACCTAACCAAAGCAAAGCAAAACGAAGACGCCGCAGAAGAACACGACAAGATACAAGATACAAGAGCGGCCGTATGACTAAAAAGCCAAAAGAACCAAACTAAATTTCAAGCAAAAGAATCGAAAGGAAAAATATTACACATTTAAGAGTATATACTATATACATCACTTGTGTACATATATAATAATATATTAATATGTAATAAGGAAGTAGAAAATTGGTAAAAGCAGAAACTAAAACCGTCCAAACCATAAAGGCCAGACAGACGCAGACTTTGACTTAAAGCAATGCGCAGCGTGTATTTCAAACAGAAAAAAAGATACTTTTTAATAAATTGTTTTTTTTTTGGTTACGTTAAATTTTTTGAAAAATACTGAAGGATTATTTTTAATTTCTTTTGAGAATTTCAAAATTCAGTTTCGCCCAAAGCTTTATTCTTATACATTTTATTTTTTGTTTTTATTGAAGTTGAGAATATTTAAGTCATTGTTGTTGCTTCGCTGCTGCAAAATGATTATCTAATACTTGGCCACTCCAACATTTGTGTTAGTTGCTTTTAAAACACTCGGTTTCTGTTTGGATAGTTGTTATAGTTGAATAAATTTGTTATTTTTATTAAATTAAAATTAAGCAGATATTGATTTTTCACTTTTATTCTCTTTTACTTTTTTTCTGAAAAGTTATTTTCGTAATTTTAATATATTTTTATTTAATGAACATTAAAGTGTTTCAATTAAATATATTTTATTTTAATTGAAAATTAATTTTTATTTATTTTTTTATTTTATTTTAAGCACACTTAATTACACATACATTGCAGTTTAAATTTAAGCGTTACTGCATTTGTATCTGCATTGCACTAATATTGTTCATATTTGCTTACATATTTTTTTATTTTTGTTATTTTGCAGATAAAACGTGTATTAGTATGATTTTCAATACAAAAAAAAAAACTCATCAGCAATGCAGATACAATATTCTTTTAATTTATTTAAATCCATAAAATATCTTGCGCCACAATTATTGTATTTTAAAAATTAATTAAGTTACAAAACAATGAAAAAATGAAGTGGTTAGAAGAAAAACAAAAAGTATCTTGCTTTATTATCACAAAAGGCAATTTAACAATGAAAGCATCTAAAAAAAACTAAACAAACAGCAAAACAAGTCGCAAAATTCTTTCCGCTTTTTCAAATTTCACATCCGAACACAACGAATTCAAAATTAAGACTCAATTCAAGTTGTCTCGATTCGTCCACAGCCAACTCAAAACAAAACTCATGAATGAAACACCAAATTCACTCGCTCACTTGCACATGCTTAACAACCGCCGCGGCCGTTCCGTTGCTCAGATACGCGATACTTTCAAAGAAATATCTCCAAATACATTGCATATTGTGGCAGCAACGTGCGTTTCGGCTTGGTGCTTAATAAACTTTGTCTTTGCATTTGTTGCTGTCTTTGTTGTTGTTGTCTTTGGAATTATTGGTTTTGTTGTTATAATAGTTGTTGCTTGTTGCACGCTCACTCTCTTATTGGATTTTATTTGTTTTTGTTTTTGTTTTTGACAGATATTGTTGCTTTTTTATTATTCATTTTTTACAGACGAGGGAAATTTTTTTACATGCATGTATGTGTTATTTAGTTTTCACAAGATACTAAAAGTAGAATAACAATATAATTAACATTTTAGAAATAATTTCTGATAAAAAAATACAATTAATCTAATATTAAATACTTAGTTTTATATAATTTAATGTAAAAACTTATATTTAAATAAATTAAACAATTTATTTACACAATTCCACATTTGTTCTTATTCGAAAATGTTTCCATAATTTTTTCGAAAAGTTTCCTTTTACTTTTAACAAATTATTTTTACGGTTGAGCACATATACTCATATGTATGTCACGATCAAAATTGATTTAATTTATTAATAAATTATATAGTAAGTATACTAAATAACATAAATTTAAAAGCACTTATGCGAATTGTCCGTTAGACTTCATACTACACAACTTTTGGAATTAGAAAACAAAAATTGAATACATATGAACAGTACGGATCAAAATATGTAAGGTTTAAAGAGAAATTTTAAATTTAAAATTTATTTTAACAATTTGAATATTGAACAATTATTTATAATAATTTCTAAACTATAATGTTAAAAAATTATTGTAACGAATTTAAATTATAGAAGAGAACAGAGATTTTAATAACCGCCAATGCTGCTTTGAGATTGATAACATAAAATTGGCATTTCATATGAAATTTAAAGAAAAATTTTAAATTCAAAATTTATTTTAACGCTTTGAATATTGAACAATTATTTATAATAATTTCTAAATCATAATGGTTAAAAAATTATTGTAAAGGAATTTAAATAATAGAAGGGAACAGAGATTTTACTAACCGCCAATGCTGCTTTAAGATTGCCAACACAAAATTGGTATTTAATATTAAATTTATAAAAAATTTCACATTTCAAATTTTTTATTTTCAATTTTAATATTGATCAATTATTTGTGATAATTTAATTAACATAATGGTAAAAAGAATAGCTATAAGGATTTTAAATTAAAAAATACAGCAATAATTATAACATAATTATTATTATGTTTGTGGCTCACTGTTTCAATAACAATAATTTTTATAACAATATATATATATAACATATTTGTATATATAATATATAGTTATTATAATATATTATTATATTATTATATATCATATATGTATGTGTAATAACTATATTACAAATAATATATATTGTAGTAATATCCTGCTGTAAAAAAGGCAAAATTGAAAGAAAGTGAAAATTATAAACGTAAGCTAATTTTATAACGTATACAACAAGAATATTACAATGTATGGCATAGTCGAATTTATAATAATGAAAAGGGTCCATAAACCAGAAAGTTCGTACAATATTAATTATAATCGGAGTGATAGGAATAACACAATTTTTCTAAAAATTATTATTACGTCAAAATGATGTTTAAACGTAGGTGACATTATCTATATTACATTTTTGATACAGGTTCCTTGACACAAAATAAGGGAAATACTAAAGTATTACGGCTACTTCATTTTATAACTTTTATCAAAAGTATGTTACACTTTATGTCAACTACATCGTATATTATTGCAAATTTTGAAATTAAAATAATATATAATAAAATACAATATAAAATATATAAAAATATATAAATATATAAAATATCTGTGAATTTATTGTCTTTATATATGAATGTTATATAATTTATTTGATTTTAAAAAACAATTATATTAGAAATACATTTTTACGTTATTCTAATAAAGCTTTAATTTTAAACATTTATTTCGTTAAAAAAAATACTTATAAACAGTACGCATAAAAAACAAACAAAAAATTTCCCAACGATGTATGTGAAAACAGAACCACCTGTCAAAGAGGTAATACTATTTTCTCATAATATTATTTTGACAGTTCATAGCTATAGCAACAAAAGCAAACAAGTCTCTCATAAGGTAAAAACAAAAACAATCAAAAAAATTCAGTGTTATCAAATTTAAAGCAGCACCAGCTGTTATAAATATCTCTGCTCTCTTCTGTAAATAACTCTCCTACAAAAATTGCAAGCTTCATACTCCTTTTTACAATGGCGTTATAAGCTACTTTTTATTATATTAAATAACTGTAATTTGTCATAATGGCAAACGTACGTTGGTGGTTTTCGTGCCATTTGGCAAACAAAAAACGTAAGCATAGCAGAAGAGATATGAATTTTGCCCAAACTGCTGCTGTCGTCGACATTAGTGACTTCAGTGAGTGGTGGAAAACGGTAGAGAAAAGTGTGAAAAATCAAAGAAAATTGTAGTGCAAAATATAAAATGCCGTGAAAAAAATGTAAAAATTTATATAAATCTGCATATATACATGTAAAAAAGAAAAATTTAAATATGTATACTTAAAGGAAAGAGCTATAATATATTAAAAATGCATTAGTTAAGAAAATAATATAGAACATGTAAAAAAAATATTTTTATTAATATTAGTATAAAAAATATAGATTTTAATAAATATATAACACAAAATATGTCAACGGAAAGCAATACGCCCGTGGATCCTAGAGTTCAAGTGAGTCTGCATAGTTACAAAAATAATCAAAGTAAAAAAGACACTTCTGCAGTTTATTTTTTTTTTTGTTTAAAATTTTGTTTAATTTGACAATGACACTTAAAAACAATAAACAAAAGAATATTCAAAAGCATATAAAATTCAAGTATGGCACATTTGCACAAACACTCACCCGACCGCTTGCACGCCCGCATATTTTTAGACAAACAAGTATTTTTTTTGTGTTTTTTTTTCTGGTATGCTTTTGTAAAAGATTTAAATTTATTTTATTTTATTAAAAATTTTAAATAATCTTATGACATCATGTTTGAAGACAATTTTGCTCTTCATTAATATTTATTTATTTTATATTAAAATAATTATTAATTTTTTAATCTTTATTTAATATACGAATCAGTTACATACATATACATCTATTAAGCAATATATTTGTATTAATTGTGATTTTAGGTTGAACTCGAGAAGTTGAACACGGCAACTGACAATATAAACAAATTTGAAGTGGAACTCGACGTGAGTATTGATTTTTATTTGTTGTTCATACTTTACATAATTGCCCGCATCATACTAAAATGCATATACAGACACACACACATACAAACTGTCGTCACAAACTGATACACTCCACGCGTAAGCAAACACCGAAAGATTTCTAATAATAACAACAATTCCAGCAGAAAATCTAATGAAATTGGGTCAATTGCCCTTTGTGTAGAATTTTGCCAAGCTTCCTTCTAAATATTCATTTATTTTATGCATCATAAATTTAATTATTTCGAAAACAATGCACATTTTAGAAAATGAAATTAAATTTTCATTAAATATAAATTTTAATTTATTTAATCTGTAGCATAATATATTCTATATTGTTTTTAATTGTAAAAGCGTTCGCTGAGTTTATAAAACTACACTAATTTTATAATCAATTATAAACAAAAATTTAATTAAAAATATAGATGAACTCGTATATGATAATAATATACCATAATAATAAAATTCCATAGTAATAACTTTTTTTACATAAATTGGCATTATTTTGAGTTAGAAACAAAAAAATCAGATATGCAAGTGTTTGATCGATTAGACGTATACGTAACATTTTCAAAAATCCTGCCAATAGGTAAGCTGTTGTGTATAAATTAAAAATTGATGAAATAAATAACAACAACATTAAACATGATATTACATTGGCTGTAATAGTGGTTAAACATAAGGAGATTATTCAAAATTTTAAAGTTGATTAGATACTTATGAATAAATTACATCATAATGAAGTTAAAAAACTTCAAATTTGTTTTACTCTTTCAAAATATTGTAGATCTTGTATTTGGTAATATAGAGTAAAAAACTAGTCAATAATGGCGTTTTCGATTAGTGAATCTGGATTTAATCTAGATTTACTCTAGATCTGTCAAATTGTGTTGCCCAACCGAACATTTTTAGAGTAATCTAAAATTTGTATAGTTGTGTTAGTTGTAAATAATAAATAATTTCAGGGTTATCTCGTGCTACTCTGTCATAATATCTAGAGTGTTATAAACTAATCTCGAGTGTTATATATTAATCTCGAATGTTATGTAGACTTACCAATCGAAAATGAAAATTGCGTTAAAAGTGAGTCTCGATTAAAAAAATTACACTAGATGTACTAATCGAAAACGCTATTTTGGTATTCACCCTTTAGACTAATAAGTTGTATAACAATGATTTAAAAATGTGCCATTTTAACATTAAAACAGAGGCAAATATGTAACATAATTCTTGTTCTAACAGAGACCTTGACTAATAAAGTAACAGTGCAATGCATAAGTCTGAATGCATTACAATTTGTTGTTGGCGCTGTGCAGTTTTACTTCGTTATACAGCTTATTACTTTGAAAGCTGTATGCTTCTGCTTTTTTATATTATTTTGTTGTAAATTTCACTATTTAATAGTATTAATCATTAATCATTAACAGCTGATAAATAAACAAATTGTAAGGTACTATCATTTAATCACTTTCTTCTTCGATTGCTATTAAATATTACACAGTTAAGAAAATTGACCATTTATGAAAACATTCATTTAATAGAGCTTTTTTTGTGGAAAATAATAGAGAATAATATTAAAATTACTTACAATTATTACACACTACAGTTTTTTTCCACATTTCTCGTCTATCTGTACTTTTGCGCAAGTGCACACACAAATGTGAGCACTATTGACATATGATTTCGTTTGTTGAATGGTAAGATTCCTCTACCTGGAGATTCAACATCCTTACCTCTTCCTAACCCCATATCATTACACTGTGCTTATTCCATTTAAGCATGAATAAAATATTCAACTAACTAAAAAAGTTATTAATATTTCATTAGGATGCTTGAGGCAACATTATAAGACCATGGTTTTAAGGGATGAAGTTTTAGCAATTAGGGAGGATTACGGAGATATATTCCTAGGGGAACCAGTTTATATTCCCCTAAAGATCGTCAAGATAAATTTTTTTTTAACTTGCAAATAATAAATAAAAGACACTAAAGTTATGTATAACTTCACGGTTAATATTGCCCTCATATTACAAGATCAAATTAGGAACTAATTCTTTCTAATCACAGGTTCCTAGGGGAACCAGTTTATATACCCCTAAATATCGATAAGAAAATTTTTTTTAACTTGGAAATAATAAATAGAAGACACTAAAGTTATGTATAACTTCACGGTTAATATGGCCCTCATATTACAAGACCAAATTGGGAACTCATTCTTTCTGATCGCAGGTGTTTAGAAACTCATGCAGAGAATTAGCGCATTTCTTTTAATACTCATTGTAGAAGTTGTGGAAAAATATACATATAAAATGTTCTCTGTAAATACATAGTTCTGGCGTCCAAAAGAAATAGATACTTAGAAAAGTTATTTTTTTGACAGTTTGTCGGACTGTCCTACGGTAAGAGAGAATGATTTATTGAATTATCTAAATTCGACACCATAGATTTAGTTTTTTGTCTAAATCTATCCAGAAACCTATTATTATGCTGTATAATCTTCTAGTATAATTCCCATCATTGGTTGCAAGGACTAATATTCATATATAAATTAAATATTATGTTTGTTAAAAGTTTTGAGAAGTTATAGAATCAAAATTTATTTTATTAATTATAAATCATTTCATCACTTTGACAAAATGATCGTCAATTCATTGTGAGTAAATAGCAATTTAGGTCATAAATAATAGTTCATCCTACCATAAAATAAAAGATTAATTGAAAAACAATTTGAAAAAGCGTATTAATAAGAGATTTAATAGTATTTTATTATAAAATTTAATTCAATTTTAGAAGAAGAAGCAACACTATATGTACTACTCCACATCAAAGCACTTTACTCATTTTTATAATACGAGTATTACAGTTTATTTCATAATGTTATAATAGATGAATTTTTGCTAAACTCATACACTGAACATACCTAAATATTTAAATAAGTTTGTTTTTATAAATAAAATAACTTTAATTACTTTTAAATAAATCCTCTAGAATATTTATGAAAAACTCGCAAAAAACTATTATAATTTATGCAAAACGTTCAATATCAAGCTGAGTAAGGTAATATGATATTTTTAACCCTGTTTTTTATTATTGCGTATTTCTTTATAAATATCTTTAATAACTTTATTCTGCATATATAAAAATAAAATAATTTTCTTAATGCGTTGTGGGCGTGTCTCTTAACATAGTACAAATTTATTGCGCTGTAATTATTTTAACTTTCATTGCCCATTTTTTTTATATATAATTAATTAAAAATATAAAATACATAAATATACAATATTTCATATGTGTAAATATTGTATATATGTATATAGTTATTATTTCATATACGCAATATTCATATATTTACTCTATTTTTACAACCTATTTTTAAAAGCGTAACTTTGTCGTTGCCAATGTGCACTGAAAGTGCAACAAAATAAAAATGAATCTGTGCTGGCCACATAACGAACGAGTGGTTACACTTGAGCCTGACACTTCAACCTTATTTAACCTGAGGTATAAACAATTTTTTTTTTCATAATTGTCACAGAGCTGTTGCGCATTTCAGGCTTGAGCGCACCTCTCAACACTGACACATAAATCCGCCTTCATACCAAGAATTTTGTACTTAGACTTCGTACGTGCACGCGTAAGTGGAAAAGTATTTGAAAAATGTAGCATACTTTGTGGCGAAACCAATTTTACTTTTACTTTTGCCACTTCTAAAATTATTGAATTATAAGTCTAAGCAGTTGAGGGCAGGGACCGAAAATAACAGTTATTTTAAAATTTTTTATGAAAAAAAGCAGCAACAAAACAAAAAACTGAACTAAATCTTTACCTGCACCAACCTTTTCAAACATTTTCTATGGAATTGCAAAAACAACTACCTTGTATGAAAATTGCATTTTATGTTTTCATTTTAAAAATATCGCGCAAAATTTGCGCGATACTCTTGCTTTTTATATTATATAACGCAAGTATACCAGTTATTTGTGCGTTTTAAAATAAGAAGCAAATTTTAAGAGTTATTGCTGCGCGAAAAAAATAAAAGGCATATAATAATTATTATTTTTGATGAATATAATAAAAATCAAATTTAATTATTATTTTTTGAGTTTTATTTTAAAATGCATATGATAACAGTTATAAGATGATTTTTATTTTTTTTATGATAACTGTTACGGTCCCTGGTTGAGGGAATTCTATTACCAAAAAAATATTTGAGTACTAATACTGGCAGTTGCTCACTATTAAGAAATATAGTTTTTATAATATATTTATAACTAATTTTACTTATGGTATAAGAGATACCAGGTAAGGTGTCCTTCTTCAGCAGAACAGAGCTGAGGTTGCTGGTAAGATATTTAACGAGGGACCATGAACTGCGAAATCACTTTAACAATATGAGTCTGTTCGAAAAGATAGATTGTCGACTCTGCTTAGAAGCAGATGAGACTTCTAATCACATTCTCTGTGACTGCCCAGCCTTACCTGAACCAGGAGGAGGTTACTGGGTCAAGAACTACTCCCCTCTTCTAACATTAGGAGGTCCTAAACGGCCAACATTCTGGCTTTCATTCGGAAGGCGGAACCTCTTCTGTGCAATGCTCCGCTCCATTGGGAGCTGATATCCCGTTTATTTCTACTCCTATAAGAGATCCTATTTAATTTTATACATTTAACATACATTATATTTCTGATTATATATTATCTATATTCTTTAAATCTTACAGGACGCAAAATCTGAATTTAAACGTTTGCTCGCTGAAAGTGTGGTACGCATTAAACAAGCTGCGCATAAGTTAGGTAACTCCATAGAAGCAGCGAAACCCTACTATGAATCTCGTATCTATGCAGCACAAGTATGTTTTAAAAATATATATTCCTTTATCTATTATTTCGTTCAAACCCACATATTTTACACACAGCTTTCTAAAGAAACACAGCAGGCAGCAGCTGATCATGAGAAGGCTAAGTCGATGCACTCTGCCGCAAAAGAAATGGTTTACTTAGCCGAACAGGGACTTGGAGAGAAATCTACTTTGGATACAGCATGTCAAGAGATGTTAAGTCATGCAGCAAGTATGTGAACATAAATAATTATAAAAATAATTATATATGCATAAATATTCTTATTTAAAGGTAAAGTGAATCAATCGCAGTTGGAAGTCACTGAAACACGAAATTCATTAAAAATGTGTCAACTGAAACTGGACGTAGCTAATAACCGTGTTGGAAAGTTGCAGGGACAACTAAAACAAGCAATAAAAGCTTCACGGTTAGTTTTTGAAATAATAAATAAAAATTAACTTAAATATTAGAAAATTGAAACTCAATACTAAATTAAGAATAATTAATTATGAAACGGGCTAATTAGTTAGTTAACTAAAACTTATTAATTATAATTAATTAATTATATATTATTTGTCTTACAATAAATGTGTAATATTTCGAATATCTTCAATAGTCATCTTCGAGGAAATGAATGAATTTTATACTGAAGATTTTATTAAAAACATTATATAAAATCAATATTTTGTATTTTAGTTTGTTTATTTCATTAATATATAATTTTGTTTTTTATATAAAAAACATTAAAAAGAATTTAATACAAACGAAAATAATAATAACGATTCAGATTCTCTATCGTTATATTCTTAATTGTGGTGTTCTTAATTTTTTTATTTAATTTTTATTTTCACTGATATAATTTTTATTAAATTTCTTTGTAATGTATAGTTATAACGCGAGTTATAAAATCAAGCATATCCAAATCTTCAGTTACCCCACAAAACTTAACCCAATTGATTTGTGCTTTCTTCTCAAGTTTACAGAACCTTAGTATACACTTTTTCCTGACTGTAGTACAAACTCAAACCAATGCATTCAATCAGCTGACTATAGTGCCCGAACCCAAAAGAAAAATTAATTACTTAAAATAGAATCTTTATTGATCTTAAAAGCTCAGAAAAAAAGAGAGCATGAACATCGTATGGGTTAGATAAAAATTCTTCATACACTCTAAATTTTCTACTAATATCATTTCTTTCTTCTACCTCAACCCAAACTCCACAATTCTTTCCGATTTTCAACTATCTCAATGCTTCTTATTTCCAATATATTAAAAAATTGTCTCTTATATGTATTGCAACAAAGATATATATATTATATTATTATTTACGTTATATTGGATTTCATTAAAAATTATTTCTATGTACATATATACTTATATCAAAACTAAATAGTAACAGACAGCGTTGGGTTATTTGCATATATTTCGAACTGTAATCTAATTTTTACAGAAATAATGATGAATAGACTCACAGGCTTCGCTTGAAGTTCTTTTTATTATACTTAATATGATTTTTATTATCAGGTTATTAGGTTTTAATAATTCTTAAAGTTATTTTCATTATAATTATTATTATTTGCATTATTATTATGATTATATTTATTTTTATTATTAACTTAAAAGATTCTTAATAAGTCTTTTCGATATACAATCTAAAAGTGCCATGAGAGTTCAGTCCTAGTTTTGTCAGACTTCCTGAAATGATTCTGAGTTATATAAATTTAATTGAATACAATACCTCATTGTTTTAAGTTGAAAATCTCTATAAGCAATATTGATTATAAACGCTCTGATAATTTTAGTATTAACTTCTATATTATTATTCTTCTTCCTTTTCTTGAAAAAATATGATAATATATAAAGCATATATATTAATACAAATTTATCACAACACTATTGCTTTGAATTTGATCTACCCCTCAAAAAAAGAAAGACACCGCTAAAATCTTAATTTAAAAAAAGAGTCGCTCTCCACAGGGAGATCTGAGAATCTGAGGTCAGTTATTGCTTAGTCTGAAGAAGTGATAAACAATAATCCAGTCAAGGTGTAGAGATGGGTTATGATGAAACCGCACAGTTAATAGAGTGTAAAAGGCTCAAGTGCACTGATTTAACTATCCTCAACATAAAGTTAAAAAAATAAATAAATATATACTTATTAAGACATTTTTTGAGTGATATGGCGGAGATATAGATAGGGGAAGATATCCAAGAGCTCATTGATAATTAATATTTATATTGAAATTCGAATATTAACCGCACTGGTGCCCACCGGTTTGCTTATCCAACAATTCGTGGCAAAACCAACAACAATTCAATGCCTCTTATATATTGTATAGTAAATGTTAATATTAAAATATTTTATACCTAAACATTTTTAAAAGATATTAAAATTTTTTACCTTTTATGTATTATTATTGCTTAGTGTGCATTAAATGTTTCCAACCTTCCTAAATCTTATCTTGACAGATAATAAAAGTGGCGATAACGTGTTGAGTTATCAGTTTTATTTTCATTAGTTTTACCTCATAAAAATGCAGTTTAAATTCAAAATATTTTATGTTTTCAAATTTAAAAAATTTGATAATTAGAAATCTTTTAAAAATCTGCTCTGTAAAGAAAACCAATACCTCAAGTTGTTCATTATAAAACATTACTAGCAATACTGGTACTTGGCTGGTATAATATTATAAATTTATTTATTTTATTAATTATTATTTTATTTATTTTTTTAAATGTTTCATATTTTATGTTTGATTTGATTAAATTTTTATTTTTATTTTTATTTTAGTTCAAATATTAGACGTAATTACCTTTATTTGTCTCTTTTGGCACATAGAAACAGTTTAGATAAAACTAACTTGTAAGTAAAATGAATATCAAAATGACTTCCACTCTATTTTTATATAATATATACATATAACATATAATTAAAAGTCTTTGTATCCTATTTCAGGCCTTATTACGAGACACGCGCTAATTTCAATGGACTGCTGAAGACGCAGAAGGGAAAAATCAATGAACTAGAAACAAAAGTTTCGGAAGCTAAAATGTCGTACAATGATGCACTTAAGAATCTTGAACAGATCTCAGAGGATATACATCGTCAAAGACAGGAACAAAGAGACTTGCTTAGATTTGAAACAATGTCGAGAAGTCCACCAAATAAACATATGAATGTTGTTGATTGTGATGTACAAAATTATCAACGTTTTCCTTGCAAAATTGACTCCACAGACGAATACCTAGATTTACCTGATAAGTTAAGCACAAATTCCAGTCCTGTACGACAGAAAAGACCCGATATACACGAGTGCCCACATCTGCTACATGACTTTGAAGCTGTTTTAACATTCCCGCAAAAATTAGCCAATGGTATGCACAAATCAGCAAGTACAAGTACTGCCGATGATAATATATTTGTGCAGGCGCAACTGCATGGACCATATGATATAAAGTCTAGCAATAGCATCGGTGGCAGTGGTAGTGGCGGTCATAGCGCACATGATGCCAGCACAAGTACAGGATGTGGTGACACAGATGACAATGACATCGAACAATGGACTGAAATACGTTTATCGCATTCCGATAGCACAAGTTCTAGTTACTCAAATCAGTCGCTATTACATGATCAAGCAGCGCTGGACGGACGTGAAGATATACAATCTCAACATTCTTCATCTTCTTCCGACGAACCTAAACGGAAAGTGACTTGCACGACAATATTTCATGAAGATCAAGTCAATAAAAAACAGGGTCTCAGTCAGTGGTTGTCACGTTCAAATAGTTTTAAGTCTAATGGTCGACGCCAAAGTCTTGATCTACTAATCGATGCTGGTGATAAAGTGAAGGATGTGTTCACGCTAAGTTTTCAGAAGGTTGGTAAAACTTTGGAACGTCGTAATAGTGAGTCTGAAATGAATGCTGACGAGGAGAGTGTTGCAAGTGGCACCACAACATCAGCTGGTGATTTTTTCTTATTTTCAAGGTCAGTAGGCGAAAGCTCATCCAACAGTAGAGCACTGCTTAAAAAGAATGGTCTACTAAGCACTATACAAAATCGTTTCACAAATCCATTTAAGGAATTTTAAAATCACTTGTTATGCATGCACATTTAATTAGCGTTAGTTGAAGAAATTATTTGCCAAACGAATTTGATAAACAATTTTAAAAATTTTTGAAAACTATTTTTGAACTTCCACAAAAACAAAAAATTATTGCCAAATTATTGACTGTAGTATACAACAAAAATACTATCTATCTATTGATCTATCTATCGTAATTAGAATTTGACTCAAGCAATTGTTTTCGATTGGCTGCATAATTGTAATTGTAATCTAATATAGAGATTCGTTATTCAATTTGATATTGATATTGATATTAAAATTTTATAAGAAATTTTTGATGCTATATTTCAGAGACAAAAAAAAATTTCAAAAAATGAAAAAATTATTTATACAAAAAATATATAATAATTATTAAATCGCTATAATTGTACGAGTATGCCATATCACATTCACAAATTCACTTTCTACAATAATTAACCACTAACATTTCTCAAATATTTTTACTTACAACAACTAACAAATAACAAAACCAAGTACAAATCTTTTTAATACTATTTTTATTATAAGATAACTATTAAACATTAAGTTTTAAGGATTAGCTAAAAACAAGCGAAAATTACTTTACAGGTCCTCTGAGCCCAAAGAGCTGCTCTCTGATGAGCAAGTGGAGAATTTATTATTGAATCATAGAGTGGATGAAAACGGCGCCATAATAGTCGAAGAGCTTAAATCACCGCTACAGTAACAGCCAAAGCAAAACTAAAGCACTAAGAAAACCAAACTGAACCTTTTTGCCAAGAACTTAAAAAAAACTTAGAAAGGCTTTTATGCTTATAACGTATTTATTTTTTATTTAATTGCTTAGATGACAAACATATCACTTGTTATATTTAGTAAATTTATTTATTAGAGTCAAACTTAAATGGCAATAAAGTTATTTTCAAACATTTAGAACTGGTATTAATTAGATATTAACAAAGAGTGTGGATTTTAAATTTATAAAAATATTGGAGCAATGTTAGTATTGTGTGTTATTTTAGTGACATTAAAATAAAAACTAAAAATTAATTTTTAACAAATTTAAATTTAATATATAAAAGTTGAATCTCCACATATAAACTTCTGTAGACTACATATGTATGTAATTTATTAGTGTAAAAATATTTTAGTACTTAAACATTAAACACCTCAGGATATGGTATAAAGCAATATTTTATACATAAAAATCTCCTAAAATTTCAGCATGCAAATATCTAACAAATAACTAAATTAATTAATTTGTATATTAATTTTTATTAAACTCAACTCAACTTCAAACAATTTAAAAATTTTAAAAATCATCAAATAAATTTTATTTTTGCTACAAAATACAATATAAACTCAATGTGGTTATACTATAACGAAAATGTATGTAAATTCTTTTTTTAATAGCTAGAAGTTATTAATACTACTTTAAAATTTCACTATACAAACTTCTTAATTAGCACTCACTCGAAACTTTGAGATATATTTACTATTATAGAAAATCTTTCGATTATAGTGCAGCAGATATTAGTTGTGAAAAATGCAGCAAATAAAATTAACAATAATTGTCTCATTAAAAAAAATATATTTAAATTAAATATTAAGCAAAATGCAAATAAAATATTAAGTTTTTTATGTCGTTGTAGCAAAATTTTGCGATTTGTTAAATATAAAATAAATATACTACAATAAAAATATATCAAAATTATTACAAAATTTAAATAATATTTAATAAAATATTACAAAATTCTATCAGTCATTTATAGTTATATAAATATGATATTTTTCATTATATACATACATACCTATAGGCATATTTCATTAAAAATGTTACAAAATTTATAAAATATACTCATAATATTATATAATGTGAATTATACGAATATTTGAAAGTTTAGTGAAATATAATTGTTTTACAAAATTATATATATTTTAAATATTCATATAATAAAATGTTTAATAATTTTTATTGTGTGATTTAAGTGCATTTTTTTATTTAAATGATAACAATCTTTAATATTAGTTAAATAAATAGAAAAATAAATATTAATATATATAGGATCTTATTCATTCAGAGAACCATTTGATGGAGAATGATAGACCTTCTTTTAAAACTTCATTAATAGCATCACGAACTTAACTTTTAATTTAAAGCGCCTAAAGCACCATAGCTTTTTGATGCTTCCGAAAAGTACATATTAAATAATGTATAGAATTTATACCTCTTGAGGACTATTCTACCCGTGCTTTTCAGTACGGGGCACTCACAGCATGATAGACCCCAATTTGCAAAGCAAAAAGAAAAGACGCTTAAACAAACTCAGTTTCCTGAAAATATTTGTTAAGTATTTTTTTAAGCCACTCGCATTACAATGATGCCAAATCTAAACACTGATCTATTGTGAATGATTTTTGAAAGAAAATAGAAAACTGCAGTCAGCTTTTTATTACTTACAACAGTCGCGAATATTAATGATTAAATTTAAATATCTTAAAAAAGTAATTTTTTAATAAAATTTATGAATATGACTGGCAGGTTAGTAATTATGAAGAAGTTAACTATTTATAAAGGAATTTTTAATTTTTGTGTTCATTAAAAAAAGCAATGCATAAATATATATAAAACACAATCATCAAAATAACAATCCTCAGGTCCACTTCTGGACTCTCAGGAAGATATGCTGATTTAAGGTCCGTCATCAACTAAAAGACAAACAAATGATATGATTTCTTAGCCTAGTTAAAGCCTAGTGTGGGGTAGAGATAAGCCCCGCAGCCATTATAGAGTAAAAGTGCGTAATAGCACTAACTCAAGAAGAAGAATCAAGAATCAAAATAAAATAAAAAAGTTTTAATACAATTGGAAGAAAATTAAAACGTTGTTAAATACTGCTCATTTAGCATTAACTAGTGATATTACAAGTTTGAAAATGATATAAATAATTTTATTCATGCCTATCTCATTATGCATATTTATATAATAAACTTTTTTTTAAAATTCTACAAATTATTCTTAAGCACCAAAAGTTGTTCCATTGCAACATTTATCTCAAAAGAATACACCAATATTTATATAAATCCCAACGAAAACTAAAACATTTTAAGAAGATGTCTAAAAGCTTCTTAAAAAACATTTTAAGAAGCTGTCTAAGATCAAATATTTTAGAGTAGTTCAAACATTTTCGAATATTTAATAGCATTAGATACAAACGAATTCGACAATTTTTTTGATAATGCTCAAATCTGTCAAAATTAATACACTCCACTATGAAGCTTTACAAATTAATGCCTAACGACATAAAAAATAAACATTTTTCAAAAATAATCATTATCAAAGGGGAATCTTTTTCATCTTCGAACTTCATATCCGGGTAAGAGGAAGTCATAACCGTATTTTTTTTTCAGAATAGTAAAAAATACTCGCAACTTACGAAAGAAAACATGTGCAGTAAGAACATTGTTTTTAATATCTTCAGAATTAAGTTTACTTGCAAAAATTTTTGAGTTTTAAGTTTTAGTGCTGCCAAATTCAAAAACCAGTCTATGGTGAATGTTCACTGGAATTTTATTGCAAAATTCCAATCATCCGTTAAAATCAAATAAGCATTTCATTTACTTATAAATTATAATACATTAATAAATTAGTTAATATAAATATATAAGGCAATAATACTAACAATTGCACTTCTTATATTTATTTTGTTTTCTTTTATTTAAATAACACAAAAAAACAACAACATTTCAAAAATAAGCATTAATATATTTTAAAAATGATGCCAATTGGTTTTATTCAGACTTAAAGTTGTTTTTTTACAAATTTGTAAAAAAAAAAACATTACGATTATTATATTATATTATATATCTAATATAATTGTTTGAAGTAATTGTTAATTTATTGCTTTCAAAAATTGCGATGATTAATCGCAACTAACTTTGCTATTGTTTACATTTTGACAAAACAGCTGTTATGTATCTGTTGAGATAATGTTATATGTAAAGAATCAATAATTAGTTTAATACACAATCAAGCTGCAAAAAAAAACAGAAATGGATGTAAACAATGAAAAGTCATTAATAAGTAAAGAAACTTTATATGCAGGCGACACATATATACCATTAAAGTCAGGAACTCGAGTAAAATTTCATTTTCAAACAAGAAAACTCAATGATGGCAAATTATTGGACGATAGCAAGAAAATGGCTATGCCCATGGAATTGGTTCTAGGCAAAAAGTTCAAGCTTGAAGTCTGGGAAGCTATAGTCCAAAAAATGGCCTTACATGAAATTGCTAAATTTAAAGTAGACAAATCGGTAATTAATTATTATTTTTTTTCTCTTTTTTTTATAAAATAAAAAAATTTAACTAACAATCATTACTATTTGCACGTCTTTAGCTAGTAGCGCAATATCCTTTTATATCAAAAACACTGCGTGAAGTGGGAAAAAAACCTGAGGAACGACGACATTGTTGTGGTATGACTATGCAAAATGAAGGCACTGGTCACAAAGATTTAGATGTTTTATTCATGCAACCAAGTGATTTAGAATTTACCATTCAGCTTATATCGATTGAATTGCCAGAACAATATGAAAAAGAACGTTGGCAAATGTCTGATGCAGAGAAAATAAAAGCAGCAAATACTTTACATGAGAAAGGAAACTCACTGTATAAAGCCAAACAGCTTGAGCAATCCGAAGAATGCTATAGACATGCAATTGGACTCATTGAACAAATAATGCTAAAGTACGTATAAAAATTTAAATAATAATTTTGACTATATTTTATGCATATTTACGTTGTTTAGAGAAAAACCACGTGATACTGAATGGTTGGAATTAGCTGCAATTAAAGCACCCTTATTGCTTAACTACGCTCAGTGTCGTTTAATGGCTAAAGATTATTATGCAGTCATACAGCATTGTAATGAAGTGCTTGACTTAGAGCCAGATAACGTGAAGGCACTATTTCGTCGTGCCAAAGCACATGTTGGCGCTTGGAATCCAAACGAAGCACGTCAAGATTATATACGTGCTGGAGAATTGGATAAAAGTTTACAAACTGCAGTAGTCAAAGAATTGAAAGCTATTGAGGAAGCTTTGCGTTTGCGCGATCTTCAAGATAAGATAAAACTTCAAAAACTTTTTTAGAGTTTAAGCATATTAAATTTATTAGTTATATTTATTATTTATTACACAAAAGATTACTGACATTTTTCACCATTTGTTTCAAGTAACATAAATCATATTTTTTTTTTTTAATAAAATTAATATTGTTGTTTGTTTAGGATTTTTTTTTTTAATATAATTAATCAATCGCTAGACAAATTTTTTTAAACTTTTATACGGGCAATGTATGAAATCCAGGTAAATGTACTAACACATAATGAAAATAAATTGTTATATGTTACTCATATAATACGCTTAGTAAAATAAAATATTAGATTTAAATGGCAGAAAAATATATGTATATATTATACATATATACATATTACATATATGTGTATATATTCATTTTAATATTTGTGTGATTTATTTAGATTGATATAAGTCAGTATTTTTAAAAACTTTAAGTGGAACTTTTTGATAGTAAAATAAAAACTATATTTATATTAAAATATAAAAAATCAAATTAATTGATGTCCTTTTGAACTATCTTTTCTATTGTAATTGATTGAAAAAAATAATAAAATTATGTAAAAATAATGATATTTATATACAAAATAAAAATCTTGATGTAATCAAATTATCACTAATATTAAAAATATGTAATTGTATGTAAAAATGTGTAAACTATATTGTAAGTTTATATTAACATAAATAGTTACTACAAACTAATTCTTGTAATCTATGAAACTGTATCTGTAAGCGAAGCATTTTTATAATATTATATATGATATAACAGATGAATGAGAGAGTGATTTAACAATAAAATATCCTCCATGTCTGGTATTTTTTAAACTTATTTTGAATGTTTCAATAAAATATTGTGTAGCTCAGCAACTCAAAATTTCTTTTGTTTTAAGATTACGAAAATAAGACACAAAATTTATAAATGAACTTAAAAGTTATTGAATTTAAATTCCTAAAACCTGCACATAAAACATTTTATTTCATTTATATACAGAGTAATGTAATAAACTTAACTACAAACACCATTATTATAGACGATTGAACTACCCGATAATAACAAACGACCGTATAATTTACAACTGGTAACTCGCAATAACAAATCCAATCAGGCTAGTACTATAATAACATTCACTGATTTTAAAAATACATAAACGTACAATGGTATATTAAATTTTTAACAATATACTCATATATATACACAAATTTACAATAAAAAATGTTTAATTGTAAGTTAAGCTATTCTGTAGCAACATATATTCAGATGCAATTATAGTTAAACGTTTAAAAATATTATATCTATTTTGAAATTAATATTAACAATGTATTTTTATGATTAAAACCAGTCAGTAAAAAACTAAAAATTCTTTAGTCGACGATTGCTCTCTGCCTCACTACGTAACTTGTTGTCATCCGTGCGCCATACGAATGGTTCTAAACGATCTTCAATGTCTAGAAAATTATTAATAGCCTCTATACTAGCAATGTTCTCATTTAAAAGTGAATTACAGCGCGCCAATTGTTGGGATACGCTGCGTATCTTTGTAAACTGCTCCGCATAGGACGAGTAAGTTTTCTGCATATCCACAAATGAAGCAAAAAGCGTTGTTATTGAGTTGCTAACAATTTTCGTGCGCTCAACCAAATGATTTTGATCAGTTGCGATTTGTACAGCACAAACATTCAAATGTGTCTGCATACGGCAACATATATTCATTAAATGTTCCGAATGTAAACGTCCGAGTACTTCAGGATCTCTGGTAACAGTAGCTGATGAAATGGATTCACGTAGAACGGGTAAAAACTGTGGTATGTTTCGAAGACGTGCCAAATCAGGGTCTATATCAAAATCACTATCACGTCCACCGGGCTTAACAATAACTATACTATGACTAGATACTGTAGATTGGGGTCGTTTAGGTTTTGCACCTGTTGGATGAGATTTACGAGAACTGCTGCTATGCAGTGCACTGCCACTCCTGCCTCGCATTTGTATTTTAGGTGAATCACCTCCTATAGGTTTATCGGTGTAGGAAACATATGGTAAATCGGAACATACACTAAGTGGTGGTGACGATGGTCTACTTATTTCAGATGCAGTTGGTGACGCAGTTTCGCTGCTTTGTTTATTGGTAAAATTTGCCACACCACCATTGTTCGGCTGGTGTTGTTGCCGTTTGTTTGTGCTGTTGTCTATAGTTCTTGCACGAACTGTTGCTGCTGTGTCGGATTTTCTTTGTCCCTCAAATACTTCTCGGCCATCTCCACGCTGTTGTGAATGCTCCGCACCCATTTTTTATATATGGATTGTAGTTAACAAATTATTTTTTTATAATTTATATTGATTTTTTATTATTTATCTTTTGTCTATCTCTTTTAATATAGACAATTTTTACTTTTTAATATTATTTCATAAGTATTGATTTTGAGTTTTTGGTATAACTTTGCAAATTTTGAGATCTTTTTTTTTATTTGTTTACATTTTGTTGAGTAAAATAAAGTCACATCACAGCAAAACAATTTGTACAGAATCAGCTGCTGTTAATTATCATTATTTTAACAGAATATTCTAAATATCGAGGAACACTGAAATTGAAACAACTAAGGAGTAGAGACATAATTTTGTGTAGTGCTGAGTTTCTGAAAAAAAAATTTAAATTTAAATTCTTTCACTCATATATTATTAATAATATTGTATTTAATTAGTTTTAACGCATAAATTATTCATTTTAATAATGTGTTATGTACTGTACAGATTAAATAAATAAATTTGGGTTATTTATATTCTGTTTATAGTTAATTTGTTTCGTTTAATGAGTTTTTTAAATATTAATTTGTTAACTTTAATGAATTTAATATCAGAATATATTTAAATGTTTTATAATAAATAATATACCGGAATCACCTAAATTTTTTAACAAATAGTCAGAATTGGTTAGCACCGACCAATTAGAAGAAGAACCTTTTCAAAAATTTGGCAGATATGTTTTTAACGAAGATTTAAATAATATTAGGCTAGTCCAAAAAAACAATAAAGTAAGTAATTATGAGAATTCATCGAAATTTTATTATTATTTTATAATATTATTAAACTTTTTTCTTGATAATATTTATATCATTATTAAAAATTTTTTTTTGTTAAGATTAAATCTATGGACTTAAAACTACACTCAGCTTTAGATTACTTTCAAGACTTCATAGATATTATATACCAGACCTAATTGTTTATAGAAATCATAATTATTTTATTCAAATAAAAGAAAAATCAGTAAATTCAATAGATTAGAATCTGGAATTTACTTACTGCCCATCATTTAAAATTAATAAATTTGTTGCCAGTGTCATTTTTATTATTAAGCTACCTATAACCCTTGATCATTGAACGTATACGCAATATTCTCTTCAGAATAATAATGATTATATCTGTTATATAATACTTATTATTATTCTTTTTATATAAAATTAAATACTACTTTTTTTATTTTACAGAGTCTCTCTTTAATTTGATTTGCCACTATAAATTTATAAATCTAAATCATCAAACTCTTCAAACTTTTTTTTATTTAAAGCTGTTACAGTCAATGCCATAGGTGCCCAATTACCGGAAGAACACACTGTACCAAGTGACACCTCAGTGCGGAAACTGAGATACGGATAGAGTTACATGATTTATTTTTTTTTTGCATTAATTTTCTGTCTTTTTTTTCAATCGGTTTAGTTTGTCACGCAACCGAAGTGAAAGATTACGATCTAGTACGCAGCTCAATCATCAAACATGTGTATTATATCTAGTTTGCTTGACAAAATATTGAATTTTGCTTCATATGAGCGGAGTTTCCAATACTAAAATCTAAAATTAGCAATTTACTATCCACATGGAATGGTTAAGGCTTTCCGATTTAACCATATTATCATTAACTATGGTACGATGAAAGAAACTGATTCGTTGATGACAAGAACAAAACTATTTGTTAATATAAAAATAAGTATAATGTTATTATAATTTTATATACATTTACTTTATTTTAATTAATTTGAATATTATCTTATCATTTTTATATAATGGTATTATTTAAAAAAAAAAATCTATGACACATAACTAGAGTGGTGACACTGTGAATTTACTGCACTGTACATCACCAACCCAACGCCGTTGATCGAAATTATGATTTACAATTAATTAATTAACATTTACAATAATTAAAACTTAATATATATATATTTACAGATTAATGCCCGAAATAAATTTTTATATTACACATAAGTAATTTAATAAATAACAGCAACGTTTCAATCTTGTGGAAATAGCTTACAAAAAGCTTATTTTATCGATAACATTGATATCGAAGCTTACTTTAGTATTTGTTTATATATGATTAATCACAGAATAACAATTTTTTTCAAATTTACTTTTTCGTAATGTTTACTTACTATGCAAAATAAATATTATATATATAGTGAGATCACGAGTAGAAATCTTGACAAAAAATCTATACTCTCAATTTTCTTGCACAGTTCTAAGCTAAATTTAAATGGAATCAGTTTAATAGTATTATTATTAATAACCAATAATCATTATTAGTATCGCTCAATTAATGATTGCGCTACCTATATACACAATATTTATATATATGCAATGGAATCAGTTTAATAGTATTATTATTAATAACCAATAATCATTATTAGTATCGCTCAATTAATGATTGCACTACCTATATACACGATATTTATATATATGCAATATGTTAATAGACATATTGCATATATATGCATATATATTTATTTTTTTACAAATAAAGTTAAACAGCAAAAGATGATAATAATTCAATATTGTTTTTTTTGTGAATTATATTATTATTGATTAAATATTCATATTTTACAAACTAATTGGATATCGATTGCAGTTTAAAAGTTTTTATAAATATATAATAATTTTAATAAACGGTTGATTGAATGTAAATGGCATTTATCAGAAGCTTAAAAAAATTAAATGATGCACAAATTAAAAAAAATTCAAATTTAATTAAAAAAAAATATTGCAAAAAGCTCATTAAAAAGTGATAAGATTACGGACTTAGTTTGCTCGGTAAGTGGTTACTGAACCTTAGAGAGATTCTAATCATAGAACAAAATTTAGTTGAAACTAAAACGTTGAAAGAGAAACGTTGATATCAGTTAAAGCTTTAATTCAAGCAATTTTTTTTAACAAATAAAATATACAAAAATGGCAAAAGTAAGTGAATTTAAATACTTGATGAAGTGATCGAATATCCTAAATATCTTAAATGTTTAAATAAAATAAAAATATTTTATAAGTTCTATTATTATATAACAAACAATCTAATAATGCATAACTTAATATTAAAACTGGTGAACATCCAAAGCAGCAAAACATTTATTGTAATAATATAGCTAAGATGTGAACATATAAATATGTATATAAAAAAAGACAATGGAAAATAATTAGTTGAAATATTATTATTGAAATTTCCTTTAAATACATATAAATATAATCAATAAAGAAATTATATAAAAAGTACAGTACAAATTATTCAGGCCTATTCTGAATACTCCCAGGGAACAAAACTCTCTATTCCCACGCTGGAATCCCATTCATTTCAGAATTTGGTCTCGTTTCATTTTTGTATTGTTTTAAAAACAATAGTTAACACTTTAATTAGTGGAAAAAATCCGTATGAATAAAATAAATAAATACAAATTTAAATATTTTAAATTAACTTTTATTAAAATAATAATTTTATTAAAATATATTCGGAAAACTAATCAACTCTTGTGGATAAATAAAAAAATAAAACTTTGAAAATATTAAATTTATTGTAATAATGTTATTATAATACTAATTTTATTAAAATATCTGATCATTTTCAGTTACTAAACCATTTTCAATACTTTTTTAACTTGTCTCCCCAACAATTTGCTTGGGAAAGAATTTGTGCAAAATTGGGAAAAAAAACTCCCATTCCCATGCGATTCAAAATAGCAAAATTGGAAACAGGGAACAAAACTCCCATTCCCATGCTATTCAGAATAGGCCTGATTATGTGTACTTACACAAAAAAGTCAAGCTTCAAGTAACTAAATACTTACGATGTAATCTTGTTGCTTTATAATTACATATATATTATAGCAGTAAAAAGTATAACGAAGCCTTATAAGTTTATAAATGAAAAAAAGGTGATTAACTTATTTAGATCAGATTTAATAAAGTTTATCATTAGGAATTTGTACCTCACATAAATTTTTTATAAACAACACGGCAGCATATGTTCTATAAGTTAAAATTTCAGGTCGCGATAAGATTGTTGGAGTGGCATAAAATATAATTAATATATGTATATATATATATAAATATATAAATACATACATGTATGCAAATATTTATTTGTGTTTTTGTTTTAAAATTATTATATTTTTATCTCTAAATTTATTATTTTTTTTTCACACTTAAGCGTGTCGTTTATTCACGTGCTAAGAAAGAAGAACGTGAACAAAGTTCTTTGCCTCTATTAGAAATTGATTTTGTTTTTAAGAAATCGTACTATAAGTACAGTACAAAGCATAATAATAAAACAGTTATGAAAAATTGTTTTATTTTATATAAAATAATATAGTATTATTATATAAAAATATTATGTTCATATAATATAAAATGATATAATAATTTTAGTTGCATATGAAAAAATGTGTAAGTTAGAAAAATTTTAATTGATAGTAAGTTGTATGACTAAACATATAATATAAATTAATATATACACATAATTTAAATTAACATAATAATATCATTAATCATTAATACATTAAAAAGTATGTATTTAAAAAATAATTGTTAGTTTTACAAGTTTACCTTACAATATTTTCTGCTGATCTAATTATTTTCCTGAGAATTTTTTAATCTAGACACTGACTAAGCATGTAAACAAATAAAAACAATATACAAATATTAAACATTTTTCTAAATAAATTGATAGTGTTAAGTCACTTATAAATATTTTGTTAAAATCGAAATCATCTAATTCTTGCCACAAAAAATTTTTAAACATGTCTCTGTATCATTCTCCATTGGCAATAACTGTAATGTCATCACATTTAAACAAAAAAAGGTTGGTATGTATCTCCAGACTATAGCTAACACCAAACTAATTATTTCGTCAACTACATGTGGATTTTATTTTCTCTTAAGTTACTCTAAAACCTTTAACTGGAAAATTCAAACGCATGAAAGGATGAATTTGTATTCGTTCTTGGATCAACTGAAAATTTATAAAACTTGAAATGTAAACTTGATAAAAAAGGTTAAACAGAATGCTATGAGAATTAATTCATTTTACTCGATTTCCATATGCACTTTGGTTCGTAGCAACAATGACTAAGCGGAAATCACACAACGATTTAACTTAAACTTTTTATTTACATTACGCTCAGCCGGTCAATATATTCATTATTTAATAATAGTAGTAATAGATAACTCTGAAATTTATACACTTATGACTCAAAGATAACAAATGGAATAGTAGCGGGTATTTACTCGCGAGATATGCAAATTAGACGATTATACTGACTACATGATAGATGCAACGTATTTCTGTTTAAGATATAAATAAACAGAAAAGCAGCCATGTTAATACTAGTTAATCAAATTCATCCTGCGAGTGCACTGCCTTTAAAGACAATCAAACAACAATAAAAGTAATTGACAACAGAACAAAAAATACAAGTTAGTCCCATTCGCACTGCGAATGTCACTGTCTCTTTAGAAAATCAGGCCACCATAAAAGCAAACGTGTCCAGAACGCCGAAATAATGGAGAGTAATAATTAGACTTACACTACTTTATGGCTGTGTTACTTATGACAATGCTGCGCCATCCACTATTAAAAAACTCCGAACATATCAGTATTTTGTACTAAAACGTTGTCAAAAGCTCTATGATACATCAGAAAAATGTATGCAAAAGTATATCAAAGACAGAGCGCTGAAATTGTTCGATTCTGTGGATTTGTTCAGTAATTCAGAATTGCACTCTCCCAAATCTAATGTAATATATATATTCCGTCAGCCAGATATGCTGGGCTTCAAAGTTTACTGCTATAAAATCATCCGAAAACCTTATTATGAGAATTCAAGAATTATTAATATGCATCATCTAAATGATAACAGACACTATTGAAGTAAAAGTGCTGTAGATATTACCTCGCGTTTGATCAAGCAAAGAAGAAGAAGAAATAATAAGATGTCACATGAACATTGAATGTCAAAAAGTCTTTCTATGGTGATTTACTGTGATTTACATAAGAATATTGAAAGAAATGAGATAGCCGATGAGATGGCCAGAAGAGGTTCTGAAATGGATATATTTAAAAACGATGTCACGATGCAAATATCGTTGTATGAACGGTTTAGAGTCATCGAAAAATTCCACATCACAGAGACAAATGACATGAATTAAGCTTTTCGTAGCTAATTAGGTCTAATTAAACGAAAAGTTTTTTGAACTTTAGCAAACCTGTAGTTCCTTTACTTACTGGAGTACTAACCAGGCACTGTATCATTGCGTATAGTTCTTTGGTTCAACGGTGGTGGCCTGATTATACCATATATATATATAAATTTATTTTTTTGATTTAGACCACAAACTCTTTATTATATTTAAAGACTTTTATGGATATATTAATAACTATTACAAACACTATATTCCTTTCAGGTTACGGAAACTAAACCTAAACCTCGACATATATTACAACTAACATCTGAAGAGAAGCGAAAGTTTCTAAACTCATTCGATAATGTATTTTCCGACATTGATGGTAATAAATAAAATCCTTAAAATACTTGTTATATGATATATTAATAATTAATATATTAATAGGGGTCGTGTGGGATTTGGAAACAGGTATACCAGGATCAGCCGATGGATTTGAAGCCATTAGAAAAGCTGGCAAAAAATTAGATTTCATAACGAATAATAGTGTTCGCCCACTAAAAAGTTATGAAAAACGATTCAAAGATATGAACTTGGATATAGATGTGGTAAATAACTTAATATATAAATAATTTCACTAATTTCAATAAAATATGTGTTAACAATTATTATATATGTTAAGTCTGAAGTAATAAATCCTGCTAAGAGTGTTGTGGAATATTTAAAAGATATTAAATTCAATGGTCTTATTTACGTGATAGCGGGAACAACGTTTAAGAGTTATTTTAAAGATGCTGGACTTAAATATATTGATGGAGTAAGTATTTGACTTGAAATGTATAAATTATACATACAATAACATATATCTCTTATTTTTTTTAGCCAAATGAAATAATTCAAGAATCCGCAGTAGAGGTTCTGACACATGCTTTTGATCGCCAGAACGTAGATGCGGTAGTAATCGATGTAGATTTTAATATGTCTTCCCTGAAGTTGATAAAGGCACATGTTTATTTAAAAAATCCGAAATGCTTACTAATCGCGGGTGCAACTGATTTGTATTTACCAGTTACAAAAGAATGGAACATATTGGGCCCTGGTCATTTTGCTAATATATTAAATGTATCTACTAAACAGAATATGATCACTTTGGGCAAACCTGGCAAGGCCTTAGCTGATAAAATAATAAAGCAATACAAGATCACAAATCCTAAGCGTACCCTTATGATCGGTGATATGTTACAACAAGATATAGGGTTTGGAAAATTATGCGGATTTCAAACTTTACTCGTTCTAAGTGGCGGTTGTTCGCTCAAAGAAATGGAGGAAGAAACCAATCAGAATCAAATACCGGACTACTACGCTGATTGCGTTGGAGACTTTATTAATTTTATGGATGATTTGAAAAAAGCTAATGTTTAAGACATGAACATATGTTTATATTTGCATATATGTTTAAGGTATATAGTACACTTCGACGTATTAGACAGGTTAAAAAAATGTTTTGTATAACTATTTATTGGGTATATTATATGATTTTTTATAAATTTATGATTTAAGTTCACATAAATCAGCTAGAGTGTTTGCTATAAAATCAGGCGTTTCATTTAGTGATAAATATTCGTTTAAGTCTGCAGATTTGGTACCACCGGTCAAGACCAGCAGAGTCTGGAAACCGCACATTTTGCCAAACTTAATATCGCTTGTTAAGCTGTCACCTATGAAGAGCGCACGTTTAGCATCCTGAAGACTGTAGTTACGTTTTAAAAGTTCACATAACTGCAATCCTGGCTTTCCTAGTATTGTGGCTTTACGTTTCGTTGACTCCTCAACAACACTTATAAATGGACCAGACCCTATAAATATATAAATATAATATATATTAATATATATTAATATATAATAGCTATTACACAAACTCACCGATTACATCCATGCCACCAAATGGTATCAAAACATCCGCAGCGCCTCCTATAAAAAGACAATCTGGATTTTTAAGGTGCACATGTGCACGCATTAGTTTAGCTGCTGTCAAATTGAAATCTACGTCAATGATGACCGCCTTCACTGGGTCATTACAATAAATAGCCTCACGTAAATCGTTTACTGATTCGGGTATAATACGTTCTTCCTGTTTCAATTTATAATTTCAAAATTTGAAGAGATTACGTGTTTTAATTACTAGTAAATTGATGCCATACCTGCTCCACCAGCTGAAAGCCAGCTTCACGCAATATATTCTTAAACGGTCTTGTGGCCAAACAGAATATCAAACCTTCAAATTTGATAGATTTTAAGTAATTGCAGATCGTTTCCGCCGGATGCACAAGTTCATGCTGTGAGTGTCATAATTAGTTTATTTGATCATTTAAAAATTATTTTATACCTTGTCTATTGTAATTTTTGAGCGTTCGAATTTCTTGAGCTGTTCAGATGTCGATGTAATACTGTTATTTGTGACGAAAATCACTTTTTTATTTTGTGCTCTTAAAAAATTGATCGCTTCTGCCGCACCTGGTATAGCGTCTCGTAAAGTTTGCCATATTACGCCTAAATTAAACAATTACATAATTTAATAATAACTTTTTTTAAAAATATTATTACCATCACAATCACAAAAGACCACGTCAAAAGAATCCAAGAATCTTAACTTTTCTCGACTCGTCAAATTTTTTATATATTTACTTCCACTGGGATTACACTACAAAATTTGAAATTAATAAAAATCAACAAAATTACTAAAAATCAATTATTATTATAAATAAAATCGGACAACTAATAAATATTTGTTTTTGTTTTAAATATAAATAAATTTTAAATATAAAGAAAGAAAGAAAGATAAGTAAGGCTGGCTATCAAGAATCACGTATACATCTAACGCCTCACAGCGTTACCAAATTATACTCTTTAAAAGTAGTTAATAATGTTATGCATTATGCATTATATTATGTATGTGTCTCATTAACGCATATGAAGTGATACTTTAGTCCAATATCAAGGTTAGGTTAGGTTGGAGTGGCGGCCTTGTGTACCAAGAAAGCCCACTTGAGCTCAAATAATTGCCCGTTGTGGTACCACAGGAATATCAAGGACAAAGTTCAAAATATTATAGTCGACTTTTTGAGAGACCAAGACAGATACGAAGAAAATGATTAAGAATTTTTTATATTAAAAATTAATATAACCTTAATGATAAATATAAAACTATATAAAACACTGGATCAGTGAATCATTATGATAAGTTCGTAGAGTTATTATAGAACTCCTGTGAATTGAAAAACTTAAAGAAGAAAGAAAATATAAGAAAAGAATCTTATAAGAATAAGATTCAATTTTTCTATAAGACTCATTTTTCTTTTTAAAAAGCTATAGACAATTTTTGAGATACATGGCCAAGGCACAATTTTTAAAATTGAAAAATTGATTAACTTATTAGTTTTCTTAACTATTCATTTATAATACCAGTAACATTTTAACAAAGCCCCCTCATCGATAATAAATAGCAAAGAAAAGCATACTACAAACAATTAATCAATAAAATTGTACTTAAAATCTTTAACTTTAATCGGGAATCAGTTTTCATAACTGCTCAGACATAAACACGCAAATATCTTCATCATCAACAAATTCCATTCAAGAGGGTTCGGTTGTTTTCCTCCATGGATAGGACTCACAAATATCTGATTAATGTGTGATTTCACCGACAAATCATTATTTTATGTCTTAGATCTTTGTTGATCTCATTAATCTCATATAAATAAATCAATCGATCAATTGATTGGGGAATGAAACACAATTTTTATTGTAAATTTAATTTCTGCATTTTCTTTCCCCATTTTACGGTATTCAGCAGCTGCAAATTTTGCGATTAAAGCATGATCGCACCGTCATCTTTGTCGATGTCATTGATAGATCAATATACCAATCGATTAAGAGATGAATTAAGTTTTTTATAATAGTATTCCTATTCTCATTTCCTTTTCTTGTTTCTCAGTACTCCGTGGAGTTCTTGGTCAATACAAACTCTGTGGATTGGTGCAAATCTGTATTAATTACAATACCATTTATGCAAATAAAATTAAAAGTGCTAAAACCAGAAATTATTGCTAAATAAACAAATAAAAATTATATTTATAAAAAACTATTTCTAGTTTGTGCTAATAATTGTCAATTTTAGCAAAACTTTAATACCAATTAACCTTAGTAATCACCAAATATCGAGATGCAAACCGAGATACAATAGACTTTCATTGTGTTTTAAAATATATTTTAAGTATAAATTCATGCAAATACCAGATAATATCAATAGTCAATTTAACTACTTTGGTAAAGTAATACGAAACCGAAAGTACTTTTTAAATTTTTTGTCACTTAAAAACGTATTCAAAATGAAAACTCATATTTCTGTATTGGCTTTAATTGCCCTAGTGGCTCCAAGTATGGCTACACTTGATAAACTTGGCTTTCTATTCGATGGTGCAGCTGGTAATACTGGTTATACAGCGGGTTACGGTGGTGGATATGGACTATCTGGAGGTTACGGTGGTTATGGTGGTTTCGGAGCAGGATATGGTGGTGCAGGTCCAGTAAAAGTACTTAAAGTTTCCATATCACCTACAGTTGCACATGGTGGTAGTTATGGATATGGTGGTGGGTATGGTCTTGGTAGCAGTTACGCCACAGGTGCTATTGGTAGTGCAGTTACTGGAATACCTAGCGTATCAACATCAGTTGTGTCAACTCCAATAATTACTTCTATTTCCACTCCTTATGTAAATACACCTGTTGTTTCCAGTTTACCTATAAACATTGGTGCAGGTTATGGTTACGGTAACAGCTTTGGACTGGGATATAATGGCGGTTACACTAACGGCTTAAGTACAGGATACAGTAGCGGAGGTTTTGGTAATGGTTTCGGTTTAGGATTGGGTGGCTTTGGAAGTTCTTTTGCTAGTGCTGGATTATGTTAAATAGCTAAAAAAAAGCTAATATGATATTATGTTTTCGATGATTTCAATAATTATAACTCAGAATAAATATTTGCAAATTATAAACGACTTATATACATAGTCTTATTTAGTTAAACTGTATTATGAATTAAATATTTTATATAGAACGATATAACAAGACATACACATATATATAATTAGTTCTTTTTTTTAATATTACTTTGTTTTATACTACATATTAATAAATATCTTTTTTTAATATTATACAACAATATTTATCTTTTTTTTAAACAAAAGAAAATTCTCTTGAAACTCTTGAGGATACATTTATATGCGACAGAACTTAAGCAACCCGTCAAGATCATTGAAGGAATTTCTAACTATGCAGGATATTTTTACTTTTATTTAATATTTTTATTTTGAAAAATCACATAGTTTGTTTAAAGTTTTGAAAGATATTCCTATATACCAAAGATCTTAAGCGACCGGTCAAGATCATTGATCATTGAAGGAATTTCTAACTAGGCGGAATATTTTTATTTTTATTTAATATTTTTATTTTGAAGAAACACATACAGTTTGTTTAAAGTTCTTAAAGATATTCTTATATACGATAGAACTTAATCGATCCGTTAAGATCATAGTACTTTCTTCAACGTTTAAAAACTGAACTAAATTTTTAAGAAACTTCAGATCATGTTAGCTGCATACCTCAGTAAAATTCTCCAGAGCTTCTGCCATAATTAATACAAAAAGTTCAAATATATTGAAATTTACATGTGTAAAGCAAAAATTTGTAATTCAAAGCTTAATGATCTCAAATATCACTGAAACAATTCAAAGGCCAACCACAGATTCTTTGTGTTTACAATTTCAATTGTCGACTTTACTGAAACGCGTCTTCTTCAGAACTAATTCAGTTATTGCGGCTATTGTTGAAGATCACACACGATCGTTAGAAACTGATATGCGATCTCATAAAAGATACCTTCAGAATAATATAATTTTACAAATTAAGTGAAGACAATTTTTCAATTTGTCACAAGATGCACTTTAATTTATACTAGGAATTGAATCGAGCTTGAATACAAATAAGTGTGAGTGTGAAGCATCGCACATAGAATGCAAATTATTGTATGAAAATGATTACTTTTGAACAAATATGCTGTCTAGAATAGAAATTTAAAAATATGATTTACAAATAATATTTATTTTTATTATTTTTATATGCAAAATGTTGTCAGTAGTTTTGCTCGGATAAAAAGTTACTTATTCATTTACCTACAAATAGTGATGGGAGATGAAAAATATCTAAACGATAAAAAGCATTTCACAAACAATACACAGTATTCCCCCCTATAACGCGGTACCCTTATAACACGTTTTCATATTACGCGATTTCAATCCCACGTATAACACGAGTATTCCCCCATATAACGCGGAGATTTGTACAGTTCATAACTAGTTTCGCGTAGCTTTGCACGTGTGTATACGGGGTGTACGGAAATACCCCTATAAAGCGTTTTCCTATAACGCGGAACCAATTTACCTTGTTATAGAGGGGATTACTGTATTATACAACTATGTGAAATACATATTTGAATTATATAATAACAAAAAATACAAATTATAAATACTTTAAGTTGTTTGAACTTCATTCGTTTAATATTTTTGCGCGGTGGGCATTTAAGGTACATCTAGATATGTTGTATTGAAAACTTTATTCGTGAACCTACTGGTACTAAATACTGACCAGATTGGTTGTAATTTAAATATCGCTGCCATATAAACTAATCCTTCTCGAATATGTGACAGTAGGCGAATGTTTTTTAGATTTCAATTGATTTTATTTAAATATAAAACTATATCTAACTAGTCTATATATTGATATAAAAAGTTTACTAGACCGGTTCAGATTGATCGCGGTCGGAGTGGCCTTACAGCCTTTTGCCTCACATAATTAACAATTATTTGCCGTGTTAATACCAGATCCCTTTCAAGAAACTGCAGTAAATAAACTAGATTCATCCAATTAAGTTTTTACAGTTTAACAGATCTTTTGTTCTTACTGATAAGACCTCTCATAGACTATTCCGAAAGTATTTCCATAAAAGTCTATTCCTGCTGTTAACTGAAGGTGAACAGTAACAGGAAAAATGTGTAATTGACGATTACTGAGCTATCAAATAGACTGTTATAACAGAAATGGAGTTCCTATATATAACGAAATTATGAATATACCTGAAAAATATTAAAAAAATTCTCTTAAAAATAAAAACAAACCATCATAAGATCTTTGATAATAATTTTATCTACTATACATGAGGGTATTACACATGAAGAAAGCAAGATAGGTATTTATCTACTATACATGAGGGTACTACACATGAAGAAAGCAAGATAGGTAATAAATAGATAATGTGAAACTGTTAATTACATATTTAAGAATGAATGCTTTTAAGTGTCATCAGAAATGCAATAATAATTTGGCTGTCATATAAGGATGTCTTTATTACGATAACTTATAACTGCAACCAGCTCTTTAATAGTTCGCCTTATCTTATTGTATTGTAACCAAACCCCTAATTATTTAAAAAAAAAATAGATGTTAAATCATCAGAAATACTACTCCACGCTAGCATTAACGCAATCTTCTTCCGATTTTATTGATATATAATATAATAGCGCTATTAAACTTGTTGCAACTTTCCATGCAGTCGTTTAGTATTTAGCACTTATGTATGCTAAGAACTACTACTCCGAATGCTTCTGAAAAAATTTAAAACAATTCTTCGGAAAGGATTTTATTTTTGAAAAAAATTTTTATTTATTCTCTAAGATATTATCATTTTCATCTTATATATTTTAGGTACAGACGTTGATTGTGGTCAATGATTTCACTTATATAATAACTATTTTTAATTTTATTTATAATTATTGATTCGAAATTAGTTCGAAATTTTTACATTCTTATTATTGTAACATTAATATGATTGTTTTTTTAACCGTTTAGCTACATAATTATAAAAATTCTTATTAATTTTTAATTAATATATTTATAAAACAAATTTTTAAAATTTATTTTATTATGTTCATATACAAAAATTGTGCAAAATTTTCTAACAAGCTTTATATTAATTATTTAATTAAAAATTACAAAAATTTGTTTAAAATGCATTGCAAAATGGACGTAAAATCCAGCTATTGTAAATAAATTTATTTCAGTATTTTAAGGCAATACGGCAAAACTTAAAATGCAAAGAATATTAAAAAAAAACAGATATTTTAATAATTTATGTTTTATTTCTTCATAGGAGTATCATACAAAAATATTTCAAAACAAGCCAATTTAAATAAAGCTAAGTATTAATATTTATATACAATAATTTAGCACATACGAATAATTTTCTTATTAACATTTTAAATAAAATTTCTCGAAATATTATTAACAATTTATTTTTTTTACACAACACTGGTTTATACTTAACAAAATAGTTTAATTTTGATCTTTGAATATTTATAAATAAATTTCAGTGCATATTTTATATATGTTTTTATTATACAATAATTGGCTTTTTTCTGTTTGTAAAAATATTATTAATAAAATATTTGAGCAGTTTTAAGCTTTTTTTTAGTAAATATTCTTTTTATTATTTTATTCGGATTTGTAAAAACATAAAATGAAATACTCTTTTATTGTAATTATATAATTGAAATCTTTAAGTACTTAAGATATTAAATATTATACACACTTTTTTCTTGTAATATAAATATGTAATAGGAAAAAACTAATATATATTTATCCTGCATACAATATATAAAAAATAACACCTTTTCCAATATTCTGTAATAACATCGTATAACATCTGATTTTGTAAAATGATTTTAAATGAAACAAAATACCTGCTGGTGATACCAAAAATTTATAGCCATTATATTACTTTTACAAATTTGTTCTTAGAGTTTAAATATAAAACTATTTTTAAGTGATATACAAACAGAGAGTAAACAAATAAATTACAATATTTCACTGGTTTAGAATGAAAATTAGTGTGATTATAATAAATACTAAATATAAATACAATGCATTATATTCAACATAACAACATAAATAGAATAGATCAGTATTTTTAAAAATAGGCTTATGTAGTATCGAGTATTCATATACAGCTTAATTAAATAATGATATAGAATATAAATGATCAAAAATTAAATTTATATACAATAAGTGTGATATATATTCTGACTTTTACACTGGGGTTGTTCGATCATTGCTGTATACACCATCTGATGGGGTGTTATTAGAATAACGTTTACGTAGTATATCAGTTTCTGCATCTGACTGCTGGGCATTTGACGACTGATTTGGAAGAACTTTGCTTCCTATAATATTGGCATTGTCGTTAAGTTTATGCATAGCAACTTTTTCTGCAGCAGTTTTCTTTTCATATTCGATAATATGTTCACGCAATAAAAAGTCTTCACGTTTTATACGCTTGAGTAACTTACTAGGTACATCTGGTATTGCCCAAGCCACTATAGCTTGTATAACTCCAATCACATTCTGAAATTTTTATTACATTACAATAATTATTATTATGTTCGGAATAATTTATGAAACAATTTATAATTATTTATAATATCTCTAAACTTAATATATTCACATAGTTAAAAATTATAATATATAATTTAAAAAAAAACATAGGCTTTGGCCTTCACTTTTTCTTCTTTAATTATTAAATCATACTAAATATTTTAAGTAAAGTCAAATATGATACAAAAGAAAACCATTTTAAAAAGAAAAGAAATAAGTTATAAAAAAAAGTTTGCATGTATCAATGCGTTTGATTGTTTTTAAATTGGGAATCTAATCCAACTGAGACTGCAAACACTGTAGAGAAGAGAGTGAAACCGCATACCATGTGCTACGGAAGTGCCCGGCACAAATACGCAAGCAGAAGAAACACCTTGAAAGCTATTTCATTGAACATAAGGATTCAAGACTAGGATAGATAGGTCCTATACTGTCTTTCATTAAAGAAGTCGAACTTAGAAAATTGCTCTAATCCGACTAAGGGGCATAATAGATCTTTTAGGTTGCAGTGTACTATCCTTTTTTTCATAATAAGATGTTGGATCAAAACGATGTTTTTGCTTCTACTCCACCTGCTTATCTACCTACACTTTTTTAATAATTATTTTAGGATAAATTTAAAAAATTGTGAAAAGAAAATATATATTTTAATCAAACAATTCTTACATACATATCAATTACATCTAAACCCAAAACGTGTTACGTCTAACCCAAAAAAATATCGCTAAAAGTGCAAATACAATATTTTATGGACCGGTAGTAATACAGAAGTAGATGGATAGTGAGCACGAAGGTTAAGAAACATTGATCTAAGTTATCAGTATACTTCTAAGTTAAGTACTACATGAACATATTTAAAGTTAATATTATTTATTATTTATGGTTATTAACCATTATTACCCACTATTTTTATACATACCTGGAATATAACAATAAATGCCAGGCGAGCCATTAAAATTTTCCAGTATATCATAGGTCGTTTATAACGTTGCTCATGCCAAGGTGGATTACGAAACTCTGTATATCGACAGGAAGTTACATTTTCATATGGGCTACCCACAAGAACAGGTTGCACCTATTATAAAAAAATAATATTCAAATGAAAAAGCACTATAACGTTTTTTAACAAAATAAATACCTGAAAATGTTCTGTATTAAAATAAGCCAGTGTGAAATTTAAATAACCATTCAAAGACTCATCATGCGTGGCAGTTTTATATACTAATTTTGGTATTAAATTTGTAGAAAATGCAATAATCATAGCCTATAATAAAAAAAAATTATATTGAAAATTATATTTTTGTTAAAAAATGTGCACAAAATTCTACTATGCTTACACTTGAAGCAACTGCAATCTTCGTGACAATTGTTAGCATATGATACCAAACACCAATATTGTGTGCACGTTGACCCACAGGACGACGAAATAGTTTTAACATCTTTATAGCATCCAAACGTACTTCAAGCACATTATTAATTAATGCAAGTAGTGGAGCTAATGGGAATGCTAAGCCAAAAAGTGTAATGAAACCAAATTGGAGTACTAAAAGTAAGAAAAAAATTTGATTGTAATCTTATTTTTGTTTTTTACTTTTATATACTCACCCATTTCTAAATATTCTGCAAACATCGAAGTATTCGTCCATGGTTGTAAGTGATAATCTTCAGTCCATTGATTACAAGAGACTAATTTTTCTTCAGTATCCACTTGCGTTTTATTAAAGCGTGCACAGAACTTTCGGCACGTGCGCGATAAATATGGTATCAACATCTCAACAATGGCATTAACGGCCTGTTTACCAACCATTATTATAACAAGCTGCATGCAAAGTTCCATTAAACAACCACCGGGACTGCATTCCTCTTGACGGAAACCCAAAATACGATTGTACTTAGCTGGGTATCCAACAAATTTACCTTTCAAAAATGCAATATAAAACAACGAAGAGTAGTAATTGACAAATTGGAATATGTAGTTTTTGATTGTCAGACTTTCATCATATTCAGTTTGTGTACGACAATATTCCAGATTTGTCAGGTAAACAGCTAAGTTCGAGTAGACATAATCTAATAAAGAGATTACTATTAAATCGATAATACCCGCTGTCATGGGTAAGACCATAATTTTGTAAGTCATCGTGTCTTCGTTGCCTAGTATACTATGTGATGCTTTCTGCGCCATACGATATACAATCAACGAAAATATCGCTATCAATGATATGCAAATCTATAAAATAATAATATTATTATAAATAAGTTATATTTACATATGCACATATAATAAATATACATACAAATAACACCATTATACTATAACTAGTAAAACTGGGTAGGAACTTTGTTCTCCAAAACGGCACATCTGGCTCTAAAACATTATTTGTCGTATTTAACTTTGTAGCAACAGTTTTGGATTTACGTAGTTTCGCTAAATACTGTGGCCGTGGATGTTCAACATGGTGTGAGAAACCGGTTAGACCCCAACGGTGAACGAGTCCAGCTGAATAACGTTTCCAAAATTCCAAATACAAAACAGCTGTAAAAATAAAAATGATATATAATTAAAAACCATTTTATTTTTATTATTTATTTTTTTCGTATTTTCTAACATACCCCAAATCGACATAACAAACGCAAAAAATACAGTCAAATTATTATCTATTAAATAATTCATTTTTGAAGAATTACAAGTCTCTTGCAGTTTCCAATAGTCACAGCTGCGATCACATTGCGGACACATAAGTGTCGTCTTATTATCATTGCAAATTTCCTGACTAATCAAATAAAATTAAAAATATTAAAATAATATTTTATAATTAAAAACTACATTTAAATATGATATATTATAAATTACCTGATTGTATCTGTACCCCACGTAATAAATCCATATATGAAACACAATATACCAATTATGCTTACTGGTATTAACATATGCGTATAAAAACCCAACCAAGCAAAATATAAGGCAACTTTCGGTCCGAAATATTCTTTAATATTATCTAAAGGCTGCAAACTATAAAATTAATACAAAAATAAATAAATAATATTTTTAAAGAGATCAGGTATCTTACTGTTTCCATTTTTTAATAGCAGCCCATTCACTTAACAGCAAATCTCGATCTGTATCCTGTAAATGTATGAAATAATATAAGAATATATTCATCAGATAAAACATTAATTTCCATTATCAGACATTACAAAATAAATAGGTTAAAGTTTTAGTATTGACTATGAATTACAGGTTATAGATGAGGTTCATGTTCTAAACAGAAAATATTTTAGGTTTCTTCCAAGAAAGTAAGGTATATTCTATTCATTATTCAGTACTCCCGAGAAAGGGTATTAAGAATTTAACCTTGACCTACGAAACAAATACTAAGCTTTCACGAAGGATACCAGTTGTCTGAAATAGATCAAACAATTATTATGCCTTTTACAATTCTTCTATATTATATTGTAATTATAGGATTGGCTTATAAATTATTCTGCTTTCGTGCATTCCCAAGAACTAATGGAATATTAAGTCGGGTTACAGTAACAGGAAGATTTTTTCCATAAAAAGAATATTTTCACTATAAAACTATTTTAAATTTTTAAGGCAGTTTACTAACTAAATAATATAAAAACTACTATTAATCTATAAATCACTATAAAACTATTTTAAATTTGTAAGTAAGTTTACTAAACTAAATGATACAATAACTATTATTAACTATTATTATTATTATTATTATTATTATTATTATTATTATTATTATTATTATTATTATTATTATTATTATTATTATTGTTAATTATAATAAGATATAATAAACAACTTACATCATGGAGCGTATATGCGCTGTCATAGACTCCATTTTCAAAGTAATTTTCAATACCTAAATTATCTGGAGTTTCTTCGCCTTCGACGAAATGTTGTCGTTCCAAAACAAAAATTAATAAATTAATTACGTACACCGGCATCGAAAAAAATTTGGTGATTCCCAGATCAAATCTAAAATAATAATTAATTTTATTTTCTAATAAATTAAATTAAATTGAAATATTTTTAATATGAACTAAACTTACAATTCTTTATAACTGCGTGAAAATTCACAAAATATACGATGTGGCTTTTGGTGGAAAAGTTCTGGATTTAGGCGTACTGAACTAAAGAGATTTCTACAAAAACCACTTATACGATCTTTAAATTGAAAGTCGTTATCACTTGTTAACTCTTGACCTGGGTAACTGCAAATATAAAACATATATTTTAAATAACTTCTGTTTAACTGTATAATAATGGGTATAATAATGTTCACCTTTTTCATAGGCAGTTTTATTTCAATATTTCAGCGTACCTACAAAGTACGTCGAAGGGTGCATGCAACTTAAACAAAATGTATACGTTGCGTATTATCACGTTCCAAATGTAGCCCTTCCTTCTCCAGATTGAGCTCAAATACTTCACGCTTTTCTTAAATTATCTAACTTCATGATCATCTCCATTATAGGCCAATACGAAATCCACACTGCGTATTCCATCTTGAAATCTTCGCCGCGTCTTTAAAATGGAAGAATGATTAAAAAATTTTGTTTTGATTGATCATACTTACTACTGATGGCTAAATTATTAAGTTTATTAATTACAATATTATTTAACTCGTTAACTAATATAACTAACTTAATTATCACAGCAAAAGATTTTTATTTATCTTATGTATATAGTTTCATAGAATGATATCAAATATACTTTTTTGTTTATTTAAATATATATACTCAAACTAATTTTATGCATAAAAATAAGTATTTTTATAGATTATAAACATGCATATAAAATCTAAACAAATAGTAAAAAGTCTATGTATAGCATGCCTTTAAAAATGTAGTTTTGTTTTTCTTATAAGTTTTTGCTTACAACAGAGGATTACATCAGCTATTATTGCAACTTCAAAGATAAAATACAATGTAAATGAAACTGAATCCAAAGTTAATAAAATTAACTACTAAAAAAACATAGTGTGGGATATCGAAACTATATAAAATTGTATTTAAGAATTAAAAAATGCTTATGTGTATTTATATTGCGGGTGGGCTACTTAGAACCAATTTTATGACATAGCATCGATAATGGAAATGGGGCCCATTTTTATAAAGGCTTTCTAAATATGATGGACGATGGTCATCAGTATGTGCAAACAATCTCTTGCAGCAAATAATAGATTTTAATGTCATATAAATATTAAACTATCTATTAATCGATATGATTGATTTCAGGGAATAATGTTTTTATGGAAAATTCTTCCTTGTCCCATATTCTATCCACGTATGATAACAACTAAACTACTAACGTATTTATTTAAAAACATTTAGATAAATGCGTGAAAGTGACAACTAAATAAATCGTCCAGGTGTACCTAGTACAGTTTCCGCCAGAATTCCACCGCTCGAAAAGGTTTCCTTTGCGAAGGAAAGCACATGTATCCATTACGTGCTGTTAGTTCGGAGTGTTGCCATTTATTGTAGTAAAATTTGAAGGGTTTAAAGTTATTTCAAACCTTTAATAAAACACAAAACAGTTTTTAAGGACAGAACTTGCAACTGCTAATATAAACTAGATAGTAAGTCCCTACAATATTACAAGCATACTGACTAAAATAATAACATAATTAAGTATAAAATAATAATTTTTTTTAGAATATAAAGAAAGATTTTTAAAGAAATGTATTATTAGATCTACAAATAATAAATAATTATTTAGTATAGTGATTAACAAAGAAACAGAAAATGTACGAATTGCTAGAAGATCTATGATCTGCACAAAATTCACGATCTGCTTGAAAAAGAAGATTAACTACTCAAAGATGTACGAAGTGCTCAAAGATGTAGAAGATATTTAAATATGTACGAACTGTTCGAAGATGTACAAACTATTTAAAAATGTTTGAGCTATTCAAAGATATACAACCTATTCGAAAATGTACGACTTCTTTAAAGTTGTACGAACTGCTCACTCAACATGCTTCGAGAATTATAAGCTTTTCGAAAATGTATAAACTCCGCGAAGATATATGACCTATTCGAAGATGTAAAAACTGTTTGAGTGACTTGTTGAGCGACTTGTTTGAAATTGCACGACCACTTTTAAGATGTACGAACTGCTCATGCGTCTTACTTAGAGAAGTATGAGCTGCTCGAAAATATACGAACTAAATTGTATGTTCTTAATTGTATTAGCTATTCAAAAATGTACTACCTATTCGAAAATGTATGACTTCTTTAAAGTTGTACGAACTGCTCATACAGTATGCTTCGAGAATTATAAGCTTTTCGAGAACTATAAGCTTTTCGAAAATGTGTAATCTCCCCGAAGATATATGAACTATTCGAAGATGTAAGAACAGCTTGAAAATGTACGACTTATTTGAAAATGAGCGACTTGTTTGCACGACGACTTTAAAGATATACGAGCTGCTCATGTGTCTTGCTTGGAGAATTATGAGCTGCTTGAAAATGTACGAACTACTCAAAGATGTATGTGATGTTCAAAGATGTAACAACTGTTCTAAATTGTGCGAGCTATTCAAAGATATACGGTCTATTCGAAAATGTACAACTTGTTTAAAGATGTATGAGCTGCTCATACGACTTGTTTGGTAAAGTATGAGCTGCTCGCAAATGTACAAGCTACTCAAAGATGTGTGATCTATTTGAAGATATAAGAATTGCTAGAAGTTGCTAATACCTGATTAAAGCTGCTTAAAGACGTACGAGAAACTCAAGGATGTACGATATGTTCAAAAGAATTGCTCGAATATGTACGAACTCAAAGACGTAAGAGCTTCTCCAATATATAGATGCTTTTCAAAAATATTGGACCAGCTAGAAGATATACGAGCTGCACGAAAACGTTTAACTTATTCGAGCGGTAAAAATCTTTAGTTCTTGTTTTAACTATATTCGAAGTATAAAAATTATTATATATTACTAATAAAAGTAAGTAGTTATTGATAAATTTTAATCAATTTTTTTTAGTTATTTATATGTTTAAAATATATATAAAAGACAACAGTAATTCTGAACATAACATAGTTGTCATATAGTTAATTTATATATATTTTATTTTTAATATATTTTAATACTATATTATGCCGGTTTTTTTTTCATTTTTTGAAAACTGAAAGACTATTTTTAAAAAAATAACTAAAATATTTTTATAGAATTATAGACCACTTTTGCTCTATTCAGTCTCGTTTTATTTATTTTTGATTTGTTTATTATTTTGTTTTCTTTTTGTAAATTCTGGAGTCATCTGTTTTTTATAATACAGAGCAAAAAATGTTTTCTCCTTCTTAAAATAACACAGTAATATTAATAATTATATATATATAAATATATATATGTATATTAATATACATACATTTATATATTAATAGATAAGACTATAAATCTCAATATATTATTTTGTGGAAGATTCTTACATTTATATCTATTTTTATCGTCTCCAAATCTAACACGCGATCTATATAATTGCCCATATTTTTGTTTATATATCAAACGCTAATTAATTGAGTTTTAAAATGAAACAAATTGTCAAAATACAACTTTTTCTTTTTGTTCACAAATAACACTTTCTGATTCATTAAATTACAAATAAAACAAATGAACAAAAATTAATATATATTTTGCAAAATTCAATCTTTGCTCATAAATGCACAGGTGGGTGTCACATCTTACGCGGCTAAAAAACTACTGAAATATCTGCTGAGAATAATAAAATTTCAGAGGAAGAAAAAACTTCACAAAAGAAAGAAACGCGAGCATTTAAAATATGCACGCGATTAGAAGTTCAGATACTTTTTCACACATACAGATTTTATAAGAGAAATGTTAAATTAAATGTTGCGGCTTTGTTTTATGGAGAATGAAACATGTTCCCAACAGAAATTATAAAAAGATACTACAAAGAATATGAAGAAGGAATTCTAAGAAAATACTAATAATAATAACAAAAAGATACAAAAGTAACATTGGCATGGGTTTGAGCGTGTGCAGAATTTCTATTCATTTGGCTGATCCAGTGTTTGAATAAATATCATTATATCAGATTGTAAGCATTTTTGCTTAGAACATCATTATGTGGGATTATATGTGAAATAAAGTGTATCTGCTAAACTGACTTCACAGTCAAATTATCTTCAACGATCGATTGCAGGCATATTTGAATAGTTCGATAATTCATATGATTTTATTCATATATTTTGTATATATGTATAAATATTATTATCAAAAGAAAGCAACAAGTTGCTCATATAAGAGAACCCTACTCTTAATAGAAGTGCCATGATCATATTTTTTTTGAAAATGATTCAATGTGTTTATATATATAAGAAGCGTATAAATAAACTAATTTAGAAATATATTTATAAGTTTTTATAAAACTTTTATTGATAAAAGGGTTGACATGTCGAGGACAAATTTTTATTGAATTTATGGCTTTGATTTATGAAATTATTATATTAACACTTTAACATTTGTAAATTTGTCTTCTAATAGTTAACCACAATTGACTGTGTATGAGATTTTATGAAATTAATTATGCACAACATATATGTTATAAAAGTATTTGAAATACTAACTGTATATAAAAAAGTATCGTTAATTCAATCAAAATAAATAACCGTTACTTCTATATGGAAGTATAGCATACATCAAAGTCTCAAACACTACTATTCGCCAGTTAGAAATTGCACAAAGCCAAGTTCTGAAAAGACTATTCAAGGTACCATGGCACATTAGGACGAATGCCATCCTCAAGGAACTCAAGATTGATCCGATCAAAAAATACATAAAAGATAAAGCCCTGGAATTATTTACGAAAACTGATTGGCTTACCAAATCTCAGAATGGTTACAGGCTCCACATCTGAGATCAGTTATTGCTTAGTCTGATGAAGTGATAAACAATACTCCAGTCAAGGCGTAGAAAGGGGTTATGAAAATACCTCGCAGTTAATAGAGAGTAAAAAGTGCTCAAGTGCACTGAATCAACTAGCCTCAACATAATATATAAAATTTTTGAATAATCTACCTTACATAAATAGTAAACAATGGTTTAACTTCATTTACTAAGTCAAGTAATTAAGTCAAAAATTATATCTGTCACTTTACATTTAAATTAACCTGCTAAATTGCATTTATAAGCCTATTTACATAATAAGCCTATTTACATAATAAGTTTATTTAAATTTATACATTTAAATAAACAAATGTCAAAATGTCAGGAATATAAGGCATAAAAAAATTAGAATAAATTTCGGTAGAAAAACTCTATAAATATATTCAATATAAGAAAAGTGCCATATAAATGCAAAATAAATAATAAAAAAAATTCTATCGAAAAAGAAATTATAAAATTGTATATAAAGCTTTTTACTATTAGAAAAGTGCTAGCTATCTACACTAAAACTACAAAATAAGAGTTTGAATAAATCTTGATAGAAGAATTCTATAAAAATCTTTAATATTAAAAAACTGCTAGCTTATTGCACTAAAAACACAAATTAGAAAAGGGAAAAAGATTTAGGGAAAGCCTCTGTATAAAAATGTTTAATATTATCCACACTAGCTATCCACACTAAAAACATGGAACAAGATGAGTAAAACATCTGTAGGAATAAAACATCAGGAGTTTTCTGTTGCTGACTTTAGATTAAAGTCGAAATATCGATGAAATAAAAATTATTGTAAAATAAATCGTGATTTCTTTTTCTTAATTTTTGTTTTTTAATAACAATTAAAAATTTAACCAATCTATAAAAAACCTCTTCATATATATTTTCAATGTTCGGATATATGTAATACAAAGAAGGAAACCGAAACTATACATTGTGACCGAAAGGTTTCCGGAAATTTTAAATAAAACGCAAAATTCTTAATCTTCATCAATATTTATTTTATCTCCTTCAAAATATGCTCCATTAGAAGCGATACACAAATGCCAACGTTTCTTCCAATCATCAAAACATTTTTTATAGGCGCTTTCCGGTATGGCTTTGAGTTCCCTCTGCGAATTCTGTTTTACGTCTTCTATGGATTCAAAACGCGTTCCTCTGAGTGGAAATTTGAGTTTGGGAAACAGGAAAAAGTCACACGGTGCAAGATCAGGTGAATACGGTGGCTGTTCGATGGTATTTATTGAATGTTTGGCCTTAAAATCGATGGTGTTTTTGGAACAAATTGAGGTGAATCGGAACAAGCCGAGCGTTGACACGTCGCATACACAAATTGTCCACCAAAATCAAACGAGCCATCTCACGACCGATACCTAGCTCTCGTGCTATCTCTCTAACACTCACATGAGGGTTTTGGAACACGATTTCCTTTGCCTTTTCAATGTTTTCGTCGGTGGTAGAGGTCGAAGGTCGTCCAGAACGCGGCATGTCTTCGACGGTCGTACGACCGTCCTGAAAGGCTTTGTACCACTCATAAACTTGAGTTTTCGATAAAACTGATTCCCCATAAGCCTTTTGTAGCATTCGCAACGATTCTGCACACGAAATTTCGTTCGAAAAACAAAATTTGATGCAAACTCTTTGTTCAATATTTTTTTCCATTGTTTTTTTCGCAACGCACTACTGAGGTGAACTGGTTTCAACAGCTGCCGTAAACGAACTGTCTGACAGATCGCGCTCATTTTTGGCATAGAAATTAAGGACAGTGCTGCCAAACTACATAAACTTAAAATATCGAAAAATATACAGCGCGCGAATTTTAAATGAGAATTTCCGAAAGCTTTTCGGTCACAATGTAAATAATGAAATAAACCTAACTAGCAATAGATATATTTCAAACAATATATCTACTCTCTCTCTCTCTCAATTATTAAGTTCTGGCTTTAAAAATTTAATATAAGCTTTATAGAAACATAATGTATGTTAGAAATCAGTTATATCTGTTCCTTAGCTGTCATATAAATTGATTTATCGGAATCGAATTATTTTTCTGTTATATCCCATTATATGGTATTAAAAAAGGAGTGCGTATGAAAAATATATATAACAAATTAAAATCAAATTCATTTGTATTTATATAAGTGTAAGCTAACAATCCAAATAAAAATTCTTTTAAAAAATATTTGTTTTTTTAACATTTTAAAATTTTGATTATTGTTTAATAAACAATTATATCAAATGGCAAAAATTTGATTATGACAAAAATTTGAATATAGCTGTCATATAAATAGAAAGTTGAACTACAGGTTCTTCTATTTGTCACTATATTTTGTTCAAATTACGTATTCAAAAATCTATTATTATCTATAATTAAAAATAAAAATTTAAATATAACTGCAACACAATATATTGTTTTAGATCAAAGCATTTCAATGACTTACATTTAAGCTTTCATCAATGCATTCATAAGATATTAATTGTTGAACATTTATTGGCATATAAATTTATTGGAAGTTATTGTTATTTTGCAATGACTTAACTAAAACAAAGAATTTGAATCTAATAAGGCCTTAGAGTTACATTAAGATTGTGGGAAATTGTAAGCCCCATGAGTTAGTCAGGCACGACATTACTTATTTTGAAAATACAACTAAAGTAGGGACAGGAATCTCTATATCCACTTTTAAACCGCTTATAAAACATTATAAACTTAGAATAGCATAAACCAATTGGCAGCAGGAACACGTCTGCCACATATCAATGCAACTTTAGCTAATACAAATGTATCTAAATTCCTTTATAATTTAGGTTTAAGGTTTTCAATTTTAAATAATACTGATAATACTGAATACTGATTATATAGGACGACATATGTAAACAAATATAACATTTAGACATAACATATGAAATATATAAAAAATGAAATTTTTTAAAAAAATTTCAAGCACACAGATATAGTATTATTAATTAATAATAATTATGTAAAGTATTTTTAAAAGTAAGGCATACTAAACAAGCATTAATAATAATTCTAAAATTAAATTCTTTATATATGTATATAAAATGTATATTATATGCAACTTAATTATATACAAAAAATTGCCATTACCCGTTCCCGCAAGCGGTTAAGAATACAAAATATATTTACATATAATATAAAATATATTGTAATAAATTAATAAATTATATTACGAAATAATTTAAAAATTTGATGATATATATGACATGATTTAGAATCGATAAGACTTCACGATTTAAGTATAACGAACGTTTTAGAAAGTGAATAATAACAAATTTGTCTATATAGCACGAAATACTATAAAAAGTTGAAAATAACGAATAAGATACATATAGTAATGTATTGAAGAATATTCAGAAACTCTTACTCCTAATAAAGACAAATAGTTTAAATAAATTTTGCGTATTGATATATATACAATATATGTATATTGTGTATGATATTGATATGATATGCTTATCATCGATTTTATAAAGAAAATTTATTAGAAGAATTTGTTTCATCTTTTCAAATTTAAAATATTGTTTTATTTTTGTTGAACTCTCCACCTAATTTATATGGATATGTGTAAATTTATAATAATTTTCCTTTCCGGAGTTTTTTTAAATTAAACCCTAAATAATTTGTTTAATTTGATTTGTAATAGTTTTGTTAATTTTTAACATTTTTAATAAATTCAATTTACTGTACATAATCACAAAAAGAATTGACACAATTTAGATATCCTTCAAGGAGTTTATGTATCTGAAAGTAAGTGAAGAAAAATTCAATAGTCCTATTTATGAGAGAGTATACTGAGCTTTAACTATGATCCTTATATCATAGATATAAGATAAATATCCTTCAAGGAATTTATGTATATTAGAGTAAGTGAGGAAAACTTGAATAGTCCTATTTATGAGAGGGTATATACTGAGCTTTAGCTATGATCCCTATATGTATACTGTAGTATGATTTGGAAAAGACAACTTTAAATAAAACTATAAAAATATTTGATTAAATTATTATTAAACTAATTATTATTAAACTATATAAAGCTAAATGCTTTTAAATTTATATATTTTCTAATATCTCCCTGTAATACTCCCTGTAATAATATCTCTTTGTCATACACGAATCGAAAATAGAAATTTATTACAATGGCAATATTCAATTGTATTAGAGATAATAATTGAAATATTACAAAAATTGCAAATCATATATATATAAAGTCTTACCATTGAGATATAAAAAAAACAATTCATTAACGGAAAAGGTTTTTTATCCTTTCTATATTTTACATTGAAGAAAAAATATGGATTTTTTAGGTTCTAAGTTATTATATATGTATTAACAATATTAATAAATAGAGTCAATTCATTATATGATGTAATGGATTTAAAAAAGCGAAGAAAATCGTATTAAGCAAATAACAGTGCTCAAAATTTAAATATTGTGCTTTAGAAAAAAAGCATTTAGAAAAAAGAGATTAAGTTAAGAAAAGTTAAGAAAACTTAATAAAAAAATAATTTTTAAAAAAAAATTAAACTCTCAGTAATTTTACCCTAAATTTCCACTGGGAGTACGTAATTGGCAATTTCTTATCTTTACTAGTATTTGTGCTATTTTGTATTAGACGTCTAGAGACCTCATCGGTAGCCATGTGTGGTGTACTACCAATCACACCGCGTCCATTTTGTAATGCCAAAATTTGTGCAGCAATAGCAGCATCAGTATAATCGCCAGCAGCTGCAGCAGTACTATTACCGAAACCATTATTGTAATGTTCTAATGCAGATGAATGTCGATAATTTGGACTACTCCATGTTGATCTGGCAGTGGTACCTCTACCATTTTCCAAACGTAAGCTACCCCGTTTCGAAGGAGTATCTTCACTTATTAAATCCACAGCAGAATGATAGATTGTGTTACGCGATTGTGATAGTGATTTACGATGTGCAGCTGCAGCTGCTGCTGCCTCCGAATCCGCCAATGATATAGTATCAAAATAGAGACTCTCACGATCATCCATTTCAGATTCAGGATAATCGTAGTCGTATGTACGGACTGTTAAAAAATAAAATTGTAAAATTGTATTAGTAAATTGTTTTAATTGTAAGTTGAGCTGAAAAAATAAAAATTGTTAAGCATTGGTGCATTGCCTTAAAAACATTGAATAAGAAAAAAACCAGTGAGACAAAAATTATTTAGATTCTTTTTTGTTTTGAAATGTTTTCATGCATGAGTGCTTTTTCGAGTTCAAATTGACATATATGTATTTAGTATATATAAAGAACTATATACATCAATGAAAACAAAAAATACCAATGAAACGACCACCTGTTAGTGATAAGTTTATCATTGTAGCTCACTTTTGAAATAGTAGCTCACTTATCCAACGAATTTTTATATCATATCTAAAATAAAAATGTGCTGCAAAAACAATAACAATGATAACAAAATTACCAAAGCTTTTCCAAAACTCCCAGGTTAAATTGTATATAAAACAGTTCTATATGTAAAAACTGCGGTGTTTGCTTAGTTTCTAAATTATTCCACAAACTTATACTACATTTAAGGTAACGAAGCGTTGCGACATTTCCATTTATATATTTCCCATCGAGAAATTTATATTTAAATTGAAACTTAAGTATTGTGTATAGTAAATTATATTTCAGTAAATTATAATATATAATTCGAAAACAATATAGGGACTAAAAGATTATATTATATACCTATTATAAATATATTTTACATTTAGGAAATTAAGGCGTCTGTAACTGCGTAATGATTTATATTAACATATATAAATTAAATATATATTTAAATTTGTTAAAATAATCATTTATAAACTTTTGAGTTTCTTATTACCTTCACATTTAAAAAAAAAAACAAAAAGATTTGAAATATACAAATTAAGGTTTACAACCCATAAAGTACGCATATATTTGTGCTAGATTCATGGGCCAAAAGGATATAGTTACTTGAAGTAACTCACTCAGACTACGGCTAAATATTGGTACTTCTAAGAAGTCAAATAAGAACTGATAAGTTATAGTTAACTGTTATAGTAATATATGTCTCTTCAACATCACAAAAGAAATATATATTTTGTACTAATCACAAAATCCACAAGGACCAATATCTTAACGAATGTCCGATCAATGTAAGACGCTTGTATATCACATACTGAAATAATTAGATAGAAAACTATCACAATACTCAAAAGTAATATGTTTAGCAAGCGGCGCCCAGCAACTCCACTAAAAAATTTAAATAGTGAGCCTACTTAATATCCAATAAGAGATATAGAGGAACCTATAGCTACCTCACACATTTTACCTAAATACTTGGACTGATTGACTTAACAAATAATTTACATTCAATTTCCGTTCAAGAATTATAGAAAGCTCATCCGATCTGAAAGCATACAACTTATAAAATCTAGACATAATTTTTTTTAGTATAATGATAGTTAAAATTTGTCAAATTCTGTTAAGAAATGAAAAATCATTAAATCAGTAGTTGAAAACACTTTCTCGAATTTACATTGCCCTACCCTACGATGAATTGCTTTAATTGGTGATAACGTGGGGATTTTCAGATATAAATTATGGTGGAGTTGTTGTTTAATTTCGTAAGCATATGCTGACTCAAATATACTAAACATTGGTTTATTACCCTATCGACTTCGATATTATGCAGTTAATATAAAAAGTATCCGTAACTTATATTCGTATACTCCGATACATATATTCACACAAAAGATACCATCATTATTTTGTTTTTGTGTAAGCTTGTAGCACTTTACTTATTACTTTGCCATCTGTGACGTATCGTAATCATTTAAATTTTGAGTTTTAAAAAAATATACTCAACGAATATGATTACTAAAACATAGTATTAATAGCAAAAACCACACTTTTATCAAACTTTTCTCTATTACGAAAGTTAAAATTACCGCTTCAAGAAAAACGTTTCGAATCAACTGAAACTATATAGAAATATTTAACTTTATATAAACAGAAGTTAAAGGTCACGAAAAGTATATAAGAGATGAGATCTAATGTTAGTTTATTGGTATTGTACTTAACGTGACTGACTTTGAAATTGATAAAATTAAGGTAGACGTTGATAGAGGATCAAATATATAGAGGATTGTGTCTAGAGCTAGCATATGGGTTGCTTACAATGGACACAAAAAATTTTGATTGATTGATTGATGATCCTTGCGTGTTTTATTTAATAATTCTAGATTTTTTTTCGTTGCCTACCTGTTAATGGATCAGTTGATATTTCAAACACAAAAATGAACTTCCATGAATTATCAATTGGAAATTTTAACGTAGAAGCAAGCACTACAATATTAAGAATTATTGTGCAACAGTTAAAAATAAATAGAAATGCTACAAAAATTATTTTTAATTTTGTAGTTTTTAAAATTTTACTAGATATAGAAAGGTAGCAAAGGTGGTTCACCGTTTTCATTTAATTAAAAAATCTCTTTAGAGTCCTATATATACTCTTTATATTCTTCATAAATCTAAGAAGGGCATTGTATAACCCCCAATGTAGACATTATTAAGTACAAATGTTTTACTGATTCTATAGGAATAGGAATAAACGAAGCGGAGCGACAATGGTTGATCTTTTGTGCTGCAACAGATCCTAACCGAATAGAAGACATTACGCCCTTTGAATGAAAGCCAGAATGTCGGCCGTTGAGAAATTTATTGATTCTATACGTAAAACGACACATTGAAAAGTATAGAAAAGTAACAGTTCAAAGTAATAAAACTTTTGGAAATAACATTGTATCGATGATTGAATTTGTCTAAATTATAATGACTAATGAATAAACTGAAAGATAGCAGTAATCAGTATATACTTTTCAGTATATATTTTTAAAAATATGTGTTAAGGTATAGGCATCAAAAATAATTAAAAAACTTAGGGAGGAAGAACTATTTCGCAAATTTATTTTTAAACATATTTGTAGAGTTTTCTATAGGTATAATAAAAATATATAATGCTAAATTTAAAAGAAATTTTTTATCCAACTAGTTTATTATCCAACTAGAATTTGCATATGTTCTATAAAGGCATTATCATAATAGCCATAGTTTTTTTTATAATCAAAACCTACTATATATTATATAATTTTAACAAATAAAAAAAATAATAAATCTGTATAAGTTACCTTATAACAGGGCATAAATTAGGCATTTGAATTGCCATAAATGGGCTACGTATATTTAAAGCTCGCATTTTAATTCCACTTGACAAGAGACAATGTCGCGCATATTGTTTCCATACGTTGAATGCAATGATATTTTAAAGCATTTGATGATGATGATGATGATGATGATGATGATGTTGATGATGATGATGATAACGATGATAGTAATATTTAATGATAATGATGATGCTGATTTCTAAAAATGAGGTAACAAGTGCTCATATATGGAAATGTGTGCAATATATTATATAGCAATAGTTAAATAAAGAAAATTATATATAATAACAACACATACACATATACAATTCATACATATATACATTAAAGAAAATAAGTATTATATTTTACAAATTTATTTGGAAAAATATGTGAATATGTTAATATAAATTTAAAGACATTTTAAAAATACAAATGTTAATTTGTAATTAAAAAAAAAAGAAATGGAAAAAGCAATCCGAAATTACAAATATTATTACTGTGCAAATAATAAGGACCGTTCATAATGTACAGTACTGATAAAAAATCTTAAAAGTTTTTATATAAAACTTGTTTATGCAATATTTAAATATTTAAAAAATTGATTAGAAAACAATTAAGAGAGATATTAGAGACATGTTTCAAATAGTTGAGATAGTACGTTAATAAATCATTAAAGTTTATCATTAAAATTTATTTTCTATATTATATTCTACATTATAACCGGTCTTTCATTATACAATATAAATTACTTTAAAATTTGCATTACTAAACAAAAATAGCACAAAAACTTGAAGAAATTTTCGTTAACAAAGTTTAATGAAATTAAAATATAATGAAAAGAAACAGAAACAGAAACGTGCTTTTATTTCATTTTGAATAAATTAGCTATTTTTTTAATTACCAGCAGAATACATTTCGGTGAAAGGTAGAAGAATGTAAAAGTTGTGATATCCAAAATATAGCGTAGTTTATGTCTTCAAGAAATCCAACTTGAAGATTTTGTTTAGAAAAACTTGATCTCATTAATTATTTCATAAAAAGCCAAAACATTTTCTTTATAAGTTTCCAAATTATCGTACTTTTATAGTTCGAGTAGTACGATATAAAGAAGAGTACATTTTGGGGGTCACAGTGTCAGCATAGAACGCGGTCTGCTTGCAACAACGGAAACCGGATTGCAAGAGTACGTCATAGCGGTAAAATAGGAACGTCGCGCAGTTTTCGTTTAAAATACTAAAATAAAATTCAATTAATCCAGAAATTGAAACATAAACAGAAAAAATTCCGAATTTATAAATTTTTTATATATATTATATTATAACAATTTTATTTTTATTCGATTATATTGCATATAAAACAATTTTTAATTTAATAGCAACAGATGGTACCGCGTTGCGCTAGAACCGTAATGTGGCGTTTATACGGATGGCGTCAGCTGAGACTTTACTTATAAAAGAACTCTGAAGAGAGCATGGGAAAAAAATGCGTTCGCGTTCGTTGTTATATTGTAACTAAAATCGTTTCGATTTCAGTTTGCTTGCTGAGTGTTTTCAAGTGTCTGTGGCATACGTTATTAAAATTTTTATTTTGTTAATAAAAACATTTCACTCTTGTACCCAGCACGCTTTGAATTGATCAGTGTGCCAATGTCGGAGCGGCTACCCTCGCACATAAACCGCATATTCTCTGCGCTATTTATTTAACGCTTTGGAGAACAAATTAACACAAACGAACGTTTCTAGTTCTTCAATTGTTGTGCTTGCGGTTGCGGCTGTATCTGTTGCCTATAATTTTATAATTAAACTTATCAGATTCGAGTAGAAGAACACAATACAAGAATCTTTCTAATCGTTCCGGTATTTAGTTTTTATTTGAAGTGTCTTTGTTGTTTGTCATGAAAGCATTACTACATTTAATGGAAATATTTATTTAATTATTTTCCGGCTTAATAAGAAATCAGAGCAAACGAGAAATATACATTGATGTAAATAGCTACATATATATGTTTCGCATAAAACCGGCTTTTCGAATTAGCAAAATTATAGGTCATTACAAAAGTTCAAGGTTCTTATTTCCGGTTATTTTAGTAAAAACTAACAAGAAACTTTTGAAAAATAGCTTATGATCATGATCACTAAAAACGTTGTAGTACACTAGATTGCTTCTAGAAGGATTACTTCTTATTAAAACTGTTAGAAGTATCAACTATATATATATTATTATTATTAATATTATTTCCTTGGTGTATTTACAATGGTTTTATTATTATTATTATTATAATGTATTTATTATTATTATTATTATAATGTTTTTATTATTATTATTATGTATTTATTATTATTATTATAATGTATTTATTAGTATTACTACAATGTATTTATGCTCTTAGTATGAGCATAGGGCGGAAATTATATATAGTAGTAGTGGATTAAATAATAATCAACGTAGACATTGATATTTTAAAATAAAGTATAAATAGAGTATCTATTTGAATATAAAATATTTTCAACAACGACTAAATGCCGCTCACTATTTTTGTTGGAATTCTAATGGAAAGTAAAACCAACAAAAAATAGAAAAAAGTAATAAGAACTTTTAGTAAATTTAGGAAAGATAAAAAAATTATCTTATTCCATTTCATTATTTAAATGTCTCTCCTTGTTATCGTTTGTAGCGTATATCAAATTATACTGTTCTAGAAATATTTAATATGTAATGTTCCAATTAAGTCGTGTCGTGACGTAATATTCGAAGAAGTCTAACTTAACATAAACTTGGAAAAATATGGTCTAATAGAATTTAAGCAGTATCTGACTGCGCCTCAAGTCTAACTTTGAGTTAATCATTTGAGGATCTGCACTGATTTGTAATATAAAGGAAGTTTTAATACTTTCTAACTTTGAGTTAGTCATTTGAGGTTCTGCACTGATTTGTAATATAAAGGAAGTTTTAATACTACTTGAATAATAATTGTTTTTTTTTTTGAAAAAAAATTTGCTAAATTTTCATATATATTATTTAATTATATTGTATTGTTTTTTTCAAGCTTTAAAAATTACAAAAATTTTAATAACAATATAGTAGCAGTGATGTTCATGACTTGAACACCAAATACACTATCATTAAATCAATGAACTTTGAACTATATTTAAGATTTCATCTAAAATTCTTATATTTTTTTAACTGATAGGTTAAGCATTGTAGAATTTGAATCATAACGTGACAAAGTTCAATTTTCGAAAGCAAAACACAAAAAAAGTGAAAATGCCAAAATTAAATTTAAAAATAATATAATTCTCGCCTTACGTGTTTATATATATATGTACAACAGAAGACATACCTTACACACATATGTATGTCTCAGCAAGTTGTTGGCGCACCCCTTAAGACTATTAAAAAAAAAGAGTTAAGAGTTAAACGCACACAGAAGTAGCAATATTTGTGTGTATGTCGTTTGTGTGATGCAAGATTTTGCCATGAATTAAGGCGGGTGGTTTCACGATTATAAGAAAAATACTTATAAAAAAGTGTGAGTTAAAATTTAGAATTGTTTTATGTTTTAATTTTAGTATAATTAAATTACATCAAGATTTTGAAAAACACACATTTAAGATGCTTCAAAGGAAATGAATTGTATGAAACAGTTGAGTTAGATAGTACGCCATTCAAAGTAGGAATTATTAGTAAGAATATTAGAATTTTTATTAATTATATATTTAAAAAAAGCTGTGATAACGTACATTAATAAAAATATTAACTTACATAAACTTCTATTATTTCTTATTGCAAAAATATATGAAATATATTTCTAAGCAATTAACCTCAATACAAAAATTTTTATGCAAAACAAACACATTGGACAACTTTTTGAGTATAATATCTACACACTACTAAAATAATTTGCTGCTTTAGATCATTTCACTGCATTTTCTTAATTTTCAAATTCATCTTTCTCTTATTATTAATTTTATACATGATTTATTCAACAAATGACGTCACTCTACAATTATTTGTTTACTAATTAAAAATAAATATTGAATGCACTTGTTTTTGTTTGCTTTTTCACATTGTTTGGTTTTTCTATTGACAGCTGTAAATGTTCTAGCATTGCCATATCTGTGCAAACCAAAATACATAACAGCTGATTTAATATAGATGTAACATATTTTTAATTTTAATTATTTATTTAGTAATAATGATAGTTTAGTTTATAAAACAAATACTAACATGCATAGATATAGCTCTAGCAACTGAAGCCTATATCGGCTATAACATATATCGAGTATAAATTCGAACACAATCATAACAGAGAATATGTTGAAATATATTTTGAATTATAGTTACTCCCACGTATTAAATATATATTTAAAATAAGGACGAATGACACAGCAGTTCAGTTGCTTATTCTTAGTTAACATTAAAATTAATTTTAATGTTAATTCACAAATAAATAAATACTTAAAATTGTATAAATTAATAATAAAGTATGTTATTAATAATAAAACTCAAGTACACAATAACTGCATAGCTATAGCACGTTATAAATAACTACATATTTTAAGTTTAATAACCAAGAAAAGAATCTACTTGTTTATCTAAAATGTAATATATATAATTTAATTTAATAAAATTTATATAATTGTATTTGTATAATTGTAATAACACTGAACATGGTCTATAAAGTAGACCGAAATATCTGTTACTAAAATATATTAGACTGTGATATTTTTATTTAATCTAAAGTTTTTTTATATAATACAAAATATTATATAAAAAAATAAATTGAAAAACACGAACTAAAGCTCGACAAAATTTAAAACAATAAAATTTAAAAAAAAAATATAAATAATAATATACTTATAATTAACATTATAAGTATAATTATTATTATGTTATGATTATACAATAATCTTATTTTAGTAAAATAAAAAGCTTTGAATTTAAGAATAAGCTTTAAAAACTATGATTGTAGAAATTAGTAATAGTGTATAGCATTTTATAAAACATGTATAATAAAAGTAGTAATGAAAGGAAAACATTAAAAATGTGATGAAATTAAAAATTAGTATTGCTTGTAAATAAGAGCAAAAACGTTTTAATAAATAAATATATTATTACTGACAGTACAAGTTATTTAATCTTAATAACAATACAACGTATTTTCAAGGCCCACTTTGGAAGTTATTTATGCTTCACCGGAATAATATATTTATTCACTTAAACACATTTTTAACATTGAAAGTGTTTATGTAAAGACATCTTGTTCGTTTGTTCTATTCTTGTTTGTTCAGTACATCTTAAGAGCAAATGTTTAGTGATCGGTTATGGCATTATTTTTAAATAAAAGTGTTCATATTCATATATTCAAAAATCAACATAATCTAGAATATCAAGTCGCATTCTATTCCCATGTATCTTAGAAACAATGTTAAAATGAAAGAATAAATTTAAAAATAAAATCAGTTCTTAAACTTATTAATATATATATACAAAATATTTAATATTTATTTATTTACGGAAAAAAATTGAAGAAAACCCACTATGTTTTACTAAAATCACAAAATCATAACCAAGCTATTTTGCATAAAAATTTTTCGATATTATTATTACAATTTTATCAAGTTAAAATTATAGATTTATTACAATTTTAAATTATATATACTATTTTGCATTATTTAATTACAAAATGTATACAAAATGACAACATTTTGCAATCTCCTTTAATCTTTAAATTAAAATTATTTTTTCTCTCACGTTTACGCAGATATAAGAAAGATACTTAAAACCGCGCTTTGCATACAAATTGTATATAATATATTAATTCATTCCGTATAAATAAGTAAAAAATATCGAAGTATTAAAATATTATATTTTATAGCATTGTGAAACAGACTGAGTCATTTAATAGAATATAATTTAATTATTGAGATAACGATTTCTTTTTCTTTTTTTTTTTAAAAAAAAAGCTCAAAATTATTAGAAAATTTAATTATTTTATTCGATTAGAATATATAATATCATTTTTATAATATAGACATCAAATATATATGTATCACAATAATAATAATAAAAAACATATTTACTAATTCAAATGTTGCAAATCTGATTCTGATTACAATATATATCTTGAAAGTTATATTAGAATTATAATTCACTTAAGGAAATATTATCCAAATAACCCTTTTGCAAACCTTTTTGTTTCTGTTTTACATAAGCCACACTCTTTTTGCAAATTCATAAGAGCTTTAGCTCCATTTTTTCCAAACGGTTCTGCACCATTAACTTCTAAAAAGTAATTTCCTTTAGCATTGCGTGGAACTGCAAATCCCATTGGAACGTCATAGCCTGGACATTTGCCTTCACGTAAACGTGTCAGTGATGTACACCTTTTACCGAAAAAGTTGGCTTCACTGCCAGGATAAACACTTTCGGCAAAATATCTCCATGCACGTTCGTGCGCACATACTACAGATACACAACCAGTTGGTAGAGGATCTAAGCCACCAGGATAAAAGTCAATATCGCCCATTGGATCACGTTTACCAAGCACGCCAGGATTGCTATGTATGATATCTATAAAATCTGCATCGCCTCGCAATAGACCAGAGAGAGTTGCACCTTCATTAAAGCAAGGTTTCGCTGGATCTAAACCAGTAATCCTTGGTATTAGTGATCCACTAAGTTGCTGAAAGTAACGACCAGCTGCTCCTACAATATGTGCACCTAAGCTATGACCCATCAGATGTATTTTTTCCACTGATACAATTTTAGAGAGCTTCACCAAACCTTTGGCCAAGTTTAAACCGATCTCATCAGTATTAAAAGCTGACCATGTATAAAGTGTATCCACAAATCTGCCAGCATCGAGAGCCTGTTTCAAGTATAAATGACAACCAATCAACATTTAAAAAAGGCTAGTAAACGAGCTTTCATAGGTACACTTGGATAAGCATAAAATTATGTTAAAGGATAAGTAATTTAGAGCTATGATTTTCAAATATTGCATTTACTTAAAAATTTTAGTATGTAGTTTATATAATATCGAAATGCTATATCTGAAAGCTATGTTATCAAATAATTTAATTATAGTACGGACATAAAATGTAAGATACTTTAAAAAATATTGCTTTTGTCTTGATTGTATCTATAAATAAAAATGAAACGCTTTCGAATTCGTTGGCAGGCAACGATAAAAAAATGCATTTTAGTTAAATGATTTTAAACTTGTTTTTCTTTCTCACATTTAATTAAAATGTAATTACTTCAAGCGTAATATTTTTATAAAACTTTCTTTAAAGTATAACTAAAATTTCGCGCAAACAATAAAAAAAAAAACAACACATATTACGAAGTCACATATTTTAACTATGTTAAGTCTATCAATAAACACCAAGACCATCATCTCATTTTCATTCGAAATAGATTTCTTGTCAAAGAACATAAAAATTTTGATTACCAATCAAAACAAATTTTGCATATGTTATCATATTATAGAACATACCACAAAATTCACATCGCCTCGACAGTTGTAGGCTTTAGCCATTGTTTCAATAGCTTTGTTGTCATTAATTGTAGTAGTCCAACCGGTCGCAAAAATGACAACCTTTTTCTTAGAATCAAACTCTGGACTCTTCCACATATCTTCTGCATTTAAAAGGGAGTAATTATACTTATTGCAAGCGGTACATAACTGAAACTGCATAACGCTTATGTTTGGAGTAATTTTTGGTGAGATTGTTTCTGAAGAAAGTGCCGCAGAACCTAATTTGAGGATTATAAAATTTCTAAAATTCTAATTTTATTTAGATTTATTAATTTTCTACTAACAAATTTGATTGATAGCGCCGCTCACAAATTCAAAAGGATATCCAGCTATTAACTGCTTGCTTGCTTCGAACATGCCTTTGGGGGTGGGCAATATATTTGCGACATCTTTAACTACACCCACGCCTATATCTTTCGCTGACGATATGACATTTCGAAAAGACGCTTGTAACGAATTTACGCTTACACAGCCCACTACTATCAAAAAGAAAAACGCTATTATATTCGAAACTCTCATACTGTTCTCGGTTGTTACAACGTAAAAATACTACCGGTTGCTTCAACTGTCTGAAGCACAATGAAGTCAAAATTATATGCCTTGTGTTTTAAATTATTTTATTAAATTCAAGTTGTCACTTGAATTCTGATGAGTTTGAAATACACTTCAGTTAGATTCGCTTTTGTGATTTTCTTAGAAATTTAGCAAAATAATATGATTATTTGTTTCTATCTTAAAATGGAATATATAAATCTCTAATCGATATATGGCCATATAGGTCCATTTAATTCATCTGTGTGCCTAATAATATATTATAGTCATTATTTTTCTTCAAGGTTATTCAGAAGTAAAAAAATTAACTGTAAAATATGTAGTTCGTATCTAGAAATGATTAAAATTTTAAAAAAATTTGAGAATTAGAATTTTTTTCTAACTATAGTTTATATAAGATACAAAGTGCCCGGCAAAAAGTAATGCTAAACGTACAATGCCAACTATTTACAGCTATGGAAGCTTGTGGGCAATATCTGCTAAGCAATTATTTAGTTGTTCATTATTAGATTAAATCAAAAAATTTAATTATTTTTACATCAATTTATATATACATATATGCATATATATATATATCTTAAACAAACGACAAAGGCACACTTTCAATTTTAATACATTTAGATTTAAATAATGAATTGAAATAAAACTATTTATATATCAAAAATTAATTGTGTTGAATCTTCTTTAGAGTAATTACAAGTAAATATAAAGTAATAATACAGTAAATTCCAGAAATTACAAAAAAGCATAATGAAATGTAACAATGACTAAAATGTTGTATACTGTTAAATACTTATATGTTCTTATTACGTTATTATAAAAGGAAGGGATCATACACTGCGTCCTAAAAAATTTATTAATCGGATAGATCTTTAGTCGGATTAGAGTGTTTCTCTAAGTCCGGTTTCTTTAATGAAAGACACTATAGAGCCTATCTTTCCTAGTCTTGAATCCTTAGGATCCATGAAATAACCTCTTAGGTGTTATTTCTGCTCGTACATCAGTGCCGGGCATTCCTCAAGCGCTTGGTAAGAAGTTTCTCTCTTCTCTACAGTATTTGCAGTCTGAATTGAATTCCTAACTTCGATAGTTGTTTATTCAAACTACAGTGACCGGTCAATAATCCCATAAGATTTCTTAGGTTGTTTGTTGATTGCACTAGGCTATGGTAAATACCTATACTTTTAAGATATATTCTTGAAATTATAAATTTGTTGATTTTTACTCAGTAAATTTGTTTTTAATTAAAAATTCTTTATTAGTTATTGAGCTTATGGTCTTCATAAAAAATTATTATTTGTTAAGAGATAGGTGAGGCAACGGTAGGTGAAGTTTTCAAGCCAAATAAATGAGTTTACAAACATTGTATTCTACTTAACTAATTCATTTCAGAAAACATGTAAGTTAATTATTTTTGTTAATTATTAGTTAATTAGTATTTAATTATTTTGTTAATTTCAATTTTTTCAACTTAAAGTTCAATATTAAATAAAAAAACATCTCAAAGAAAATACAAATTTCTTAATTATATGATTATTATAACTTTTAATTAATTAAAGAAATGTTTACAAATTTGTAATGTACATTTTTTCTATCTAAATCTTTTTAAACTTTAAAATATTGTTTGGATTAAATCTATATTGTAAAATAATATGGAATTATTTACTCAAACTTAAACTCCAGCAGGTACATAACGTGATTTGAAACAAAATATATCAAAATTTGAAGGTAATTCCTTGGAAAAGGAAGCGAAAATATAATTCCTTGGAAAAGGAAGCATTGTCAATATAATTTTTATACTAATATTACTTAGTATAATATTGTTTATTCAAAACAAAATTTTAAAAGATAGTTTAATTTGTACATAATCCACACTCTCTTTGCAAATTCATATGAGTTTTATCTCCATTTTTTCCAAACGGCTCTTTATCATTGATTTCCAAAAAATAATTTCCTTTAGCATTGTGTGAAACTGCAAATCCCATTGGGACATTATCGCCTGGACATTTACCTCCACGTAAGCGTTTCATCGACGTACACCTTTTACCCATAAAATTTTCTTCATTACCAGGATAAACGCTTTCGGCAAAATATCTCCATGCACGTTCGTGACCACACATTACAGATAGGCAACCCTTTGGTAACGGATCCAAACCACCAGCATAAAAATCAATATCGCCCATTGGTTCACGTTTACCAAGTATACCAGGACTGCTATGTATGATATCTATAAAGTCAGCATCACCTCGCATTAGGCCAGAGAGACTTGCACCCTCATTAAAGCAAGGTTTAGCTGGATCTAAACCAGTAATTCGTGGTATTTGTTTTCCACTAAGTTGCTGAAAGTAACGACCAGCTGCTCCTACAATATGTGCACCTAAGCTATGACCTATCAGATGTATATTTTCCACTGGTACAATATTAGAGAGCTTCACCAAACCTTTGGCCAAGTTTAAACCGATCTCATCAGTGTTTAAAGCTGACCATGTATAAAGTGTATCCACAAAATTAGCCGTATCGAAAGCCTGTTTTAAGTATAAATAAAAACTATTCACCATTACAATGGGACCAATAATCGAAGATTTTATAGCCTATTTTGAAATATTTATAATTCGAAAATGAGTGTTTTTAAATACTAAAAACACTTAAAAATTCAGATATTTAGTACATATGTATAATAAATAAAAACAATGTTTCACAAAAATCTCTTGAACGTTATCAGTTAATTTAATTGCCGTTGAAATGTATTACTTTCGTCTCGAGTATATTTGTAAACAACAACTCAACACTTTTGAATGAAATAATTTAAAACAATTTGCTTATAATTGAAATACTAAATACTAGTTAAATAATTTTAAGACATGTTTTTGTCTTTCACAATTCATTAAAGTTAAAGTTGGTATTAATATGTTAAGCACCTATTCTACTCAATTTTTTCAGTCATTTTATTAGTGTCTCACTGAAAGGTCACTGCGTCGAGAACTACTCTCCCGTTCTGATATTAGGAGAGTTCTGTCTTTTGTTCGGTTAGGGTCTGTTACAGCACAAAAAATCAATCATGATCGCAGTGCGCCACTCCGTTGGGAGCTGGTACCCACTACTGTTTCACTGAGGATGGGAGTTGATTATAGTGCTTATGTAAGTTTCCATATATTTTATCGGCTGTTGGGTTTAGACGAATCTTTAACTAATTTAGTATTGACTTGAAGTGGTTGTTTACTTTAACTCAGAGTGTTAGTGCTTTTTTGCTTATATATTTTTTATGTATTACAACATTCACATCTCTGTGAAGATGTGTTGTTCTGATATACCAGGAAGCAATTATCGTGTAATTATTTAAGAGTAATGATTATATTTCAGAACATCATTTAAAGTATAACTATATTTACATTAAAAAAACTTAAACAAATTGTAAATAATTTCATTTTGTTAAACATACCACAAAATTCACATCGCCTCGACAGTTGTAAGCCTTAGCCAGTGCATTGATTGCCTTGCTATCATTAACTTTAGTGGCCCAGCCGGTTGCAAATATGACAACCTTTTTCTTAGAATCAAACTCTGGACTCCTACACATATCTTCCGCATTTAAAAGAGGGTAATTATACTTATTACATGCGGTGCACAATTGAAACTGAAGAAGATTTATGTCAGGAGTGAATTTTGGAACAATTGTTTCTGAGAAAAGTGCGGCAATACCTAAGTTATAACAGCATAAAATTATAAAGTCTAATTAATGTTTATTGATTTTTTACTTACAAATTTCATTAATAGTATTGCTTACAAATTCAAGAGGATACCTAATAAGTAGCTTTTTACTCTCTTCAATTATATCTTTTGGTGTGGGCAATAAATTTTTGATATTTTTAGCTGCTGCCTTGCCTATATCCTTTACCGACAACAAGGTTTTTTCTAGAGAAAATTGAAGCGAATTCACACTTAAGTAGCTCATTACCAATAGTAAAAAAAACTTTTTTATATTCGGAACTCTCATAGTGTTCTCTTTACTTAGAATATGAATATACTACCTATTCTTTCTACTGACTGATACGCAATGCAGCTAAAAAAGTCTTTGCATTATATTATTAATTATTTTAGCAATTATTAATAAGTTGTTAATACAAGTTTGAAACACATTTTAGTTAGATTTGCGTTTCTGGGTTTTTTTCAGTGTTAAGTTAAATAAACTAATTATTGGAAAAAAAAATTTTTTCTTGAAATAAAATATTTAAAAATCTTTCTTCGATGCCATATAGGACCATTCGTCTGTGTCTTTATTAAATTTACAACAATTTTTACTTAAACATAACAAGTAACAAGAACACAGTACGTGATGAATATAAAATTTTTTAAGATAAGTTAGATTTTTTGAAATAACTATCAATTATATAATATAGTCATTAATTCAAAGTCAATAGAAAGAATATTTAATATATTTCAGTAAAATATAATATATTGTCTATATACAAAATTATACAGCCGAATGCTAGTATACTAGAATACTCTTTTAACAGATTGTATTTCGGTTCATACCACATCTTATCGTTTCTTGAACCAAAAAGTAACCTCCCGCATTTATGTTACTTTGTCGAGTAACACCCTGTATATATTTTTATTACCTAATGATTTAATATTTTTTACACAATTATAAATCATATCTTAATTACAAGTTCATTAATAAGTCATTTAGGTAAGTTTTCTCTACAAAATAATTTTATAAATAAGTTCTATACTCTAGAGATGCAGTAAGACGAAATGCAAGGCTAGTCACCTGAAGTAACAGCGAGGCCTGAACGCAGGTCACACCGATGAAACTCTTAAATGACTTACAGTAATATTAACCTCGAAGTAATACTAACATAGATCCAGTGGTAGGAAAATATCTCTACGAATGAGAGGGGATGGGATTTAGTCTGTTCGAATCGCGCACTCAGTTTTCGGGGCGCCAGATCATGATCAGTGCGTAGATATTCCCCTTCGACACGCCGCAAAAAAAAAATAATACTCTAGAGGTGAGACAGTGGATAAATTAATTGACCAAACAAAGTCAAGTAAAGTAAAGTTTTAAAGTCAAATAAATAAACGTAGTTACAATTAATATATTAGTGGTCCAATATAATCCTTCTTATTGAAACACGTGAAATCACAAACATTAATAAAATAATTTATTGATGCTAAGACTAGTGATTAAAAATACCATATAATTAAAATATCCATTTATATAATATTGAACTTCATAAAAATATTCGATCCTATTTGCAAATACATATTGTGTAGAAGTCTGGCAAACTAATTATTACTGTCAAAAATATAAATAATACAGAAAGTTTAACACAAAATTTCTGAAACTTATTGAATACCAAAAATTACATTGAAGAATCGCTACAATCTCAATGTCGACAAAGTCATTCAAAACTATATAAACAACTGTCTAAATAATATATTTCAATAAACAAATAAGAAATCTGCTGTAACATACAGAAAACCTAATGTAGAAGACTAAAATGATGAGCACTTACAGTACTGCAAAACAACTGTAACTAAATTTATATAAAACTAATTTTTATATATACATATATATATATATGTTTTAATAAAAAAATATAAATTGATTGTATCTACTTGAAATTCCAATATGAGCAAATAATTACTAATTATAAAAAGTCAATACGTGCTTTTATAAAATCTGTTCAAGAAATTTGTTTCTCAACTTATTTTGTTCGGCTTTCATATACATACATATATTTAATATTTACCTGTAGTAAATTATTATTACATATTCGAATTATCTCTCTTACAGAGATAATAAGTATTTAAATCTTAAAGCTATTTACAACTATCACTATTAACTATGTGACATATGAAAAGCTATAAGTTAAATATAATAAATATATTTTATTTAATAAATAATGTGTTATATACCATAAATAATTATAATATATATTTAATAAGTACATTTTAATCTAATTTAGTTAATTATTTATAAAGAGGTTTTTTTCTTGAACAGTAGTGAACTACAACAACAAATATTCATTTTATATTATGACCATACAGCTGTTTCGAGTATTGCCAAATACCCATCATTAATGGTCTTGAAAATGGAAAATTAATTATTTATTTAAACCGAATTTGGCTAATAAAAACACAAACAAACAAGCTTTATGAATTGATGGCTTACGAGTTACATATTCATATACTCTACGTCCTTGCAACAGAATTGAATTAGTTTTAATTTATGTTCTTTCTCCATGTCATCTTTCGCAGTTAAAGAATGTATCTCAACATTGTCCTCGATGGATCCGCGGTGTATACAGTGTAATAAAAGGTCACACTTGAGTATGAATATATGTATGGTAAACCAATTATATCACTTTAAGAAAAGGTTGATAAGTCCTGTTGGCCTTTATAGTAAGTGCCATTATATGTGATATTTCTACTGCACATATAGGAATACTTCTTACTTTAAGCTAAATAGAGATTCGCTGCAGAATAACTTAGTGCACTTAACAATTCAAATTTTGATCCGCCACGTAGAATGTATGCATTCGTGGAATCTAATACTTTTTATATATTATATAGTATCATATGACGCTACACTCGAATTTTATTTGTTTGATATTAAAAAAAAATTCTTGCTCAATAATCTGTCGTATGTTTTATTATAACCACATTATCAAAATTCAACCTAAATTTCTTTGTGTTGCATTCACTAAACCTCGACAACAAATACTTTAAACTGAATTTATAAATTTATCGGAACACTCAATGCTAATCAAAGGGTTCCAACAAGACAAATAATAAAGAGATAATTATTACATTATTATATTCAGTTCAATCTTTTGGTATAAATATATTTTTGAAAATTCAGAAACCTAATGAGAATTATAAATTAAGCAATATTAAAATAGAACAAGTAATGCTAACACAAAAATAATAGGCTTGCCACCACGCTGCGAAAAAGTTAAAAAAATGAAGAAGTTTTTATATTAAGTATTAAGCTCAAAAAACTTTTAATTTTTTAATTAATTTTTAGTTAATTATATTTACTAAACTTTGTTAGTAAATTTTATATTAAAGAAAAAATTTTTTGATTTTAAATATCTATCAAACATTATGAAATAAATTTTAATGTCTATTCAAAACATTTTGTTAAATTCGCATCACTTTTATTTAAATGTCGGCTAAGTTTTGTTCTGCAGACATGAAAAACATTTTCATTTAAAATATCTAATGAAAAATTATGAAGTAGGAATTATTTGTTATAAAGTTTAAAACTTTTCATTAATAAATCATTGATAAAATGTTTTCGTGAAATTACACAAATTATAAAATCAGTTGTGTGTTCCTTTTTTTCATGACTGTTCGAATTAGTTAGTTATAAACATGTTCTTGATTCATTTCAATCGTGTAGATTTTAATAAATAATACAACTCTAGCTAGAATATTTTTAATTTGAACTATTATCAAATCGAATTTCTATTTTAAATATATTTTTTGTAGAAAGGTTTCGTAAAGTAGTAAACTACAACAACAAAAATTCTTTTTATATTATTTTAATTAATTGAATTTTTGGCTGACCATAAAACTATTTAAGTTATTGCTTAATAGTATTAAGTTAATACTCATTATCAGTGGTCTTGAAATTATTAATTTCTTATATTTAATTATTCGTAAATATCTTTTCGAAACCTCTCTCTTAAATACATCACTCTCAATTAACTAAAATAGTCACTACGGTCATACTGTCGTTAAAATCAAATTTATATTTTTTATGCTATTATTTTGATTTATTTAAATATATAATTCAAATTATATTATATATGACTTCAATTAAATTAAAAAATTATTTTATGTTGGAGAAGATCGATAAACAGCGAAACTAACAAATCATTCAGCATGCTTAGAGCATTAGCGCGTAATAGGGGTGTCTGGAAAGCTTATGTGAATAGATTAAGTTCTTGAATTATGATTGTTATTTATAAAATATATCATAATAATAATAATAATTATTGTTGTATGTACTTAACTAATATGTAAGAAACATATTTATGAATTTAATTAGTAGATTTGATTCTTTGCGCCTTTCCAGTTTATCAACTCTACAATTCTCAGTTTTTATTTTTAATTTAATTAAGTAAGAGACATTAAAATATTGAAATTACAATTATTGAATTCAGAGAATATAACTATTAAATTAATTTTAATTATTTTAAACTTAACTTATAATTATATGTTTTAATTAAATAATTAATTTTTTCTCTGTTAGTTAAATCACAATCATCAAATCAAAAAAGAAACTAGAAAATTTTACATAAAAGTTAATAATAAATAGCTGTATACATACGTATTATCAACCAAACAAACTCAGACCTTTATTTATTATAATGATATTAATAAGCAATTTATCAATTTAAAATAAATGGATAAATTTTTAAAAACTTGTATAACATAAACAAATATTTTTTCGTTAGCATTTCTTATTCTCAGTTAATATTATTCAAATAAATAAAAAATAATATGATTCATACATCTTATAAAAGATAAAAAATTGTGGCATAAATCATATTTTTTTAATTAAAATATTATGGCTTATTAAGCCGTATACATACAATGTAATAATTATAATAAAAAATATAACAACCTTTGAACAATATTTAGCGAATAGTCATTCACCTGAATAATCATTATGCAGTTTTTGCTGTGAATTATATCGGTCAAGTATTTCAAATGTCATGCTAATCGATTTTAGATTTACTACTATTAATAAAAAAATTAAGCTGGTATAACAAATTAATGTAATATATTGGAAAAATTTGAATAAACAATATTACACTTTGTTAAAAAATTGCATCTTCTACTTTTTACAAGTATAATATTAAAATCAAATTTCACTTCCGAGGAAAGAATATTGTACAAGTATTATTGTATCTCTTATAATCGAAGATGCCCCACCAATCATTATTAGCTTTTCACAGAACAAATGTTTTAATTTAAAGACTCTACACATACCAAAAGTTAGAGCCAACGCATAAATAAAGAAATGGAACTTAAAAATTAATCTGAATTGTAAAATTCTTCTTCACATGAAGAAGTTTATCGTTCACATTCTATCCAATAACAATGATATCTGTCACCTCATCATTAAGGAGAAATGATATTTGAAAAAGATGTTAAGTTATGTTGGGTTAATCTAACTCGTTAATCTATAAACCACGCATTGACCTACTGATGCTTATAGTACGTTTTCACTGGCTTCTTTAAACTAGTTAACTTACTTGAGATTCAAGTAATTCAAACAATCTCAAGTAAGTTAACTAGTCTCACGAATCCAGTGGAAACATACTATTAGCGATATAAGATATAATTAAGCCCTTATGTAAATATTGCAGTGCTTCAAGTTCTCTTTTTAAAATAAAGTTATCAAATATTTTCTAAAGATTTTTAAAGCGTATTCATATCAGACCTTGTGGGATTTAAATACAATCCCGATGTGTCTTGTTCTAATACAAGCCAACTAAGTGAGTTCGCGCTGCCATTACCTTTTATGAAATTTTGTACATATAAAACTAATACCATATGAATGAAGTATATGTTATATGAACCATTCAACAATATAAGAACATATTATAGTCCGAAAAGCGTATATGTGTTTCATATTTAACACATTATGAAATCTAGCACTTAAACTATAAGTGCATTTCCTTTACATACATACTTGTGTAAAGATCTCTCTTCACTAGGTGTTAGCCCACTTTATTTTTTGTAGCTTCACCAAACGAGAAGTCACCATTCAAATGAACATTTATTGAAATTTTATTGTATAAGGATAATTACACGAATTGATGATAATAAAATCGAATTTATAATCGAATAATCGAATAAAGAATAAAATAATACAGAATATACTCGGTACTATAAATTACACCATATTCTTTTTATAAATCTTGCATCTTATTGTTTACCAATACAATATAGTGGATAAAAAATGTATTACATTTATAGGCTACCATTTATGGAGCATATTTACATATTTTACATTTAACAATTCGAAAGCATGATGTATTGTAGCACTTTTTGGCTTGAAAAGAAAATAATTGACATAAAAAAAATTAAATTAAAGTAAAAATTAAAATCTGTATTAGTTGATGATCATTCATATTATTATTTTAGAAAAATATTATATACGAGTCCGGGAATGTTTTTTCAAAACAAAGATTTTAAAGCATTGTTCAATATATCTGCCAACTACAAACATTCATTATTTGTTGACACAACAAAATATTTCAAATTAAAAGTAATATATTTATATTTTTTAAAGTATTTAAATGTATAAAACTCTGGCAGTTTTAGCTTCTAAATTAACTTAATCATTTCTATATAATTACATAAAATATTTACAGAGAATTTATATATCACAAAGTTTTTAGAATGCTAGAAAGTTTAGGAATGCTTTGTTGCGTTCTTTCCATACGGTTTTTCTCCATTAACTTCCAAATAAAAAATACCAATAACATTCGATGGTGCTTTAAAACCCATTGGGACTTCATCTTTTGTACACTCCAAGCCATTTGGTGTTGCACAACGTTTACCTAAAAAATTTCGTTCACTTCCAAAATAAACAGATTCTGCAAAATATTCTACAGCTCGCAAATGAGAGCACTTATTATTTGTGCAACCAGTTTTTAGAGACTGCAAACCATCAGGATAAAAATCGCTGTCCCCAACAGGCTCAAATACACCATAATAACCAGGATTTGTATGAATAATATTTACAAAATCAGCATCCCCTTGACGTAAACCTCTAAATGGTCTATTATAGAAGCATGGATTTGCAGGGTCTAAACCATGTATTGTCTTCAATTTCTTTCCAGTGAGTCGAGTAAAAGCGCGTGCCGTTGCCCCTGCTATATGAGCACCTAAACTAAATCCCAATAATTGAATATTTTCTAACGGCACAAGCTTAGAAAGTATTTCCAAACCGTATGCTACATCTTCTCCATATTTTTCGACATTTAATGCTAACCATGTATAATCGATTTGAGAAAAATAACTGTTTTCTATGATCTAAACAAATATACAAATTTAATGTGAATTTTAATTAGATTAAATAGTATTCAACAAGTACTAACCAAAAAATTTACATCAACTCGACATCTGAATGCCTTTATTAAACTCTTTTCAGCAAAACTAAAATTATCATTTGATTTCCACCCATCCAACAATATAACTACCGGTTTAGAACTATCAAATCCGGTACATGAAATTATATTGCCTATGCCCAATAGTGAATAAACGTAATTTTGAGTAGCAGTCCAAAGAGTAACATTTGTTTTTTTTATATTTGGTATTATTTTGTTCGGTTCGTTACGATGACATAAACCTTTTTAAGAAAAAAACAATTATTTTTGAAATAAACATTTTATTTAAAAACTTACATAGTAAATCTAATATAAGCATATCGCCTTCTGAAATATTGTCTCCAATTGAAAAACTATAATTTTGTATTGCATTAGTCGCATCCACTGTGGCAAGACAAAAACTAATCATTGAAAAGAAAAACAGTATATTAAAATGTTTCATATTATTATTATCGGTGTAGTTATCCAATGTGTATCTATTAGAATATTACTTTAGACTTTATGGTGCTTTTGATACAGTACTCATTTTATATAGATATTAAGTAGAATAAAAAATTCAAAAGTAATTTAACAATTATATTACATTATAATAAGAAAACCTTAACATTAGTAGAAGAAAAATTTGGTTTAGCTAAAACGAAGCTTATATACGCTATACCGCATTCTAGATACTCTTTGAATTTTATATTTACTAATCTATTCAGTTTTGTAAAAAAATACTGGTACTAAAATGAAAATCCGAAAATATCAATGAAATTCTTATTATAATGATAAGCAAATAACAAAATTATATGAAACAATTAAAGGAGTTTTAAATATCACTGTAAATATTAACTATAACATAGATACCTGAAGATCTAGATAAGATTTACTGATCTTTAGTAAAACTTTTGCTATCAGTAGAGACCAAGCAATATACCTACCTATGTCATTTTTATCCATCCAGAAAAGTGAAATTTTCTGCAAGCCCATAATCTCTCCAAATCAAATATATAAGCTGTAAGATAAGCAAATGAACTTCCATATGAAGACATATGGAACAAGTGGCATCTACAAGGGCGATTTTAGGGTTCGAGACCTACTAAAATATTTCAGACCATTTTCACTAGTTATAATGGATTTTTTCAATTCAATATTCTTTATATAAACTTAAAATAAGTTTTCAAAACCTCCCTTACATATAATATGAGTTTGTGTATGAAACTATCCAAATAAAACCTATATATGGTATATTCTGTGTAGATTCTAAAAACTATATTTTTTTTTGTACAAATGTTATAACAAGCAATATGCACAATTTTTATACTTAACTAAATAATCTAACGATATTTGTATTTATAAAAAAACAAAAAATAGATTGACGATATTAAACTTTTTATTGGTTTAATATGATTTTTCAAATAAGTTTAATCTGTACTCCTATATTGTAATTATATTGCAATTAAATATTTGCACGTCGTAAAGGGCATTAGATAAAACTAGTCATTTACCTAAACTGAATTTACGATAATTTGCTGATAATAATCAGATACAAATTAATATGATAATAACATAAATTTTATTTTCTAAATATTCCATTTGAATTTTTTTTTTTTTGTTTTTATTTTATTGAAATTGCACCTAGTCTACTTAAACTAATTAGCAATATTGATATGGCGGGAACCTCATCCATTTGAATGAAAAGTTTTTTCTCATAGAGCTTCGTAGTGAGACAATTTGAATTTCTTCAAAGATAAATATAGATTTCATGATTTGTATCAGAATTATTTAAATTGTTATTAAAACACAAACAAGTCTCATTATTTTAACATATATCATCATAGAAAAAGCGATAAAATAGTAAGTCAAGTACGAATAATAAATTTTTTAAAACAGTTCTCGTGGACGTAGACGTGATCGCTTGTGATCGCTGGATTCCGCTAAGTAATTAAATAGTCGATTCAAGTTTTATATAACCGATTTATTGCTCTTAGTTTTGTCAAACGCAAACTCACAATTTTCTTTCCCTGAGCTTCTATTGTCTTACCGACAAGTTTCTGATACTCCTCCTTTCCTTCAGCCATATCTCGAACTAGTTCTTTGATCTCACTACAACACTCCTTAAGCTCACTACAGTACTGCTTAAATTCATTACAATACTGTTTCATTTGTAGCGAGTACTTCTGACCCATTTGTTACTTAAGCTCACTGGAAATCTGCTTCAATTTTTGCACCATCTGCTGCTTAAACTCACTAGAATTCTGGTCCTATTTCGTGATCATCATCTTCATGAACTCCATCATTTTCCTATTATTTAGCTTCAATCGCTACAGTTGTCTCTTCAGCGAATTCTTTATCTTGTGCATTCATACCGTTCGCCTCCAGCTTCTCAAGCTGCCTCTTTAATTGGACCACGGTTAACTACTCAAGCTTTACCATTTTCGCTTACCAGGTAGGTGTCCCATTTCTGACATCTACCTCATTAAATGAGGTAGTGATGGTCAAAAAGTGATGGTCCGGAATTTAGATTCAATCGCAGGACGACATAACTTTTTTCTAGTGATATATACTTACTTAAGTAATAACAATAATACTTACTTACTGATTTACTTACTTACTTACTTACTTATTTACTTACTCACTATTTACTTACTTACTTACTTACTTAATTACATGTTTACTTACTTACTTACTTACTAACTTACTTACCGACTTACTTATTTACTTACTTATTTACTTATTTATTTACTTACTTACATACTTACTTATTTACTTACTTACTTACTTAATCACACATTTCCTTACTTACTTATTGACGTTTTTACTGGTTTCCCACTTACTAACTCACTGATTGACTTCTAAATTTTTATTAATAATTTCAAACCATTGATATTATAATTGTCTCAATTTTTTTCACTGAAAGTAAGACGTTCCAAAAATAACTATTCTTGTATTTACAATCTTTCTTATAGCTTAAATCAATTAATTTGTGTATATCCAGTTTAAAGTGTTTATATTTGTTTTACAAATCTCGTTATAAACTCTTTGGTTTTGATTGTATATAATTTTAAAACTAAAATATTTCCTTATTGACCCATTTTTTGCAGACCTGTGGTTATTCATAATTTTAGTGTAAAACATTTATTAAAAATAAATTTGAAATAACAATAAATATAAACGCTACAGGTATCAATATATTTGCAGTAATACATTGTGACCGAAAAGCTTCCGGAAATTTTAAATAAAACGCAAAATTCTTAATCTTCATCAATATTTATTTTATCTCCTTCAAAATATGCTCCATTAGAAGCGATACACAAATGCCAACGTTTCTTCCAATCATCAAAACATTTTTTATAGGCGCTTTCCGGTATGGCTTTGAGTTCCCTCTGCGAATTCTGTTTTACGTCTTCTATGGATTCAAAACGCGTTCCTCTGAGTGGTAATTTGAGTTTGGGAAACAGGAAAAAGTCACACGGTGCAAGATCAGGTGAATACGGTGGCTGTTCGATGGTATTTATTGAATGTTTGGCCTTAAAATCGTTGATAATGTTGGCTCGGTGCGAGGGAGCATTATCGTCATGAAAAATCCATGAATTATCCTTCCACAATTGGCCATTTACGGCGGATAGCTCTCACGACCGATGCCTAGCTCTCGTGCTATCTCTCTAACACTCACATGAGGATTTTGGAACACGATTTCCTTTGCCTTTTCAATGTTTTCGTCGGTGGTAGAGGTCGAAGGTCGTCCAGAACGCGGCATGTCTTCGACGGTCGTACGACCGTCCTGAAAGGCTTTGTACCACTCATAAACTTGAGTTTTCGATAAAACTGATTCCCCATAAGCCTTTTGTAGCATTCGCAACGATTCTGCACACGAAATTTCGTTCGAAACACAAAATTTGATGCAAACTCTTTGTTCAATATTTTTTTCCATTGTTTTTTTCGCAACGCACTACTGAGGTGAACTGGTTTCAACAGCTGCCGTAAACGAACTGTCTGACAGATCGCGCTCATTTTTGGCATAGTAATTAAGGAAAGTGCTGCCAAACTACATAAACTTAAAATATCGAAAAATATACAGCGCGCGAATTTTAAATGAGAACCTCCGAAAACTTTTCGGTCACAATGTATAAACACCGAGAAGTAGCGTCAAAAGCTATTGCAATTATGTTTGCAACAATTTAATAGCTTCAGGTGAGTAATTTTTTTATAACAGTGGGTGCTAAATCATACAGAAACCGCAAATTTGTTTAAGAAACTAAAAATAAAATAAATTTTAACAAAGCCTTAGCTTACATAGGTATAAGCCGCCAGTCTTAATTACGACGCTATGAAACTAAATTTTATCATGTGTAAAACGCAAGCTTAGCTCAGCTCAGATACCATATGCACTTATTTCAGAAGTTCCTGCATTGATTACAGATTCCCCTGCCTTTCTTTATACCAACTTAGCATTTACTTTAATTATTTATTAACCAAATTTACTTGATGCAATTCTTTATACTTATGTATGTAGACCAGTGCCTCACATAATTCGAGACTATTACGTTTCTTACTTACTCATGCAAGTAATTACAAAAATTTATTATGCGTAAGAAATTTTTTTTATTGCACATTCAGTATAATTTCTTTCAATAAATTTATTTATTACACAATTAGCAAAAGTTATAGTTTAAACGCCCCTTCATTCAATAATTGTGCCACCGATTGCATATGTTTACAAATAAATTTACAGCTAAAACAATTAAAAACAAGTAAAGAGTGTTAAACAAAATCTGTGTAAAAATATTTACCCATTTATGAACAGTCGACGTATTTAGCAGTCATGCATTCAATATAAACTATAAATGCACTCTACACGTTATACATATAATATATACATATAAATAGAAATGAATACATTAATACATTAAGACTTTCCTAATTTGATTTGTACCTACTTATATCGCAAGCAGTTTATAAATAAATAAATAATCTATCATCAATTACTATACTATAAATCGAAAAACAAATACGTTTTAACAAAGAGGGAATGTAATCATAAAATTCTTTCATGACCAAAATAAACCATATAACCGTACAATGTGTTAGTAAGATGAGCGTTGACTGAAGAAACTTTCTAAACTTGGACATCTATTATATATACAATAGATCTATGTATACATACTACATGGTTATTAATTTATGAACCTTGCTATTAAGTCTTAAATTTTCTTCTTCTTTATTTCTTAATTCGATTTCGAATATTGGTGATCATATAACATAACACTATATTGTTTAATTAGCTTTTAATAAACACAATTATAAATAATGTATTTGGGTCCATTGACGTATGAAAATTGTTTCCTACCAATACCGCGCTTCCTTTCGATTAATCATTTGGAATAATCATTTAGAGTAGTTCATTTTTAGGTAGGCTATTTTCTTACCTTAGACAATGATTTCGCGCCATGCTGTTGAAATCACATATCCTCCACATCCCTACATTCAATTTTATGCAAAAAGTGATAATACAGATTTTACACAATTCCTATTTTTGTAAAAATACAATTATCGTAAAGTATCTACTTCTCATAGCGCCAGTGTGCCTGTTTTATATAAGATGAACTGCCAGTGGTATAAATCTATCTTATGATAACAATGTTTAATCTTTAAAATATTTCAATATATATGCAATATATTTTAATACATTCTATAGAATTTTGCATTCTGTAAAAACCAATAATAAGAATCGAAAATTTTGGGAAATGACCAAAAAAATATTCACCTCCCAAATTATAAACTTAACAAACTTTTTTGCCAAAGTTTAAGCACATAAGTAGTATGAAAAAACGTGCGATCGGCAGCAGCAATCGGATTTTTGGATTATAAACATTTTACTGCCTTGGAAAATATTAATACGCATTCGATGATAGACGTTATACCTACAGCTAAAACCAGTTTCTAATTGGCCAATTCACAATCTATAATGGATGGAAGAAAATTCTAGGTAATGAAATAAACCGGGCGTGATGCTTCAGCAGAAGAAATGTTTTAGAAAATATTGATACACAAAATACGGTAGGGGTTATGCAACTTAAACAAGCTTCATTGGCAGTTCACAATTTGTAGTAGTTGTAAGAAAGTCCTAGGTAATGAATTAAACCAGGGATGGAGCTTGAATATAATATAATAAGTATGAAATTCTGTTGATAAAGAATAAAAAAAAAGTAGAAGTTAAGTCGAACGCCTTAATTAATTAATGTGTTGGATTAAAATATTGAATGAGTTAATTTTCTCTCACCATTATTAGTAGGAGCTTTCTTAAGTCTTTAAGACTTACTTTAAATATACAAATGTTCACTATGAACATGTCTGCACTCTGTTACATTTGTTCATAATTAAAACATCTTCCGTATTTAAATGCGTTCCGTAAAAGTTTTATTTGCTAAAAAAAAACTAAAAATGTGTGAAGAACAAGACAGGAAAAGTTTATGTAAAACTTTGCTAAATTTATTTTTTCAAAAGTTTTTAGTTATGTGATCAAAATCCTGATTTGAAAAAAAAATCATTTTTTTACTGTCCACATATCACTTCCAAGAAATAAGGAGATTCAAATGTATGTTAATGTTCAGACACAAATGTATTTGGAAAAAAATCGATTTACATAATAACCACCGATATACAAGACTCCTTAATAGGAGAGGTTACAAAGAAAATTATGTGGAGAGCAAATATTTGTTTCACTGGAGTATTAGGGTAGCGTGGCGAAGAGAAAACTTTTATCAAAACACTTAGTTATAAAGGAAAATATATAACCTATATGAAAATGTTATCATTACATATACATATTGTTTAAATAATACATGAATAATTTTTAATAATAATCACTAATTCCTAAAGAACTAAACTATATGGGTATACAACATAGAGGGACAAGTTGCTCATTATAGGCAACTTACAACAATCAAATCTAGGTGCTCTAGAAGTAACAATTATGCCAAAAAATAAATGTAATCCGATTACATGAGTTCTCCATCAACAAATCAAATGTAAAATTGTTGAATTATGCTATTATCTATTATTTTAAATTTATTGGGCATAAAGTAACAACAAAACCTAATCTCATATACAAAGCTACATCATTGTATCTTCTTATATAGAATACTTTAACTGCAGAACAAATAATTCGAATGGAAAACGATCAATAAACGAAAGTAATAGAACGAAGTAGTATGATGACATAGGCTGCATATAGAGTACTTAAGCATAGCCTACTTGTGGTAGTGCACTGCGACCTAAAAAACCTATTGTGCCACTAAGTCGAATTAGAATGTTTCTCCAAGTCCGATATCTTTGATGAAAGACAGTATAGAGCCTATCTTTCCTTATCTTGAATTTCTTATGATCCATGAAACACCCTCCTAGGTGTTTCTTCCGCTTGTGCATCAGTGCCGGGCACTCCCAAAGCATATGGTATGCAGTTTCTCTCTCTTTTCTACAGTATCTGCAGTCTTAGCTGAATTGAATTCTTAATTTCGTTAGGTGAATCGGTCAATAATCCCGTGATGACTTGTGTTTAAACAGTTCTCTAAATTAATCTCATCTAGATCTAGATCATTCTAGACACTGTCTTTCCATCGTTCTCTTGGCCTTTCTCTTCTTCTGTTGCTTCAATTCATAATAATATTTATTGTAATCAGTGCTTTCAATTTAAGGATCAAAAAATTATGTTAATTTGGAACAGTTGAGATATACTGTTTTCTTTTAATCATCATCCTTGGCGTAAGATTCCGTGTAGGCCTCTCTAACAATAACCTTCCATTCTTCTCTGTCTATTGTTTTCTCTTTCCACTTCCCTATATTCATCTCATTTAGATCATTCTGGGCACTATATTTCCATCGTTTTCTTGACCTTCCTCTTCTTCTGTTGCTTCTGACATCATTCTCGAATATGTTTTCTTCAAATAACTCATAATAATATTTATTGTGATAAATGCCATCAGTGTTTTCAATTTAAGGATCAAAAAATTATGTTAATTTAGAACAGTTGACAATTTTAGAGAACATCTTAAAAGAGATTGTTTCGAAATTGTTAAGATATAATATTTTAATTTTAAATACCCTATTTAAAAGTTTTCTGAGCCACGCACATTATTATATATATAAATATAGATTCGGAAAATATTTTATTGGGATTGTTGCTTGATGATTTAACATATTGTAGGCTAACAACTTTCCTATTATATTAAGAAATAAATAAGTTGATCGTGCCAGAAACTCTAATAAAGTTTTTTCAAAATATGTTGTAAACACATTTGTTTCATTCAATTATTGTTTTATAATAAAACAATAAAGTCACCGTCTAGCTAAGAAGCCGTAACATGAATAGCAAGTTGCAATCATATTCGCTACGCCAAAATAAAAACAAAAAATCAATTTAAACCATCTGAATTTTTGGCGCAGAAAGTCGTTGCAACAATGCTAACGTAAGCCAACTGTACATTAGAGTAGCCTCATATATAAACAAGTGGCAAATGATCAACTAAAATTAGTAGACGTACACTATTTCACCAAAACGGTTAACAAATTAATTTACGCAAATCCAAAATGTGCGCTTTGAAGAAAAACGTGACAACTGTAGCGGTTTTAGTCGTAGTAAATAGTTTCCTTATTTTCACTTCAACGACCTATGCCAGTCATATCGGCTCAGGTTCATATGGTGCTGGACTGTTAGGCAATTATGCAGGACATTTGAGTGGTGGCGAGGCAATAAGTGAACTACAACACAGTCAAATCGAGACTGAAGGACATGATTTTAGCGAAGGTGCAGCCACAAGCCTTGACAATCATTATGAATCTCTTGGCTCGGTTGGAGATCATTTGCAAGAACAACATTTTCCTTCTGATTATCATGGTGACGAATCTTCCGCACCTACTGAACACCACTTTGATTATGCGTCACATTCATCAGAGCATGTAGGCGATCATTACGAGAATTCATATCACGGTGATTTTCATAGTGAACCAGTCCGTGGCATTGATCACGGTAAAGGTGCTTTCAGCTACAGTACTACTTATGAGTCTAAGGAACCTTAAACAGTCATGTGCTTTTGATCTTCAACACACTATGCAGTATTAACTTTATAAAATAAGCGGTTTGTTGCAGTGATGGATTAATTATTAAAAATAATATAAGGTGTATTTCTGTGGTTGCCTATATACATACTATTATAATGAATTTCATTATATATGATCATTTAAGACGTAAGTGCACAACTAAATTTAAATAATGAAAACAATAATAAAAAATTTTGCGAGTTGTTTAATATATAAAAAAGATAATAGATACTTTATTTCGTAAACAAAAATATGTAAAATAAACAGAAAAAAAATATATATAACGTGTTTTTTTTAAGTAAGATTACTACATATGTTATCCTTGAAGATCAAATATCAACTTTAGATTCAAGGAAGTATCATATTAATCATGCGAATTTGATTACTAAGTTTATTGTAAGAACTCTAACTTCTAAAAATTGTTTTTTCTGGTTAATTTTTATACAGATTATTGTTCCACATATAATTGCTCGAGCGCTCGGAAATTCACACCGATTCACACCAGAAACTAAACTATAGTACCAATAAGTTCGCTATGCTCGAATTAGAGACTACTGACCACCTTTTTATTTTTCCTTTAGCAATGAAAGGTAGTGTTGAAAAATTTGTTATAATTACAATGAAATAATATAATTGAAGATTTTAGAAGTTTTAGTATTTCAAAAACCCATAAGTGTTCTATTGAAATTTTTAAAATATTTTAATACTTTCTTTAGTGTTTTTTTTTCAATTAAACTGCTAATTTAATAATACTTTATGAAGGTAAATGTCTACTTCAATCAATAACGACAAATGAATAATAATTGTTAAAAATTTTTTAAAAATATTAAAACTTTAGTATAGACTAAACCAGATTTCCGCAATACCTTACGTACTACGGTCCGAAAAACTATTCAAATTATTTTAAAAGAACGATATACATATTTTAATAAAATGTTATTAATATTATTAAAATATTTTACAATAAGTAAAAGAAGTGCAATTATTGTAATAGTTTTATTTAATGTTGAAAATACTTTAAGAAAAATATCTGATTCGAAAGTGCTAATGCCTCGACCCTGCATTTAAGAAACGCTAGACTACATATCTCTGTGGCTTTATTACAAATACAATATAAATTTTCAATATGCATATGTACTAAAATTAAGAAACTTCTCTTGTAATATATTACAAAATAGAGGCACAAATGTATCTATTGTGATTATTATCTACCATATGATTTTGTATAATGTATATTCTTTAAATTTTCTATGTTCTGGAAATCTACATTATCACTCAGCTCCACAAAATCATGACCACTACTTATTTGTGTATGTAAAGGACTTTGAATTCTTGTTTGGCTATCTTTTGAAAAAATGCTACCCACATTTCCTATATTCACCGTAGAATCAGGTATAACACGTAAAGGTTTATAGTTTTGTAATCCCTTGTCTGTATCTAACCATATTTCATAACCATCGCTCAAACCTGACGGTTTCCATGCATTCTGAACAGAAGCTTCATAGTGATGAGTACCAATTTCAGCAGTTGGAGTTTTTTGTATTTCTAAAACATGCGAGGTGACAATAATGGGTGATCCCAAATCTAACAATAGTTCAAATAAAATGTTATAACAAATTAACAATATCACATTATCTCAATTTCACTGGCATTTACCACTTTCACTTTCTTTATAGCCACGTTTTTCTCTTTTCTCTAAGAGCTCTATGTGCTGTTCTTTAATAGCACTAGCACTAAGTTCTACCATTAAAACGAAGAACACTGTTATATATATCAACTGCATATTTCTTGGCAACATTTTATAAATCGTGTTTCTTCAATTACTAACGCGTTAGATATGTTGCATTTTTTGTCTTGGAGTGGCAGTTTTATAAAGAATTTCTAGTCTTTAATTGAGTAAGATAGTTACTTTGTAATTCTTTAAACGGATGTGAGTGGTTGCGCTTGGTAGCATTTGGGACATTGGAATAAAAATAATTATTTTTAATTTAGTTAAAGTTTTAATACTGAAGGTGAGCAATTGCTACTAAATGTATAATATGACATCGAATTTATATATTTTTTTATTTGATAACAAAAACTTTGTAATTTTATTTTAGTAAAAATAATATAAAATCTAAAAAAGCAATGACTGCACACATGTATTTTCATGTATCGTTAAAATAATCGCAATTTATTGTTGTTAAAGTTATTAAAATAAAAAACAAAAATATTACAAATAAGTTAGAATTTCAAATAAAGACTATACTATTAAATAAAATTGTTTCTCTAACTACCAAATATCCAACTGATTACATGTATATATAATTTGTTTTCCTGGTAAGTTAGTAAACAGACAAAGTGAAGATATAAGTTAAGACCAGCTTTTACGATAGTCCTAATTTTGATCATTTAGCTAAGTAGCTAAAAAATATTATTGAGTTAACAAGATAATAAGTTGTCTAATTTCTACATATTATTTACAAAATTTTATTAAAGTGGACACTCACATATTAGAACTCTTAGAATTTATGACATCCAAGTGCACTGAATATTTACAAAACTTAATAAAATGAAACAATCGAAACTACTATATTTTACACAATGTAAGCTTTAACATAATTTAACAGCCAACGTTGTTCCAACCATTTGACCAGCTGGATCCTACGTTGCTATTGTAACTAACAGCGGGTAGTGGTGGTGGACCATAGGTCTCACTCAATGAACCACCATAGCTACCTTGGTTGACATCAGAAGATTCATCGAAAATTAATTTAACTGTCTTCACAATCTGATTTTGTTGTGGTACAGGTTGGTATGATATTGGTTGTGGAGCTGGTTGTGGAATATTGATCACTGGAGTTGAAACGCGTACAACCGGCTGAGTTTGCTGTACAACTACAGGTTGTGGTACTGGTACTTGTACTGGTGGAGTATACTGTACTATTGGTTGTGGTGCTGGTACTTGAACTGGAGCAGTAGCTATGCGAACAACGGGCTGTGGCTGTTGTACAACAACAGGTTGAGGTGCTTGAACTTGAACAACGGGCTGTGGTGGTTGTTGTACTAATATTGGTTTTGGGGCTGGTACTTGAACAGGAGCAGGAATTGCTTGAACTACACGAACAACGGGCTGTGATTGTTGGACAATAACAGGTTGAGGAGCTTGAACTTGGACAACTGGTTGAGCTTGCTGTACAATAACAGGCTGTGGAGCTGGTACTTGTATTGGTTGGGCATACTGTACTATTGGTTGTGGTGCTGGTACTTGAACTGGAGCAGATATGGCAGTGGCTACACGTACTACAGGCTGTGGTTGTTCTACAACAACAGGTTGTGGTGCTGGAACTTGAACAACTGGCTGTTGTGCTTGTATTTGTATTGGAGTACTTTGTACGAAAGAACGAACTTGTGTTGGTGCAGGTAAAGCTTGTGCTGTTGCAACATAGGAGGTACTTTGAATAGGTGCAGGAGCAGAAACTTGTACTGGTGCAACTACAGGTGTCCATCCAGATGAATAGCCAGAAGAATAACTAGATGCATATCGTGGTTGTTCATTGGGTACAACAACTTTAATAATTTTTACTACTCTTTCACCACCATATCCACTTCCATATCCATAACCACCACCGTAACTGTAACCACTATTTCCATTATAAATTGTACGATATTGTGGACCTCCATAATAATATCCTTGATTGTAACCACCGCTGTATGCACCACTTCCATAACCACTATATCCACTATAACCACCATATCTAACACCATTATTATTTCCACCTTTTAAACCACCCAACAATGCTAACTTTCCACCAAAGAAAGCTTGTGTGGGTGCCGCTATTGCTATTAAAGCAACCAAGACGCAAGCAAAAATTTTCATGATGATATATGTTCACTATCTGAAAACCGATGCGTATGCTAAGATATTCAAACTCAACTGATAAATCAACTGTATGAAACGCACAAATTTATAGGTCCCAAATTACCATGAAATTATTATTTTCAAATTTTTTTCCAATCAAAAAAGCAAATAAGTCGAGAATAAGTTTGTTAAATAGTTGAAAAGAGTTTTTTAAGCTACTGTACACAAAAATCAAAGAACATATTTGCTATATTATGAGGGATGTCATGAAAATTTAAGTTATTAATACATTATTTAAATTATTTAATCAATTTACCAATTACCCACACTTTTGCTCCACATAACAATGCACAAACACTATATTTGCATTATTTCTGGTACTAGTTATGAACTTCCAATGTGAAGCTTTGTAAAGTACCGCCCTGTTTTCAACACAAACTAGCCATATTGATGTTCGATATATTATTTAATTCATAATTATAATATTAGTTATTTATTGTGTAAACAAAATGCATTTGATTTAACAACAATAATATCTGTCTGAGGTTATTCCCATTCATAGTTTGTGTATATAAAAAATTTTGCGAATAATTTTTGCAGTCTTCGCTAGAGACGCCTACAAAGGTCGCAAACCTTTACGCAACTACGACTATTTATATTATTTTCTTTTTTTTTTGTAAATATTAAACCATAGTCAATTCACACATTCTTTAAATTTGAATATTTTATAGTATTTTGTCAAAATTACTTCATAACTGATTATATACAAACATATACTATTTGGACTTGAAATAATAAATATCTACAAACAATGCAGTTCTGGCTTTATCTTTAAATATCTTTTTTATTTTACACTCCAACAATTTTTATTCACTTATTTATTTACAACATATATCTCTATGGTTTGATCTAATTGCTCTTTTTATTTAAAAAGTCTTGATCACACTTTTTTGTGTGTTTGGTTTTCTTATTTATTTTATAACCTAAAAAAATTTTTATATATACTTCTAAATACATGACAAATTTTATAAGAACTAGCAAAACATATAGTATGTTAAACTCAGAAGTATCCATTCTTAATAACCAAAGAAAACAATTTCTACTCATGTCATTAATAATGGTCTCCACAAAACTGTTATAGCTGCGAGATCTTTACTTTCAACCTAATGTTTAACATACTTCTAGGTCTCTACAACAAATTTTCGAGAGGTGACCAAAAAATATACTCAAGCATATGTGATATTACGATAAAATAATGTTTGGGTGTAAATAGTTTCAAAACCTCTTTATATTTGATTAAAATAAATCATTTTTCTATTAAAAGATACTACAAATCACTAATAGAATCAAAAACGATGGTTTTAGAAGAGTTTACAGGTAATTCACTTATAAATGGTAGGAACAGTGCCAAGCAATGCTGTGTACATTATATTTCAGAATAAGGAGATTATTTTAAAATTCTTGAAGAGGTATTTATGTTATACAGCGAACTGTTCCATTATTATAACAAAATCTCTATTCGTGAAGATCGATTTCACAAAACGCGAATTTTACTACTTAAAAAAGTACATTTAGTTAGAATCTTAAGCTTAAATTTTGATAATGGAGGATTATTCATACTAATATGAGATTATCAATTGTTACTTTTTTGCAGCCTAATAGTTTTATGTTATGGTGAGAACAAAGATCTAGCTCGATGATCATGGCCTAAAACTTGTAACTGAAAATACCGAAATAATTCTGCTCACGAAACGACACGTCTCGGTACAAGTCGAGATGACCGTATATGCAGACAGATTTTATACAAAAAGGTAATAAAATAACTAAGAATTGAACTTAAAGCACGGGCTACTGCTTCGTAGAGTAGAATAATGAAAAATGTTGGCGGCCCAATTTAGAGCAAACGAAAGTTGTTAATGTTAACAAGCCAAATGTGTCCTACTCTACGGAAGCGAAATATGGGCTGAAAGTAGAACAGATACGTAAGAAATTAGCATCCGTACAACGAACGGCAGCTCTGAGAATTGCTTCAGCATACCGTACGGTGTCTGGAGCTACCATGCTGGTCATTACTGACATATTACCTATTGATCTAGCAGCCAAAAAAAGAAAAATAAGGTGACAAATTAAGCAGCACCAAAACAAAACGTTAATTGATCTAGAAGTAAAACGACGAAGTAAATCCAATAACTGTGGCAACAAAGATGGAATACAGAAACAAAAAGAAGACTCATTTCCTTTTCATTTCAATTCCTTTCTGATCATATATATTTTTAAAATAACCTTTTCCGCTTTGGCAAAGCAATTGACCCGAAATGCATGAACAGAATGCAGACGAAGACAACGCTGAACACACCATCTTCAAATGCAACAGATGGAACACCGGAAGAACATCAATTTAAACAACTGTCGCTGAAATAAACGTCGAAGAAATCACAACGTAGATGCTACTATCTGAAGAAAACTGGACCGATTCATTACGATCATGCTCAAATGGAAAAAATATGCTCTCGAAAATGGTGAGGCCTAGATAACCAACACAGGAATCCTATCCTGAAATATTCCCGATAAAGTTCCAGGATAGAAACGGTCTGACACAAGAGGGATTATTATTATAGATTATTTTCAGTCTGTGCAAACCAGGCATACCACTATTGTGATGACATAGTGACAATGCGTTAGGCATTTTAAAATCTCCACTCCGCACAACCATAAAAAAAAACTATTATGCACCTAAGTAACAGGAAAATCTTAGTAGGTTCAAATAAACAGCTAATATTAAAAATTTTATATTAATTAACATCATTTTAAAACGCATAAGTAATGTTATTTATACTCTGTCGAAACTACCACACCTATTTTTACCTCATTAGCACCATCATAAATAAATTTTATGGAAAATTAGTTAAATTAACCTACGATTAACCTATTATCCTATTTAAGAAATAACTGAAAAATAATAAATATAATAATTTTACCATTTCTCAATTATATTAAATATTTATACAATTTTGTTATTATAATTTTATTATTATATATTAATTATAATAATTGTACAAAGTCTGGTTTTTAACATATTCTTTGTGTTCTATAGAACTCCACTCGTTTTTTCTCTCTATTTAAAAAGGAGAGGAATAAATTGTGAGAGATGATGAAATTATTTTTATTTTACAATATCTACCACGTGTTTTAACGTTCATATTACGTTCATATGTATGTAAAAAAAATGTCATTTTTATATTTTATGAGTATTTATATTTAAATGAATGCACATACTGAATCAAATAAAATAAAAATCGAAAATCGTAAAATTTAATTAAACCAAAAATAATCGGAAGTAATTTACATAATTAACACTACTATGAATTTGAACACAATTTAACAGCCAAGTTTCTCCCAAATACTACCACTTTTCCAGGGGCCAGTACCAACATTGTTCCAACCATTTGACCAGCTGGATCCTACGTTGCTATTGTAACTAACAGCGGGTTGTGGTGGTGGACCATAGGTCTCACTCAATGAACCACCATAGCTACCTTGGTTGACATCAGAAGATTCATCGAAAATTAATTTAACTGTCTTCACAATCTGATTTTGTTGTGGTACAGGTTGATATGATATGGGTTGTGGAGCTGGTTGTGGCACATTGACAACTGGAGTTGAAACGCGTACAACTGGCTGAGTTTGCTGTACAACTACAGGTTGTGGTGCTGGTACTTGTACTGGTGGAGTATACTGTACTATTGGTTGTGGTGCTGGTACTTGAACTGGAGCAGGAATTGCAGTAGCTATGCGAACAACGGGCTGTGGCTGTTGTACAACAACAGGTCGAGGTGCTTGAACTTGAACAACGGGCTGTGGTTGCTGTTGTACAACAACAGGTTGAGGTGCTGGAACTTGAACAACGGGCTGTGGTTGTTGTTGCACAACAACTGGTTGTGGTTGTTGTTGTACAACAACTTGCTGCGGTTGTTGTTGTTGTACAATAACAGGCTGTGGTGCTTGTACCTGAATTGGAGTACTTTGTACGAAAGAACGAACTTGTGTTGGTGCAGGTAAAGCTTGTGGTGTTGCAACATAGGAAGTAGTTTGAATAGGTGCAGGAGCAGAAACTTGTACTGGTGCAGCTACGGGTGTCCACCCAGATGAATAGCCAGAAGAATAACTAGATGCATAGCCAGATGCGGGACCAGATGCGTATTGTGGTTGTTCATTAGGTACAACAACTTTAATAATTTTTACTACTCTTTCGCCACCATATCCACTTCCATATCCATAACTACCACCGTAACCATAACCACTATTTCCATTATAAATTGTACGATATTGTGGACCTCCATAATAATATCCTTGATTGTAACCACCACTATATGCACCACTTCCATAGCCACCGTATCCGCCATAACCACCATATCTGCCGCCATTATTGTTTCCACCTGTTAAACCACCCAACAATGCTAACTTTGCACCAAGAAAAGCTTGCGTGGGTGCCGCTATTGCTATTAAAGCAACCAAGACGCAAACAAAAATTTTCATGATGATGTATGTTGACTATCTGAAAACCGATGCGTATGCTAAGATATTCAAACTCAACTGATAAATCAACTGTATGAAACGCACAAATTTATAGGCCACAAATTACTGTGAAGTATATATTTATTTTTCAAATTTTTTCCAATCAAATAAGTAAATAAGTCTAGAATAGGTTTCGCATAGCTGCAAAGAGTTTCTTAAGCTGCTGTACTCAAAAATCAAGAAACATAGTTTCTATATTATGAGAGATGCTATGAACATTCAAATCAATAATACATTATATTATTTGTTTAATCAATAAATGCTTTGCAAATAACTCACGCTTTTGCTCCGAGCAACAATGGACAAGCAGAGATTTTTGGCATCTTTTTTCTATAAGCTACCAACGAGAAGCTATGTACACTACCGCCCTGATCTCAAGTCAAACTAGCCATATCGATATTCACTTAGTTATTTATTGTATGAATAAAATATATTTGCTTTTACAACAACAACAACAGCAATCTGAGGTTATTCCCATCCACAGATTGTGCTAATAAAATATGATTGCGAACAATTTTGGCAGCGTTCAGTAGAGACGCCCAAAAAAGGGCGCAAATCTTTACATAACTACAAATACACATGTGCATTGTTAAGATACTTCGTGTATATAAGCACGTTTGAAGTCTTATTTTATAAGTATATAGAGAAATAGAATATATATAATAATCAAAGATATTACACACATAAATTTCATAGAACTTGGCTTAATTTAGCACATAATAATATATATATATATATACATATATATACACTTATATATAAATTTTTTTTTATAAATATTAAATCATAGGCAATTCACACATTTTTTAAATTTTAATATTTTGTAGTATTTTGTCCAAATTACTTCATATTTGTCTACTTAACCAATGGTTCATTTATAATGCTTCTCACATTTTGGGAATCGATCATATACAAATTTTTGGTATTTGTACTTGAGATAATAAACATCTTCAAACAATGCAATATTGGGTTTGGTTCCAATTTGAAGATTTTTTAGCATCTACACTCGAAAAATTGTTATTCATATATTTATTCACATGGTAGCTAACTAATTGACAGTGTAAACATGAGCACGAATCCGCGGACACTGGCATTATTATTTTTGGTATTTACGAATCTACTTAGATTTTCGGTAATAAAATACCATATCTAGCAAAGCGGTCCACTCTCATTTTCATTGAGCTTGAAAGTTGTCTCATGCCAATAATATTGAAGGTCAAGATTTTTAGATATTTGACGCAAAAGTGCATTTTCTCAGAAATTATAAAATTTGTGCTCAAATTTCCTACCGATTGTATAGATAATAAGGTGTAACATTTTCAAATCAATTTGAAATAAATTTAAAGTCGACTATACCGGCTGTAATCTATACACTACGCCCAATAGTTCAAACAATATATAATAATAAAAAAAATTGTATTTGCTAACTTCGCACGTGTGGATCATAAAATAAATTAAACCTTCAATATGCGATTAATCGGTAAGATATTCAAACAAACACGGTTGCTTAATGCTTATGTCTATAGAACAAAAGTGATATATCCTTATGATTAAAAATAAAAAATAATTTATTTAATTGCAGTTATACAATTTAAAGATACAAATTTAGTTGATTAACTTATACCTTAAACTTATTTTTTAAGTTTACTTTTAGCACACTTATATCATAAATCCTTTTAGGATAACCCTTCCGAATTTGACTACGGACTATAGCATTCTCGAAGTACTGCGGTTTCACGTCAACTACTTAGCATTTTGATTTGCTCTTTTTTTTCTTGCTAAAAATAAATTAATTATTAATTTTAAATTTATTAATTTAATAAACATTAATTGTACAAAAAACTGGTAACGTCATCTGATACTCCTACTATATATAGCTTATTTCCATATATAAATTTCCAACTTTAAAATCCGATATCTGAAAAACTCGGCTATAATCTTATAAAGCATAGTGGAAAATATTGTTCAGAATGCCGAACTTATTTAAATCCGTTGTCAAGTAAGTGTCACCAAAAAATCGGAAACGTGTCACAAATTGTTTTAAGAAATGAAATATTTTGGGGTAACTGAAAAATGTATTACTTTTCTTTTAGTTCCAATATTGTATTCTAATTATTTAAATATGTAGTATTGCCCAAGTTTCCCTAAATTCTTTGATTGGTATTGGGGGGTTTTGGGTTAGGCTAAGACCCCAATGCACTGCGACCAGTTTGTTCTATTGTGCACCAAATTCTTGGATTACTTTGAATATATTTAAAAATGGTATGAAAAATTAATTACTTTTCTTTTAGTTCCAATATTGTCTTCTATGTATTTAAATAAATAATATTGCCCAAGTCTAACTAAATTCTTTGATTACTTTGAATATACTTAATACAAATTTAAGAGGTATGTAGTATTATTAGCACATGATAACTTTTAAAAATTAGATGTATGTAGTATTATTAGCACATGATAACTTTTATATGTGTTCTAAATACAAATATGAATGTATCTGATTATAAAAAGTATTCAGAATTCAATATATTCTACAAAAGTTATTAACGTAGAATATTTATATAATTTAAAAATATTAAGTAATTATAATTCTCATTTACTTTTAATAATATTATCAATATTTTTTATTCTTTCTCTGCAAACATACGTCAAAATGTATTCTTAATTTCATATAATAATTATAGTTTATAACAAACTGATAACATATAACATATATTTGCCAAAAAAAAAATTTATGTGGCAAAAATTCTCTAATTATTAGTTAAAATTCTTTAATTAATATCTTAAACAAATAAATTTTTCTAAACCACTACTTCCCAACCTAGGACCACTATAATATTGATATATTTACATTTATTAAGGACCACAAAGTTAAATAATAATAAATTTTATAACTATTTTAATATATTTTATGCATCTTTGATATAATGTATAATTAATTCTATAAATACATAGTTATATTATATAGGTTATAAAATAACTGCACTATTAATTGGAAATTTTTTGTATTTATTTTCTAATAAGTGAAGTTTCAGTGGACAATACACATGCTTTATATCCATACCTGTTCAATTTGATTTACGGACTATATAACTATCCTGCGAACCTCCGATTGGGAACCACTGGTCTAAACGGTCTATTTGTTATAATTATATTGAATTTTGAACTAAAATGAAATGTTACAAAGTTCTTAATACGTATCTATAATGGCAATTAAAGAAAGTATACCTGAAAAAACTAGGTAGGAATAATACTTCATATGTGTATCACTAAAAAAAATTAACAAAAATTAATTAAATATATGGTAGTCAGTAAGTTACATTAATATTCATACTTCATTCACCTATAAACATACAAAGCCCCCGTGAACACCCTCATTTGATATAGCTTAATTTGTTTACTAATAAAAAAAAACATATATACAGACATCTCCACATAGGCAGACAAATATCTCTATAAAAAGTCGTCTTGGACACAAATTAAGAATGTATAAATTTTATATAGTCTGCCATTTGTCTGTCAAAACGTTTCAAACATCGTAACTAACTTAATGTTCCTCTTATTCATGACGCTATAACTGAAGGGTATTATAATTTGAAGCAATTTATGCATTAATTTTTTGTAATGTATATGTTAATATCTGATATGATATTTGTAAAGCAAAGAAAATATATAAAGTAAATTAGTAATAGCTTGTAAGAAATTACCAAATTGACATTTCGTTTAAATAATTTTTATTAATAGAAACCGAACAAATAACTCAAATATTGCAGTTAAATTATGCAATTTTTTCAAATTTGTAATTCTTGAAGAATTTACTTCAAATCTCAGTTAAGCAACATTCAATTTAAGTACGATTAACTAAAAAGCACGGAATGAACATTAACCACAGGTCTGGTTTTAGTATATACTTACATTCGTTTAGAGTAAGTAAATGGTGTGGAATATATAAAAAAAATAGTGTTCTAATTTTGCTATAATATTTGAAGAATTCATAGCTATTATTGTTAAAAATATAAGCATACAAACTATTTATCCGATGAAAAATATTGTGTGAATTTTAAGAATATCTATATAAAAATAGCACTAATCTAACTAAATATTTATTCAATAATGTCTTGCCAAAATTAGCAAAAATTATGGTAAAACATTTTAGAGTTCATGAGTAAATGATACAGAGCGGCATTAGTTTATCAGTTTAAACACGGATGTAAAAACAAAGGCATATATAACATAAAAAAAACAAAATTATTATTACTGCTTACTGGTTTTTCTGTTGTGACCCACTCTATAATCATAATGGACCGTTTGGGCTGCACTAATCCAAATTTTTGAAAATATCACTTAAAACTAACAGTATATACTGTAGTTTTAATCAATTTTTGAAAAAAATTTAGCAGTTACAAACTATCTGTACTTTTGTTTAGAAGAAGATCGATAAACAAAAGGTACCTAACATTACAATATAGCGTAAAGAAAACAGGTATGTTCTGATGTGTCTACTTTATAGCGTGTAGATAGATTGAACTGGTTGGAATAAAAATGCCATACTTTAAACTCTGGGTCATTTATTTATTATAAAACCATGTTTCATCAGGAACATAGAATCGCCAGGTATTTCTGTTTAATGCCAAATATCTTAATACGTTAAATAATTTGTTAGTTTCATGGCGGCTGATTCTTCTCCAGGTGGTACGAAGCCTGCCAGGTCTTCCATTGCCTTTAGAGTTCCATTGTAGGGTAGCATGACAGATCTCTCAGTAGGGTTTTCTTAATCTGTGCCCAAGCCAGTTGTATTTTCGTCGTTTTATTTACCCGTTGATGTTTTCTTGGTTTGTGAGTTACCAGATTCTCAATATATTTCCCAGACAGCTGTTGGTAAAAGGCTGCAGCATGTGGGTGGTTTCAGTGCTCTCCAGCCATGTTCCAGAGCTATAAAACAGAATTGATTTGACACATGCGTTATATACATTGATCCTAATCTTCGGAGATAGTTCGGTTAAGCTCCACATGTTACGGAGACTTGCAAATGCAGATGCAAATGTCTTGTTAATTCTGCTTCGTACGTTAATAGCTGCACCTCCCGTTTTATTTATTATGCCTTTTATGTAGCAGAAATTTTCAACGGTTTCACACACACAATGTTGGGTCGTTTACTTATTAATATATTTTATATTTTTTTGTGAAAATGAAAATGAAAACCATCACATATTATCACATAATATAAATTAAATATGCATGAAATAGCATAAAGCTGAATAACTAAAAATTTTTTTATACTTTAAGTATATTGTTATAAAAATTATATTGTAGTTCTATTAACTTTGTAATTCCTTAAGAGATTTCTTCAGCAAAAGTTGCGATACTCAACATATAAAGCTTTTGTTAAGAGTCAAAAACACGCAAACAACTGCCCACATTAAGATTAAATTGCAAATACTCAGATATGATAAATGTTCTTTGATAATTAATAATAATTAATACATAAAAAATAAACAAAAGGAGTTCAAAACAGAATTTTTTTTATTTATTTTCTGAGAAACATAATATTCCAATTAAATTATTAATATAAAATAATAAAATTTAATATTGATTTCATTATAAACTATCACAATGAATACGAAAACAACAAATTTAATTATTAACACCAGCTGCCACCACCTAATCCATAACCTCCTGATATACTTCCACCAATTCCTCCATATCCTAAGCCATATCCTCCACCATAACCATAACCGGAACCATAGGTAGCAGGAATACTTGAAACAGATGTCACCACTGGTGTCACAACAGCAGATGTCGATACAGCTGGTACAGCAGCAACCGGAGCATAACCACCTCCATATCCTCCGCCATATCCGTAACCACCACCATAACCACCACCATAACTACCACCATAACCTCCACCATAACCGCCTCCTGGTAAAACTGAAACCTTTATTACTTTAACGACACTATCTCCCCCATATCCTCCACCATAGCCTCCATATCCACCATAACCACCATATCCTCCATATCCACCGCCATAACCACCGCCATAGCCGCCACCATAACCGCCACCATATCCACTACCATATCCACTACCATAACCACCACTGCTTCCTAATAGTAATCCAAGTTTACCAAATGTTGCATGGCTTGGTACCACCACAGCGATTAAAGCAAGCGCACAAATTAATAACTTCATCTCAAATCCTTTTTATTTAAAAAATAAAAAATTAAGTGTAACAGTTTTTTTTTTGTTTTGATTCGTATGTTCGACTTTTTTGAAGTCGTCAACTTGACTGTTGATTTCATGAGAAATGCTATTAATTTATATGCCCAGAGCAACTCCAAAAACAATGCATGTTTATTGTTCTTTTATGACACAACTCACACATCTAAAACAATATAGAAATTAATGTTTGACGACTTGCGGGCTAAGCTCCATTGGTTCGAGTTTAGCTAGGTATGCAAATAAAAACGGCAAAACCCATATTAAAGATAGCCAAAGAATTGGTTTGGCGGTGATTATAGTCAAATTTAAAAAGAATTAACACTTTTGCTTTTGCTTTGTAAATACTGAAATTATACATTACAAGTTAAATTCAATTAGAACTTCTAATGGTATCTATAAGTGCAAGTTTCTCTTCTCTGTACACTTACGAAATCTGAAATAGAATTCTGGCTTTTTAAAAAAATAAACAAACTTTCAAAAAAATTCCCGCCATAATTAACAGAGACCAAAGTAAACAAAAAATGTTAGCTAAACATTGTATTAAAAATATATAAGTAATATAGTCTGTTTATTTGTCGTTTTCACGTAGTTCATTTTTGCAATTCGCGGTTTCCGGAAATGAAAATTTGCTGATATAGGCTTTACAGTATTTTTTTTTTAGTCATTCTAGAAATCAATCCTTGTAATCTTTAATCGATTAAATTTTCGAGCAATTCAATTTATTTATATATATTTTAGATCCCAATTTTACTGTTTTATGTAAGCCTTTAGATCAATTTCATATTTATTTAAAACAAAACACGTTAATTTTATTTAATTATAAATTTAAAATAGGCGGGACACGAATTCGATTCCTGGTCTCAAAAAAATTTTTGGGAATAATTAAATAGAAAAATTATTTCCAAGACCACTAATGATGGGTATTAGGCCATACTCAAAACAGCTGTATGGTCAACCAAAAATTCAAATAATTAAAATAACATAAAATTAATTTTCGTTGTTGTTGTTCACTACTGTTTGAAAAAATGGAATATATATTTATAATTTATTACCCAATATTTCGACCAGCTTCGATGTTCATCTTCAGGAACCAATTACAACAATTTTTATATATATAAAAATACCAGTGAACTAATACTAATTAGTTATATGGCAAATAAAAATAATCGTACGTACATTTAATTGATCTAATAGCGCACAAATAAAATAAAACTAAGTTAATTTGATAATTAAAATAAATTATTTTAATTTTCGTATTCTTTTCAAGAAGAGAATTGAATTTTTTGAAATGAAATTAATTAAAGTACAATTTCAAGTATTCGTGACTTAAATAAGCGTTTTGAGATATCTTAACAACATCTAAATAATAACATCAAATATTGAAAATGATTTAAATAAAATCAAATTTGTTAAAAGCTAAATTAGATACTGTAATGTGTACTAACAAGTTAAATTAAGCATTTTTTTTAATTTTATTTTTTTTTGTGTATAATAAAAAATTAAAATTAATTAATTAATTAATTAATTAACTTATAAATACATAGTACATTCATTTTTCAGCGAAATTTATATTTTCTTACATACAGTATATTTCTATTACGCATACATACATACATACAATACAACAATAATAAAACCAGCAACAGAAAAAAAGGCAAATAATGGAAAAGTGCTGTTAAAATTATTAAAAAAAATTAAAAAATATTTTCTGTTAAAGACCTTCCACAAAACATTCTTCCTACATTTCAGTCTTTACGCTTACTACTGATGAACAAAAAAATAATGCAAAAATCACCACTCAATTCTAAACGATCCTTTACTAGTGGCTAGTGGTATTTGTGTAGAAATAGATTCTTTATTTTTAATTAAATAAACGCATAATCCTCAGTAGAACCCAGAATTTTATCTAATATAGAATTTTATATAATATAACATAAATTTACCTTATGAACCCGAAAAAATCCCCATCTCAATCAATCAATCTGAATAATAATAATTGAAGTGTATTTAATTTTAAATAAATTATATTATAATATTATATATAAATAATAATGATAATATTATATGAATAATATTAATAATTTATATATATATAAATTATAATTATATTATATTAAATTATATACTACATAAATAAAGGACACCAGTAAAATATACAAACTTGAACTCTGGTCCTCTTCATTACAAATAATCGTAGCTGCACTATATATGATCTTGAGAAATAAGAGGCAATGCTTAAGAAATGTGGCGTATTATTTTTTAATGTTTTTGTATACTTATTTCATGGTTTACATATTTTTATGTCATTAAAATTTAAACAATTCTATCAAAAGTAATCCAACAAGATTCTTCAATAACGAAGAAAAGATTCGGATTACAACTATAAACGATTATAAATCCAAAATTGATATCATAAGGATTAGACAATACCATACGATTGAAAATTATAGATCATATAAATCACATGTTGAAGCATTAAATTATACTTAAAGATAAACAGAACGATCGAAAATGCTATCTGAAGTGAATTAAAAAGCATTTAACTTATTCGATACTATAACACTTTTTTCGTTAACCGGTTCCTTCACCTACATAACTGCTATCTACGCCACTGATTAGTTAACATTTAGTATAAATCAAAAGTAATTGTTTGTTGTGTATATTATATTAGTTTGTCTATTTTTATATAACTAACTAACTAGATAATACTTAAGAAATGATAGTAGTTACTCTTACTTTTTAAATAAGTTTAAAAAAAAATGAAAATAAATAAATATTAATATTTACAATCTTATTTAACAACATATTTTAACTTATATTAAAATATAACAAACAATATGGACACAAAATTCTATTTCCTTATTATGGAAAAAATTCTCTAAGGTTTTATATATTACTCTTAATCACTACTACTTAGAAGGTAGAAGCAGAGATTACTAATGCTTTAAAACAAATATAATATGTTTGAATTTAAATGGTACAAAAGGAAGAACAGATTCTATCACACTGATAAAAAAATAAATATATAAATGATTATAAATTATATTTAAATGATATATAAAACAATTGGGTTGATTTACTTAAGTTTTATAATGTGAAGAGCCAAACTCCCAGATCAGGAGGCAAGCTGATAATTTTCACTATATAGTGAAATATATAATATAGTTAAAATAGTTAAAAATACAATTAAATTAAAGATATCCGACAACAACTCTATATCAGCTATAGCATCAAAATTAGAGTCATCAATTAGTTTCATTAACACATATGACAAAATAAAGTAAGTCATTTTTGAATAGTGAATAGTAATATAAATAATACATATAGTTAAATTTATTAAAAGTCAAACAAATAAACTATTTCAAAAAAAAATTAATTGAGAATACAATTTTTGTAATTTATTATTTTAAAAAGGTAGCAAAATAACTTAATTATATCTTAATTAAAACTATTTCTGTAAAAGTGCTAACTATGTAAATTAATATATGACATAAAATATATTTTCTACAAGCATTTGTACTGAAATTTGAAAAAACAACAATTTACAATGATATAGTTAATATAAATCACAACTGTAGTTTATACGTTAATTATAAACAATAACACAATAGGTTAGTTAGGTTAGTGGTTAGTGGCTAGGTTAGTGTGCTAACATGTGAGTCTATTATTCAAATTTAACTTGATTCAATTCCTGACACTTCTAATCCAGATTTTATAATAGTAATAGGCCAGGACTGTCTAGACTGGATGCGATCGCGGGCCAATAACAATCACTATATAGATTGGAGAGCCGCAGAAACAAATATTTACGTTCATAGTTGTTTTGGAGAAAAATAAAAACACGGTTATGATGTTAAATTTAGTGTTATTAATTTAAATTTATTGATTTGGTATACAATAAAAATAAAACAATGTAGTTTTACTAGTACAAAAAAAAAATATCTGTAATTGTGGTAGATTAAAAAATGTCGCGGGTCGCACAAATAGCCTTTGGACAGCCCTGATGAAGACAATTAAACATTTAGAAATGAACAGCTTTGAAATAAAAAAAAGACAACTACAAAAATAATTCGTTGAACTTGTGTTTCAAAATAATGCTATAGTTTATAAGCTCGTTCTAATTAAGAAAGCTTAGCAAGTATTTTGGTTAGTATCACTTAAAAATAAAGTCACAAAAAACTTAGAACTTGAGTTACTTGTGGAAAAACACTATTAGTCATCGTTTCTTGACAGGCACGAGTTATAAGCCTGACACTTACAGTCCAACGAATTATATTCAGACTATAAAATAATAAAATAAAAATTAAAATACATGTTCCCTTAAGTCACTAATAATGGGTACTTGGCAATACTCGAAACATCGTTGTATGGTCAGCCTAATTTCAATAAATTAGTCAAATGTTTGTTATTGTTTTTTCATTACTGTTAGAACTCTTTTAGTTTTCTTTTCGTGTCACATTCGCCAAAAAAAAAAAAAATCAACCTTATAAACCATCAAATATTTTTAAAGACCATTGATGATGGATACTTGGCAGTATCCACAACAGCTGTGTGATCAACCCATGAATTTATTTGATTAAAATTTAAAAAAAACTTTTGGATTTTAAAATTCTTTCACTATTACTCACTTTTCTATGTACGTATGTATGTATATAGATATATACATTACTATGTATATTGTATTATCCTACTATTTACTCTTGATGAAACGCTAAACCACATAAGTTTAATAAAATGCTTCTGTTGTTCATTTTGTTTTATTAAATCAAATGATATATTGTATTATTATTGTTAGGGCATGTGGCACTGCGGCCGTCAAGTCTATTGTGCCCCCTTCTTGGCTTAGAGTAGTTCTTTAAGCACTGTTGTGTCAATAAAAAGTAGTATAGAACCTACTTTATAGAGTTTTATTGCCTCTTCCGTAAGAATATACATTCCTTGGAGCCTATTTCGTATGTGCATTACCGCAGGGCAATGATATATTTAACAATAATAATAATAAATTATATTGAGATCTCTTAAATCTCAATAATTTGTTACGAATTTTAATAATATTAATTATTAATTTTTTATTTTATTCAATAAATATTAAAAAACTAAAAAGACTAAACTAAATTGATTTTTTTAACAGGAATGTTATATTTAAAGATGCTACAAATATCAGATACTGAGAAAATAATCTAACACATACTGTTTATATAATAAGAATAGAATATTTCATCATTCTTCGTTTTAGTAACTGACTAAATTATATTTCTCAATAACAAAAACCAACCTAATTAAGTCCTTTGATGTGAGACTGACATATTAGTACTTTTACTTACAAAATTATTGAAGAGAAATAATCAAACAAATAGATTATTTAACATACCCCTCGTCTGGTTGATTTAGAACATTAATCTGCAATACTTAATTCAGCTTTTTCTTATTGTTTTTTTTTTCTAATTCTAAATTTAGCTAATTGTTTGAAAAACTTTATTTCCTTAACATCAATTTTATCTTATTATTATTATTTTGTTATTATTATTGCAACTAATATATTTCAAAAATCGAAGACATCTGCCGGCAGTAAGTTCTATTCCCTTATCTATATTTAAAATCAATAAATAACTATTTAAAATCAATAAATTTAGCTAATTGTTTGAAAAACTTTATTTCCTTAACATCAATTTTTTCTTATTATTATTATTTTGTTGTTATTATTATTGCAACTAATATATTTCAAGAATTGAAGACATCTGCCGGCAATAAGTTCTATTCCCTTATCTATATTTAAAATCAATGAATAACACACCATATAACAATTATTGCAACGAATTTTGGTAATCAGATATATAAAACAAATTATTTTATATAATACCATAACACAATTATATTTAATTCAATAATTTTAAAAACAATTTTTTTTCCAGATAATTTATTTTTGAATTCTTACTTTAAAAAATCTACTAACTATATTAATGAAAAATTTGAACAACAATTTGATTTAATGTGCTAAATAAGCATATATACAGTTTTTAAAAAGAATTTCATTGATTTAAACTATATTTTAGTTGGATGTTTGGGTTACAGATATAGAACTACAACAAATAATAATTTTGGTTTCTTTAAAATAAATTACTTTAATTGACATTTGTGAAATATTAATTTAAATTTTAATTTCAATTCAATTCGATTTAATTTAATTTCAATTCGATATATTGGTTTGATTCTTAAAACTAAATAAATAAATGTATATATATAAAACTAAATATTTAACATTATATTTTAATAATACTATTCACAACATAATAATTTTTATTATATTAAATAATTAATCTGCTTTCTCTGATAGATTCCGACGATCACCTTTACGTAAAACGATTTCCAATTGTGATATGAGACCAATAGCACGGAAGTTTTCTTTGGAAAGTACGAAGTTTGCTATCGGTTTCAATTTTTCAAGTGCATTAGCATAAGTTTCGCAATCATCATCTATTTCTGGTGAAATGTGACCATTGAGTTTTCCATTCATTGGTTTAGGTGTGGAGCAGTTTGAGTGACCATTGGATATAGAACCATTCGTTATTTGTTTGCTAACACCATTTTCATTATGATTTATTTCAGAGCCATTTGTTAAATTATCAATTTGTTCTGGTGGTGAATTGACAATTTGCACTTCATCACTATTAACTCTGGGGCGTTTAACTGGATTATGATTAGGGCTAGACCGGTTTGATAATAGCTGTTGTTGTGGAGGAGAATGCGATGACGGCCGAGATGGATGAGGCGAGCTAAAGTTACTACCTGGACTTTTAAGTTCATCGTTAGAATTATCGTAATTGTAATTGATTTGTGGTTCGTATGGATCTTGGTTGAATGAATTATATTTTTGATAGTGGCTTTGTTGTTGTTGTTCCTGATATGATTGCTCTTGCTGTTGTTCAGTTTGATATGATTGTTCCGGTTTCTGATCTGAATAATCATCCTCTTCATATTCACCATATTGTTGCATATAATCAACATATTGTTCTGGTACGCATTCCAATTCAGCAACATGTTCAGCTGTTGTTGCAGGAAATAAATGTTGCAAATCCTGTACTATATCGGGTATCCACAATGATAGCCCGAGTGGTTTCAATTGATTTGTGTTCAATTTTTGTGCAAAACCTGCGAGATGTGTTTCACGAAAACGATTCAACCAACGATTATCTACAACAAAAGTATTTAAATCAATTACATTCTTAGCTGATTCGGCTTTTTCTTTAATCATTCCGTGGGTAATAGAACCACGTAATTGTGGATTTAAATTGGCTCGTACTATCCACTCATAAACAACAGCATTAATATAAGCGCATTTTCGGCTTCGTTCAATATCATCTATCATAGCCTGTTGTTCTGCTGCCTTTAAATTTGTGGGTACTTCAAGTCGTAATGTTGGTATAGCACTTGACGTTAGGCGACGGTTACCAAGACAATTTGATGTAAAATGTAATGCACATACCACGGGTTTCTTAAAAGGCAATATGCGACCCAAGGAGGCATGGCACGCTTGCTTCCAAGCATTATGAACTGGATTTTCAGGCCTTGGAAACTGAAAGAATTGTAATTGTGGACTCTGGCGAGAGTTTGAAAGACAACCAACAATGCAACAACGACGTACAGTCGGCATATTTAATAATTTTTTACTAAGTATTGAAACAGCAACGACAAATGGATTTTAATAAACACCTGAAATAGAATAATATTTGATTAGAGAATAAACAATTTATTGATATACATATTATATATAAAAACGTGAAAGGTTTATATATTTATGTACATGCAAATAACATTACATGTATATAGTACCCATATATTTAAACGTATATATCATGTGTTGTAATAAGTACATACAACATACATTTTATCTTTTGAACCAGAGAAGAATGTTTTCGGTTTTTAAAGAATTATTAACTAAGATTCTAAGTAAAATATTTAAATATTCATTAATCCTATTATAATAAAGTTAAACAAAAACTCATGATTTAATAAATCCAGACGTTTAAGAAACATTTAAAAAAGTTGCTTGAAAAAAAAAAAATAATCATTTATATAATTTAATGAGTTGTTATATATGCAAGTGTATTATTTTTGTACCTATTTTGGCCGAAAATGCTAAGCTAATAAGAGTCGTAGTCAAATACAAAGGAGGTTTCCATAAATAAATATTTTAAAATTAAATATCTCATATTGTACTATATAAAATTTCAGTAAATCTTTATCCAATAAAATGCAAAATAATTTCAATTTAACGATAGACATACATATATACATCTATTAATATTAATGTTAATCCTAAAATTTGAAGAAAACTCAGAAGAATTGCGTAATTATTTAAATCATAAAATATTTTATATTATTTTATTATTGCAGGTTTGTAAATAAAATTAAAAAATCTTTTTTATAATATAACGTGTTAAAAACAGACATATGTACATATGTATATATTATTTTTAAACTATTACTTTTTTATCTATTTCTTGCGCTTGCTACACCAAGTGCTGCCAAATTGAAAGCTTATTTTGTGTACTTCATATGATTTTGACATTTCGTTTTCCATATCATTTGCCGGTGATAAACTTGAAAATGAATCGTAAACATAAGCAAATAAACCGGTAAATTAACATATGAAACAAAAATAATATAAAATTAAAATAAATAAATATACAAATGAAATAAATTAAGGTCAAGTATTATAACAAATAAACAATAATTGAAGAATTTATAAAATCCGCGAAATTTTTTTTTTTTTTGAGTAAGCAAGGATTTTACAAAAATTTTATATAAATGTTGCAATAACCCAACTAGATTGGTTCGTCACATACAATAACCAAATAAAAATACATAAATTATTTTTACAAGAAATTTTATTGATTTAAACTAATAACAGTTTTTGACTGTTTCAGATCAGAGTTACAGTTATGAAATCATAACAATAAACTTATTACATATCTATAATATAGAAAAACGTCATTTGACACAATTTTAACAAAATTATTATATATTAAATTAATTTTTACATAATGGTTTGTTTCTTAAAATATATTACATAAATTAATTTATAAACTAAAAATTACAATTTAACTTAAATTTTAATAATACTATTTACATCAGTAGTGTTTTATTTTATACACAGTTTAGTTTATTCAGATTCCTCTGCTAATTTCAAACGATCACCTTTACGTAAAACGATTTCCAATTGTGATATGAGGCCAATAGCACGGAAGTTTTCTTTAAAAAGAACAAAATTTGCTATCGGTTTTAATTTTTCTAATGCATTAGCATAAGTTTCACAATCATCATTGATTGATGGTGAGATGTGACCGTTGAGTTTTCCGTTAGTTGGTTTAGGTGTTGTGGAATTGGAATGACCGTTAGATACAGAACCGTTCGTTCTTATTTTATTAGCACCATTTTCATTATGATTTATTTCTGGGCAATCCGTTAAGTCTTCAATTTCTTCGGGTTGTGAATTAATAATCTGCACTTCATCATCTTGTAATTTAGAGCGTTTAGCTGGGGTTTGATAAGGACTGGAACGATTTGATAATGATTGTTGCTGTGGAGGAGAATGTGATGATGGTCGTGATGGATGTGGTGAGCTGAAAGTGTTGTCATAAGAATTATCGTAGTTATAATTTGTCTGTTGTTCGTATGAGTCTTGATTTAATGAATTATATTTTTGATCCTGATAATGGCTTTGCTGTTGCTGTTCTTGGTATGATTGCTCCTGTTGCATTTGATATGACAGGTCTTGCTTCTGATCTGGATCATCATCTTCTTCATATTCACCATATTGTTGCATATAATCAACATATTGTTCTGGCACGCATTCTAATTTAGCCACATGTTCAGCTGTTGTTGGTGGAAATAAATGTTGTAAGTCTTGCACAATATCTGGTATCCACAAAGATTGTCCGAGTGGTTTTAATTGATTTGTGGATAATTTCTGTGCAAAGCCTGTCAAATGAGTTTCACGAAAACGATTTAGCCATCGATTATCTGCAACAAATGTATCAGAACCAATTATTACTTTTGCAGATTCAGCTTTTTCTTTAATCATGCCATGGGTAATAGAACCACGTAATTGTGGATTTAAATTCGCACGAACTAACCACTCGTAAACAACAGCATTAATATAAGCACATTTTCGACTTCTTTCGATATCATCTATCATAGCTTGTTGTTCTACAGCCTTTAAATTTGAGGGTACTTCAAGCCTTAACGATGGCACAGCACTTGAAGTTAATCGTCGGCCACCAATATTTTTTGGATGAAAATGCAATGCACATACTACTGGTTTTTTAAAAGGTAATATGCGACCCAATGAAGCATGACATGCTTGCTTCCAAAGATTATGGAATGGATTCTCTGGTTTCGGGAACTGAAAGAATTGTAATTGTGGACTCTGACGCGAATTCGAAAGACAGCCAACAATACAACAGCGACGTACAGTTGGCATGTTTACTGATTTATACAGATGTTTTAAACAAATTGGTTGTTCCAGAAATATAAGATTACGATTTTGAGCGATATCTGAAATAAAGCAAAGAAAAAGGTTAGCCCTGGCTTTGCCGAAGCTTAAATACCATTCAAACAGATTAATTGGAAATTCATTAACAAAAATTTTTTATATTAGAACTTGTATCAAGAACTGCAAATATCTTTAGCAGATATATTTTTTTATCTGAACAGATAAGTTAAATTTTTGCTAATGTTGTTTGACATAAACTAAATAGATTAACTACTAATTATTAAATGTGTTCGAAAATCAGAAATTTTCAATAAACATTTTATCTGAACAGTACATTTTTTTAATACTGAATCCAATAGTATTTACTAGTATTAACAGTAGTTGAGTAAGGTTACCTCCGACCGTGGGACTATAAAATATTTGTCTGGATAAATTGAAATCTTGTAGTTTACTTTAATTGTAAAAACGCAGAGACAATTAAGCAGATAAGAGCCTAACTACACTATAACTATATGTTCACATTAGTGTTATTTAATGGAAGAAAAGGAGAGAAAAATACAATTTCATGTCGTCAGATACACGCAACGGAAAGATCACATCATCGAGTGTGACACATCTACAAATATAACAAGAACACTTAGTTCATGTGCCTTTGAAAGAATCGACAATAAATGATCCAATACACATGTTCATGCGACACATTTTCGATATTATAGTGAAACCCATAAAGAGATAAACGCAAAAAAACTATATCGAGTCATTTCGAAGCGCAAATCATGTATTTATTCATATAGTAAGGGATGGTTTATTTACTTTGTTTCAAATGTCTTAATAAGCAGATATACCATACACACAGCTTATGCGAATAGCAGGAAAGAAGAATAATGAAATTCAGTGACGGTACAACGTTTCATGACATCCCGAGATAGAATGATTCTTGATGTCTTCGATTAATGCACAAAAGACAGAATCCACCGTTGCTTCTTTGTCTTTTTCAACACGGAGAAAAATTTGTTTAGTTAATAATAATATATTAAAAAAATGCAGAATTATTAAAAATTTCTTCTAATTTTGTTTTATCAACATTTTTTTGTAAATAATACTAAAAATGTGGAATTTTTTGATTTAAAATTATTGCTGTTTTCTGGGAATTAAAAATATGTTCTAAGTATTCTTTTTAGTCAATGTATAAAATGTATTCAATCTTAATCTCTGTGGATTTATTATTTTCAAATAGACTGTTTATTGCGTTGAGGGATTTAAACCAAATTTGGTACGTATGCTTAGACACGTGTCTCAACATAAGCATGTTTTCATCTCAAACATTAAATCAAAAATAAGCGTTTATAAAACATTAAGAACATAAAATTACTTTATAGAAACCAAGAATTTTAACAGATTTTGTACGATCTCTATAAACTAAATTTCAGCGTAACCAATATTTGTATCCAACAGATGGCGCGGTAAAAATGAAATGCTTTATCACATTGAAACAAAAAAATTTTTTCCAACAGTTTTTAAAAAAAATAATATTTTCAAAGATTTATAGTAATATTTGAATAGTCGTGAATCAAGAACAGCTGAATCACTTAATGAAATTCGTCGTAAGTCCAATGTTTGTGAACGTTATTTCATGAAGAATAATTGAATCATCTAATCAACATAAAATTTGTTTTGATTTTTCACGTTCGAGGAATCATAGAAGTAGCTGAATCACCTAATCAACGTAAAATTCGTCTTGAATTCCAAGTTCGATAAATCATGACACAAGTACACCTGAATTATCCAATCAACTTGATATTAATCTTATATAAATTAAAGTTTAAGATATATTTTATAAACAATTTTAAACATATTTGCAACTTTATAAATATTGAGGTAAATTAGTTCTTAAACAACTTTTCTTAGCAGCTTAATTAAGAACAAAAGTTTTAACAATTTTTATTAATCCAATCATGGTAACAAATATATAAAACTTTACTATACGATATATACTTAATTGCTATAAGAACTTAATCGATCCACAATATAGGTCAATATCAACGAGCATATGAAACTATTTTTGGAAAAATATGATATGATATCAATATAGATTATGACAGTACTCATATTAAGTAAGAAGATAACTATGTACACAAATATTTTTAAATATTTTTCTTTATAATTGAGAGCCCAGTATATAATTTTTTTAAACTTTTTAGTCCATAAATTAAAA